TCAAAATATAACATGAATCAAGCACCAGAGGAGGTTTGTGACCCTGTAGAAACCAGCTCTCTCAGAACGCTCCGTTTTGGTGTGTGTGTCTCTTTAAATGTAATGAGCCCCCCCCCCCCCCCCTGAGTTTTCCCCGTAGACATCACTCCTTCGCTAGCGAGAATAAAAATGGCAACCTGCGCAAAAGTTTTGTTCTAGGCTGGAGATGGAGTCCATGGGTGGAGATATCATTTTTACCAGAATCCCACTGTGACATCACAAGGAGAGCACATTGGAAGCAGAGCATTTTTCTCTGTGTTGTAAGACTTATGCAGACCACAAACAAAGGACTGGATGGGTTTATTTCACATTTTGTGGGTCAGTAGACACTCAGGTTACCCAGATATATGTTCAAAAACACAAAGGATGCCCCCTTTAATACTAAAATATATGTAAGATAACAAGGCTGGAACAACCTTTGCGCATATCTAAAACTCTGGTGAGCAAAAAAAAAAAAGCCATGAGTTCAAAGTCCTTAACTCAATCTATCTGCTTTGATTCAGGTTGCAAAGCTTGTCCCAAAAAGACTCTCAGACTGCAGCCAGAGCTGAAATCCGTCACCAATTTAGTCTCTAATGAACCCTCTGAAATATTAAAAATAAAGCCCAATTAGCCGGCAGCCTTTTACATCTCCTCCCTCTATAATCCTCTGGTAGCTTAGCCTTATCTAATGTCTGCGAGTACTCTGACACTCAGTGAGCTCACTCTCCCTCTCTCCCCCTGCACTCCATATCCCCTCCAGCTTTACTGCTGCTTTGTTGTGGCATCCTCTCTGACCCCACAGACCGGGGCAGAGTCTGAGCCTCTCTGTGGTCGTGTCCCTGATATGTGCAGTCGACATGGACACTGGGACAGGGCAGCAGTAACCTCACACATGCAGATTACTTAAGAGTAACATGGGGCTTGCCTGTCCACCTCTTATTAAACAGGGTTTTGGTATTTAGGTGTGTCAGGGGAGGGTCAGTGATCCGGTTCAGGCAGCCTTATCTTGTGCCTTAAACAGATAACAGTATCTGCTCTTCTGCTGTTCCTGTGAGATGTAGGTGGATAAACAGCGCTGTCGTCTCCAGTGCCTGCGCCTAGTCTGATCAGACAGATGCTGTCCTAAACCCCCCCGTCCTTGTTCTTCTTCCTCCTGCTGCTGCTGCTGCTCTTTATGCCGTGAATGTCACCAGGAGGCTTAGATTTCTCCCTGATTGCCCTCAAGCTGAAGACACAACAGTTTCAGAAAAGCCCTTCGGTCTCCGGTGTTTGTAACGTCAGGTTGCAGCTTAAGGCCTCTGGTTTGCTGATTAGGCGATCTACCCAGAAAGAGCGGCGCTGTGTGCCCTAATTGGATCTGCAGGCTAAGACTAGACTCAGAGTACAGGAGTTCAGCACTGGAAAAACATCAATCTGGTTTGGGACCTAAAGTTAGGCCCTGACTATCTGCGAATGTGAGTGATGTAAGAGGTTTAAAGATCCAGACTTACATCCCCGAACAGCTCGCAGACATCTGACCCGTCCCAAATCAGATTAAAAACATTTTATAATGTATTCATGATGCACCGGTTCAATATCGGCCCTGTTGACAGACATCGGTAAATAACATGGCATGAGCTGATGTTAAAGTATATAGTACACCTAACTACTGATTGAGAGAAGAGGTTTTATATCAGGCAAACTCTGATTGTTTTCATCGTCAAACATGAGAGAAAATGTCGACACTGTGGAAGTCTGACACCAATCTTCAATATTTATGACGACAAATCTAGATCATAGCAGTAATAAGAGGATAACATTGTAACGTAGCATCAAAGAAGAGAAAATATAATCACAGTGAGGAGAAACACCAAGTGGATAAAGCTCGTTCTAAAACGAGGGTGAACCTTGAGTTGTCTTTTACCCGTGGACGTGGAGTTGGTCTACTTCCTGTTGGACAGGCAGGTGACAAACACCGGCTGTTAGCTTGAGCTAGCGTGCGTTAGCTTGCAGTGTAGCTACAAGCAGTAAACGTACACACTACATCCTGCAGTGAGGGTGAGTTTCTGGGGATGATGAGCCCAGGAGGAGGGGCCCAGTTTGAATGTTTACAAACATTTCTACTGACTCCGCATTTAAGTCCAAATGACTTGATTTCTAAGGCAGAGATTATAAATAGCTTCAGTGATTTCAGAGAGGTTGTTGTTTCTGTTAAGCCACAAACTGCTTACAGGTAAGCCCCCTCACGCCATCTTTACTCTCTAGAAAGGTCAAAGGTCAACGTCTGCGTCACAAGAGATCTAAGACGCCGTGCAGTGTGGAGAACCAGCAGCAAAACCTGTTAACCACGACACAAGTTCAGAATGAGGCTATCGTCCAGATCACATTTAGTGAATATTTACAACCCGACAGAGCAAACTAGACAGAGAGAGATCTACTCTACTCTCATCTCGAGTAGTTTTTGTCACTTCAGTTTACGTCCGTCTCCGAGTGACATCATACAAGATCCCATGAGGAGGCATCACTCCTTCTACACAGCATGATCTTCAAAAACACTCTGAAGTGATTCCAGTGATGCACTAATTATTTCATGCATGTTTGAGATCACTGAAAAGAACATCTGTGAACTTTCTCCATCAGTTAGGACCTTTAAACTCCGGCCCTACCTGCAATTTCATGCAAACTAAAAAGTTTAAAGGCCACAAAAAAGTAGTAAACAAAGACACAAACTGAATGTATAATCAGCCCTACCGCCTGTGGTGACTTGGCACAACATGAGTCAACCCTGTGAACCAAACTAAATACCACATAACAGCTGACCCACAGCCTGAGCCTGGCAGGTCAGTGGCTTGTTCTCGGAGGTATCCAGAAGTCGCCCATGATGTCCCCAAACACCTGATCGGGATGTATCATGTGGCCGCAGTTCTTTCCTCCTAGCCTGACCTGCGTTTGACCCTCAGACTGGGTCTCCTGACTTTGCCCGTTCACACAAAGACGAGCAAACATCTGCTACCGCTCTGAAACTGCACTCACACAGCTGAGGAGACATCGGGTGGCCTCACAGAAAGTCTCTCTCTCTCTCTCTCTCTCTCTCTGAGTGGTGGGTGGCTGAGTGGGCGAGTGTGGGCTGACAGCTGCCCCGGTGACTGCACGGCTGAAAGGTGGAGCCGGCTGGTACCTGGAAAATCTCTGAACAGGGGTGGCAGCCTCATTTAGCTAATGGATTATATTCAACAAATGCATCTGAGACGAGCAGAGCGAGGAAAATAAAAATCAGCCATGCAAATCAAATTCACAGACACCTGCAGGAGATTTATCATACACAGACCCCCGCTGGAATATGAAAGAAACAAATGTATTGCACTGGGATGAACGTGCGGTTACACATTTCCAATTCAAGCACCGTCTCTAAAACGCTACATCAAATGACTGGCTTTGAATAAACCCAAATGAGCCTCGGCCAAGTAGCTCGCTCCAGCACAGAGAATCATTGCATCAAAAAGTACGCTGGTTAGCCGAGCCGTTCCAGTCAACAATCACAGAATCAGCACTGTTACTAATCAATGTGTTTTAATGAGCACCCTGTGAATCCCCCCAAAAAAACAGCTGAAACATAAAAGCTGCAGAGGCTCTCTGGTTGACTCTTTGTACCTTGTGATCTGTTATTCATAGTCTCACTGTGAAGTCTGTGAGAAATAAAGCACGGCTTTGATGTTATCCTCTTATTACTGCCGTCTGAGAGCAGCCTAATGTTGGGAGTCTGATTGTTTGGATGTCACGTGGAGAATCACCAAACATCCCCGCTTCAGTGGAAGCTGCTCGCTTTGTCGGTGCAATTTGCTTACAAGGATAAAGTTTGATACGGAGAGTTTTAGCATGCAGGAAAACAGAGTGGGAGTTAATATTACACTCTACTCACTACTTTAAAGCTTCCACTCAAGTAAGCCCAAACACGTAGGTGTCCAACTTCTGCACAATATGCTTTTTTCCCCCCCTGCAATAGTTTAACCTCGTCTGCAGGCATCTGTCGCCCGAGAGGCTAAAGCAGCAGAGATGCTACACAAGTATTTTAGAGGAGATGATTGTCCTCTGTCCACAATGTGAATCAATGCGTTCCATCAGATTTGTTAGTGGTCGGCTGTGACAAAAACAAAAACAAGGCAAACTTGCTTCCCTGACGGTTCGCCCTGAGTGAAGCCTCGAGGTCTGCAGTGACAGGTCAAAGAGTCAGCACATGACTCAGGGCCAGAGCAGCAGAGACACTTTGAAACGCCACGCAGAGATCTAATTAACACATGCGCTCAAGTGCTATTTCAATTTGGAGGAAGGCTGTAATTTTCTACAAAGCTGACCAGCATGACATGAACTAATAAACCAGGCGCTCCTGACATTCAGGCTCGTCTGCTTCTCTTATAACTCACGGAGACACACACTCCGTATTCTTCAGGATTAAACAGAAGTAAATAAACATCGGAAAGCGACGGAAATCTAACTTTGACCACAGAGACGAGGCCGCAAACGACTCCAAACATAGTACTGTTTACAGATTACTGTCATTACTGGCGACCTGCGTTTTACAGATGGGGAGAGGCCTTACAGTCATTTGTTTCTCAGACCTAATTAATCTTCATTGTGCTGGGAAACGTAGCACCCCGATGCAAAAAGGGTTCCTCCTTCTACACGATAATTGCACAGAGTCTAGGGGCCCGAGTTTCCCAGACAACAAGGTCTGAAATTTAATTATCTGCTCTTCGGAAAATGTAAGGGGAAGAAAGCTACGTTGCTAAACTGCACTTTTGGGCGAGTAATGTCAGGCTTTTGTCGGAGTAAGCACAGGATGTCACTTAGCACATCCTCCCTGCTGTCATGAACAAAAAAACGCTCTCAGCATTGTTGGAGGTAAAGGAGGAATATATCATTTTTAAGCTTCAAAATGGGCATGCACAGAGGAAGGCAGAAGAGTTTTTACTTCACAAAATGGCACATTTTCATCATCTTACCATGTGCAGAGTAAACCCTGATCACTTCCATAGTCCGGGCAGCCGCAGAAGTTTGGGTTTTTAATCATATCCGTCCATCTCCATGACGTTACAGAGCAACTACAGCAACATAAAGCCAGACTCAGAGCAGCCAGAGACAACGCACACAGGCTGTGGCAACATTAACATTCCTCCGTGTAAAGATCAAGCTCGGAGGGGGGAGGCACATCGATAGGATCCCATTAGTTAAGTGTGCCCTTAGGTTACCCGAAATTTGATCAGAGATAAGCCCTTTCCTTCCTTCCAGACACGAACCATTAGACGTTATGGCAAAAGAAGAAAAAAGCTCCTCTGAAACTACTACTCCTCCTCCTCCTCCTCCTCCTCCTCCTCCTCCTCCTCTTTCTCCACCTCCTCTTCAGTTGTGCAGCAGGATCAGGATGAGCCCGGTGACGTCAACCTTTTGTTATCACCTTTAACACTTGCCTTTGCAGGTGGAAACACTTTCCTCCCCTGTTATATTAGGAGGTGCTATTTGCAGACAGGCAGAGGAGCAGGGAGGCTGCACAACATCTGGATCACACGTGAAGACGACTGACACTCTAAATATGGACGTATGCATGCATGTCCTAATGAGTATATCAGATGGTAGCACGGGGAGACAACTTAGTGACAGCGAGCACACTATGCAAGCTGAGAATAGCAGGAGATAACCACACTTCACTCCCAACTTCATGCACAGCCTCCCTTTCCCAGGAGAGCTTCCTTAACCATGAGCCTACTTCTCCCTAGAGGTGTCTGCATCGTGTTAATGAAAAATCTAATGAAGATGCAATTATGGTGATGGCCTTGCAGGCAAATTGTGCTCACATGGATCCTCATTGGTTGATTTAATCTTGTAGGACACAAAAAGGTAACAAGCCCAATAACACAAGCCCTATTTCGATCAGGTAAAACAAGCTTTAAACAACAAATCATGACTTTTTCTAGAGTCCAAACAGGATAGTCTTAGCTCCACACATGCAGCTGAGCTTTCACATATTTACAGTAGATACACGGACATTACAGGGAACCAGTACAGTAGCTTTAAAGCCTGCATGTTGCCAGTGGAGAGTGCCAGCTGACTGCCCAGGCTCCTGGCTAGCTAACCTAGCCAGTCAGTCAGTCTGAAACATACACAGTCCCATTGTTGCCCTCTCCAGCTCTCCTGCTCATTTATGCCCCAATCTGAGAGGATGTCAGCCAGCATCGAGCCGCAGGCGTGTTATCAAGACACAACTACTTACTCTCCGTTCACCTCTGCGAAAGGCATCTTTTAGTACGTCGCCATGGTTTAAAACGGACTGATTTTCTCCCGTTGCCCTGCGCTGCCGAATCACTGCTGCTGCTGCTGTCTGCGGCAGCAACTTCCGGCGCATGCGCACTCCCTGGGACGGTTCCAGACAGAACTGAGCGCTGCGCAGGAGGAGCCGAGTGATTTAAAGGGACAGGCTGTCTGAGATTTAATTGGACAACTTAATATTTTTTAGAACTTTTACCATGTGGAAAGGCAAGTGTGAAACCCTTTTACAAAGCTTGGAGCCATTTTTTAGATTTTATAAAATAAAATGACAAATACTTTCACCGAGGACAAAACAGATGAATATCTTAGAAAACAGATTTACAAGATGCAAAACAAATGCCAAATGCAGGAAGTGACCTGGGATTGATTGATTGAGTGAGCGGTCAATTAGTTTGATTTGGTGGACGAGACAGATGGTCTGGATAATATATCAGGCTCAGTTATTCATTTCCTTTGCTCGTGGAAAAGGTTTTAAAATGGCCAAACAGAATATTTATAAAGAAGAAGAAAAATTCTGGGTCATGCCACAGTAGCTCACCCAGTCTGTAGGGACTTTGGCGGGAACTGGAGGGGCGCCGGTTCAAGTCCCAGTACGGACTATAGTATGGAAATTAGTCTGATTGTCAGAGAGCTGCCAAGTCACTAAGTGGGGCCTCACCACAGATTACTTAAAGAAAACCTCTCCGTCACTCGTAATGGGTCAGGCCAGATAAAGGAAGGGGTCAAATATCCATTCCACGTGTTGCAGCGAGGGCTATTGGAGTCACTTCCAGAGTACCAGCTCAGGAGCCCCCTGTGTGCAGCTCCACTGTGACAAAAAAGTCATCAAATTTGTGACTAGAGTCCAGTGGCAAAGTCTAGAGCCTGTCAGGGCCCTAGGCAAAAATCAGTTGGGCGGCCCTCCAACCAGCGCTCATTAACATCATGTCTGCAAGGCAATGAGTGCTGTCAAATGAGGCCCCTAAGGGAGGTTTCCTACTGTCATTGCAAGATTTGTACATTTTGGGTCACTGCTATCCACTTCCCCATGTTCCTCTAACACTAATATGTGTCTCTAGTCTGTCTACAAACCCCCCAATGATGAGAAAAGTCCACCCTTTCCATCTTTTGCCTGCTCCACCTTTCAGAAAATGTGAGCTCAAACAGGCCGTTTGGAGATTTTCCCTTCATGACATCACAAAGGGCAGTAACCCCTCCCCCAGGTGGGTGACACTCCCACAGCTAGATGTTTGTTCTGCCCTCTGATTCTGCCTTCTCACCGTAAACAATAGGACATGGAATGAGAACGCTTGAGACACCCAAGCCCTTCCAGAGAGGGGGCGTGGTTAGAAACAGCTCATTTACATATTTAAAGGTACAGACACAGAAACAGTCTGTTCTGAGCAGGGCTGAAATAGAGGGGTTTATTGACATGATCAAATACAGAATTAGAGTGGATTTAAAACAAGAAACTTCACAGACATGTTTTGGGGAGCTCTGAGACTTATTTACACTGGTTGAAGAAGAGGAGGATATGTGACCTTTAATGTTTATCAGCCCTCAGGAGCCCCCTGCTGGAGCTTCTCTGGAGTAAATGCAGAATTAACTTGTGTGTGTCTCAGTGAAGTAAACCCTCAGTTTGTCATTAAATAATCGTGTTTTCTTGCACCTCATCTTCATTTCACCTTCCATAAAAAACAAGTCTCTACATCGCCTAATGTAAAAATAAAGTGCTGAAGTGGCTCACACTGTGCCTCTTGCTGTGTCCCCCTCACGTTTTGCATCATTGTGCTCCTCACATATTGTTCTCTAACCCTCACTGAGGAAGATAAACCCGGTGCGAATCCTCCACGGTCAATAGTGTCACATGCTTTGTGATTTGATGAAAGGTTCTATTTGTGTAGCCTGATGTGTCGAGCTCCCTAATCAAAGACTTATATTTCTGTGACAACTAAAATAAATTACTCCATTAAGATCGCCCACCTGCCCTCTGCACAGTATTGATAGGTTTTTATTACCAGAGGGAGACAGATGGACGACACTGAGGACTGTGGCAAGTTATGAGAGCGTGTGCGAACGTCATGTCAGGTTAGAAGCTGCACAAAAGTACTCAAATCATTTGATTGTAGAGGGAAAATTACACGGGTTCAGCTCTGCAAAAATGTGTGAACTAAAGCTTTGTGCAGGGTAACTCCACGGCCTGCGGGCTTCCAGTACAAGACCGAGCTTATTACAATACTCCTGCCAATTTAAGGCTTGCAAGCTTCACTTCCCCCATCAGCCTGTGAAAGAAGGGGAGACATTTTGTGTGAAAGCCCAATCACACACTGCGCTCTCAGTTCAGCAGGTGGGGAAGTAGCAGCAGCAGGCTCCATCAGGCAATAATACAAAGTTAATGATGCAGAATGGTGTCTTTCTCCATTCCAAAGAAGACGTCAATACAGGATGTTTAAGGACGCTGCTCCTAATTACGCTTTTTAAATTCACCACCGATGTGATTGATGATTTCAAAGAGGGGTCTTATTGATCCACTTCACAGACAAGTCACATCGATTGCAAGTCTAGAATGAATAAAAGTTTTTTCTCCCCCACGGAGCGAAAGACTGTACAATCAGAGCATCGCTGTGACCTATATATGTGTAGTTTGGGAGCTAAATCACCTCTTTTTAAAGAAGGCAGACAGAGCGGGGACGTATGGAGCAGTGATTGCTGGATCCGGGGGACCTTGGGGGGACCTTCAGCGGCGTCACGTCACACGCCAACAGTTAACTCTCACCAGGTTTCTCATTTATCAAGCGTGGAAACTCATCCAGCCGTTCATTAATCTGTGGGATGCTTCACAAATGGCCTGTCTGAGTTGGAGTCCTCGGCGTGAAAAAAGTTGAGGAGCGGCTGTTTTATAGACAATCAGCCAGCTGTGCAGCATCACGCCTCTCACTGCAATCAGCGGTGATGGAGTGATGGATGCTCTGACGCTCTGACAGATTGTTTTCCCCCACCTCTGCTCCGTGTTGACATGCCCCATGGCTCGTGTTTATTATTCCGTGAACTTTGTGAATCCTCGTGAGCAGCCAGGTTGTAGTCTTAGTGCAGAAGCTGCCAGTTATTGCATGTCTAATTCCAGCAAATTAACGAGTTTGGCTGCCGCAGCAAATCCTGGAGTTGCAGAAAGTCGGCGTCTGACTTCCCCCGGTTGCAGCTGCAGAAAAAGCTGCATGCTCAACGACTTATTCTCTGTCAATACAAAGTGTTCTGTTTGAATGACAGAAAACTTTCGACAAGGCAATCTAAGCTGCTTTCGGGAACAAATAAACCATCCGAACCTGGTCACGAGAACATTATTCTCCATATTTTGTCAGGCTGCTTCCATCAGCATGAGGGACTTTATAGGAGAAAGATTTAGAGCAATAAAAAAACATCTCCTATCGCCTTTTAACAGTCAAACATATCACTAACTACAAGTGTTTTCACACCTGCACAAAACTCCTGAAAAAAAGTTTCCTGCTGAGCGTCATGTGTGAACACAACCAGCTGAATGTTTCTCTCTTCACCCGGAGTTTTCCTCCAGCCTCCTCGTATTTATTCTGCAGAAAGTCAGAGTGATCTGATGTGAGAACTCAGCAGGATATAATCAGGAGAATTCACCTGGAGCGAGTGGGAGGGGGTGGTGACGTTTATTCCCTGTGATCACTGCACGATCATAGACTGTCTGCACGCCACCTCTACCATCTCTGTGCTCTAATGAACCTGCTGCATTATGTTTCCTGTTCTCCAGTATGTTCTTCTCCACTCTTTAGTTCATTGTGATTCTGTTAACTACACGTAGCATTGATAGAAATACACATATTCTCATTATAACGTGGTGTAGCTCAGGGGTTCCCATACTTTTCAGCTGGGGACCCCCACTGTCCTTGTCATTGGTCAAAGAAAATTAAATATCACATGTCTCATGTTATTATCTCGTTTGATCATGTCAGGTAAAGGAAGAATGTGCGACTTTTTGATCCAGTAGATGTTGCACTTGAGCACCAGCAGGACAATCTGCTGTTTGGCCACACCTCCTCCATACTGAAGCCTCCGCTCTCCTCCAGAGACACACCTCCAACCTCTCTCCACTCACGTTCACATGAAGGTGTTAAGCGCAAGTGGCGGACAAAATTGTACTATGCTCGAGCTGCAGTCACCTGTATTGTTGGACACAGGTGCAATGCAGACTCTCAGCTGGAACTTTGCTTTTTTACTTCCTTCCATTTGCCATGCACCTTAACAGCCTCTGCTTTATCTGGTCTCATGCACTTTATTCTATCCTTTCTATTCAGTATTCATACAGTTCTGGTTACTTTATTCCTGTTGTTCTTATCCATCATTGCACTACGGTCACTTTATTTATCTCATTTTTACCTTTACAGTTATATTGTTTATATTAGTTCTGTTGTTCCATTATTCACCATGCACCTTAATAACTTATCATTTAGTATTTGCCTACTTGCACATAGCTCTGTATATGTATATTTATTTCTCGTTTACTGCACATAGTTATGGTTACATCTGTTTACATCTGTAAGTCTGATCACTGTCCACTTATATCTACTCTTTTATGTTTTGTATTTTAAGTTAAGTTTAAGCTTTAAGTTGTATTTAAATTGACACTTTCCATTTAGGTTAAAATGTTTCGTACTTGCACTGTGGTTAATTTACTGCTGTGTGCCTTTGAATTGCAAATAACGTTTTTTGAATTGAATTGAATTGTGTTAGCATGCTAATGCTAGCGCTCTTCAGTTAGCTCGTAGCTTCATATTGCATGTAACGTGAAACAGAATGAGCGTGATCTAAAAACTCTTACTTTACATCCAAATATTCAGTGAGTATGTTCTTTCTCTCTAGTCCTTGATTAAAACAGCTTTTATACACAAAGGAAGGAGCCGGCCGTCCCATCCATGTAAACACGGCTCTAAAAACAACACAGCCAGTGGGACTCGAGCTTCTCACTCATTGTAGACAGTCATTACTCAGAGAGACATTTATACAGGAGATACTGGATTTCTGATGTATTTATGTGGAACATGTCGCACATTCTTCCTTTAAGTCACAGAGCTGTAAACTACACCAGGTGTTTAAAATGTTTAAGTGAGGAGCGCCAATAGCCTAGCCCTAGTGGTTAGAGCTTGGCCCCATGAACGGGGTTGTGGTCCTCCAAGCGGGCGTCCTGGGTTTGATTTTGACCTGTGGCTCCTTTGGCTCTCTCTCTCTCTCTCTCTCTCTCTCTCTCTCTCTCTCTCCTCTGTCTCTGGTAACATTTGAAAAATGCATTAAAGTGTTAATCATAACAACAAAAAAAGATTTACAGGAAAACAGATTGATTAGGGATCAACAGCCCGTCGAATCGCTGCTGCATGAGGCAGGTTTTCCATCACACCACGCTGAATCTCATTGGCAAGTGCACTTCAAGTGGCAAAGTGGGCTACAGCTTATGATTAAATGGTCTGCAGGCGAGGCCTTTTTGTCTTTTTTTTTTAGACAGAGAGAGAGAGAGAGAGAGAGAGAGAGGAGAGGGAGAGAGGGAGAGAGAGGGAGAGGAGAGAGAGAGAGAGAGAGGCAGAGAGAGGGAGAGGAGAGGGAGAGAGGGAGAGAGAGGGAGAGGAGAGAGAGGGAGAGAGAGGCAGAGAGAGGGAGAGGAGAGGGAGAGAGGGAGAGAGAGGGAGGCAGAGAGAGGGAGAGAGAGAGAGAGAGGGGGAGAGGAGAGGAGAGAGAGAGAGGCAGAGAGAGAGGGAGAGAGAGAGACAGGGGAGAGAGAGAGAGACACAGAGAGAGAGAGAGAGAGAGAGAGAGAGAGCTCTTTCTGAAGGCCAAAGTTAATGCAGTCATAGAAAGAACTCTGATACACTCCCACGTGAAATGGCCATGTGAGGAAAGCCCGGAGGGAGAAAAGGCCTTGAATGAATTTAAGAGAGAGAGGGAGAGAGAGAGAGGGAGAGAGAGAGAGAGAGTGGGAGGGAGGCAGATAGAGAGAAAGTTCAAACATTACTGATCCTCAAACATCCTTTTTGGTTTCTGGTTCAATTGGAATCTGGCAGAATCCTAAGTGTCTGCTAAAAGCTCAATTTTTTTGTAGCTCTTCCTCCTGCATCTCTGCCGAGCTCTCAGAGTTTGATGCTGACAGATTGTGAGCTACCTGATATCCTTCATCATCCTCCCCCCTTCAGTGGAGGTGTTTGTTCCGCCCTGAGCAAGTCCTCCAGGACTAACAAACAGCCGGCGAGCTTGATGGACTACGGGGAGACATCTGCTCTGCCCAGCTTTGCCGTACAGAAAGAAAACAACGCGTTGCAGTAATCAATCAACGCGCAAAGTGTCTCATGATTAACCTCACACACCTCACCGTTATCAGGTCGTCATATCAGCTCGTCGTTGTGAATTAGCACTTAGGAGTTGCAGGGCGTATGTCTGCCAGCACGCACTGTTTTTTTTTTTATCCCCGAGGTTGGCATATTGCTTTGCTCAATTTATATCCTCCGCATCATTGTCACAACTGTGCTCGAGCCCCCTCAGGGATGAGCTCTGTTTTGTGTACTCGGGGGACGAGAGGGAGAGGAAGAGTCTGCCATCTGCAATCTGATTTGTGGTTATAGAATCAGCACCCTCACAGAGACAATATCACCAGAGCCCACATATCCTTTGAGCTCTGTCATCCATTATAAACTGTGAGCGGCTCATGTCAGCAGATGTGTGTGTGTGTGTGTGTGTGTGTGTGTGTGTGTGTGTGTGTGCGTGCGCATTGTGATGAGCTGGTTTAAGCATCTGAATTTCCTCCTGCAGACCGGTTGTTCCCTAACAGGGGCCTCAGGGAGTTTCAGAGGGTTCAGTGTGGAATGATGCATAGTCGAGTCTGAAGCTTAAAGTTGACTTTTTTAATATGTAACATGACATTCATTTTCACTCACACAGACATTTCAGACGTGACTGACAGACATCCGGAGAGAGAGAGAGAGAGAGAGAGTGGGTAATGACATGTATGGGAGCCACATGGGAGCCACAGGTCAGACTTGAACCCAGGCCGCCCACCTGGAGGACTACAGCCTCTGCACATGGGGCGTGTGCACTAACCACTTTGCTCGGTGTCCCAGATTGAATCCATCCTGTCTGTTCTTCTGTGAAGCACTTTAGGCTGCACACTCTTTTGTGCAATAAAAGTGCGTGATTGGAGTTGGAAGCGTCCTAACCTTTCTCCCCCACTCACTGTTGCTACCAAACTCACTATTATCTCATGTGAGAGGGGGTTTGTAGGAATTGTTTCAGAGAGCATGTGGGATGAGAGACATTTTCTGTAGTTCACATACAGGTCGCTAGGGTGCGGTGTAGCTTCAGCCTAAAGAAACAGAAACCTCTACGAAGACCCTCTTTGAACCGGAAGCGCTGACTACTCGTTGGTTAAACCAACATGGTGGCACCCTGCAGGCAATGTGAATGTAAACAGCGGCTCACCTCTGGGACATTAAGCACTTTAATACCTGTTTTAATAGAACTTATATTTATATAAAACCCTCAATGGCTCTCAGAGTGTGCGCGCGAGTCTTCAAAGGCTCCGCCCTCCTTTCATCACGAGCCGTGGTTTCCGCGCGACACGAAAGTGCGTCATGGATTCTAACGACAGGTGAGATCATCACACAAGCACGTTTATTTTTTATTAACTTAGAGGTTTTATTTAAATATGTGAGGACACATTTTGAGATTGTAGGGGGAAATAAAATGTTGGGACGTCAGGAGGAGAAATGAACAAACATGACATTAAAATGTTTAAGGTAATAAAATGTTTGTCCAAAATAGATTCTAGATTGTGGTTTGGGGGATAGCCCACAAACAGGTCTAATCAGGGCCGTAACCAGGGTGATCCGTGGGGTCCAGGAGCCTAGCACTGTAAATATCTTCTAGAGCTGGCAGGCTGACACCAATCATCCTTTGTTTTAGGATGTTTTTCTCCTGCAAAGTGAGATTACCAAACCAGACTGTCAGCTGGTGAGGATCCTTTAAATAAAAGTTATGTAGCATGTGTCTGTTTAAAGGGGACATATTATAAAAATCCACTTGTACAGTGTTTTTGAACATATATTTGGGTAACCTGAGTGTCTACTGACCCACAATGTGAAATAAACCCATCCAGTCCTTTGTTTGTGGTCTGCATAAGTCTTACTACACAGAGAAAAATACTCTGTTTCAAATGTGCTCTCCTTGTGATGTCACAGTGGGATTCTGATAAGAAAAAAATCCCCTCCTCTCCTCTGATATCTCCACCCATGGACTCCACCCCCAGCCTAAAACAAAGCTTTTGCGCAGGTCCGCCATTTTTATTCTCTCTTGCGAAGGAGTGATGTCTACGGGGAAAACTCAGGGGGGCTCGTTGCATTTAAAGAGACACACACACCAAAACGGAGAGTTCTGAGAGAGCTGGTTTATACAGGGTCACAAACCTCCTCTGGTGCTTGATTCATGTTATATTTTGACCACAGCACAGATGTTTCATTTAGACCACAGGGGACTGTTTGAAAAGGTGGAGAAGGGGGATAATATGTCCTCTTGAAGGATACTCTGACTCATGTATTTTAGGTGTTCAGAATCCCAGTTTTCTTTTTTCCTTTTGAAGTAAAAGTAGCTGTGTAAAAATTTGAAATTCAAAACTTTTGCTCTTTGTAACCTTTAGCTAAACCCAACAAACAGACCACAGGGGACTGTTTGAAAAGGTGGAAAAGCGGATTCACAAATGAGAGTGAACCTTGGGTAAGGGGCGGAGCTATACAAAACAGTTTAAAAAAAGGAGAAAGTGAGACAATAGGAACAGAAAAAACAAGCTCTCAGCTCGTCCCCTCAAACTGTCGTTCTCCATGACTGACGGCCATGAAATAGTAATGCCTAAAGCTGCAGGAAGCCTTTCAGCATCACTTAGTCGAGGCAGTGAGGAGAAGTGGAGGACAGAAATGACAGCGAGAGGGAAGATTGCAGTTGTGTCTCCCCTGCCGGAGAAGTGACGTAGATATTGTCTTTGTCGTCTTTACAGGAAATGGCGCCTGCATCCGAGGAAGAGGGACGGGATTCAACTTGACTCCTGCTTGTTTTATATCTTCAGAGGTTCTTCTCAACAGATTGATGAAAGGCAAAGCAGTGGAAGAAGACGGCAGCATCCATCGACAGCCAGCCTCAGTTCCACCGGACAGCAGTAATGAGTTTATTATTAAATAAATGTATCAGTTATTATGTGAATAACGCCGATTCATAACAAGTGTTATCTCGAGGCGCTTTACAAAAGAACAGGTTAAAGACCTTTACTCGTAGTTAAAAAAAATGGGAAACAGGATCAGATGCAGGGAGGATTTCTCCTTTGTATTCCTGGCGTTCCTGTCGTCCACACTTGCTTGCTGCTGAGGTGGAGGTCGGAGCAGGCCGTGCATGAATGAGGACAGCAGTGGTTGTGGGGACGACACAGTCCGATGGTGGCTGGGCGTCAGAGACGTCGGGTGGTTGTAGTGCCAGATCACCTCGCTGAAGGTTGGGGGGAGCTCTGTCTACTTGAGAGCCCGGCCTCCTGGCTTCTAATTCTCATCCTGAATTCATCTTATTGTTTGCACCCGGCCGGGATGCAACAACACGGCCAGCCTGCAGTTCAGCATGTACCTCGTTTTGTTTTATTTCACAGTTTTTAGTTCGCTTTATGTTTCCACTCGAGTACATGTGTAAAGCGATGTTTGCAGACAGTCATTTCTTATTTTTAGTGTCTTCTCTTCCTCATCATGAAACTTGATGCTGAAACCAAAACCTCCTCCGGTTGCTGTTTGTCTCCGCTGTGACATCACATTTGTATTCTCAATCTAATCTTTGTTTCAGGTGAGCAGTTTTCTTTGTTGCTGAGACATCCGGATCAGCCGGAGAACTCAAAAGTTTTGAAAGTGGCTATTATCGGAGCTCCGAATGCAGGGAAGTCCACCCTGTCCAATCAGATTCTTGGCAGGAAGGTAAACGTCTCGACTGTCTCACTTTAAAACCTCCACTGTGAAGTTTGTCTCACTGAAGAGGAGGTGATGCTCGGTCTTTATAACAAGCGTTTCTGTTTGTCTTTAAGGTGTTTGCAGTGTCCAAGAAAGTCCACACTACGCGCTCCCGAGCCCTCGGCGTCCTGACGGAGGACGACACACAGATAGTAAGAGCTTTAGAGTGAATTCTCTCTAAAGCTTTTTAAATTCTCACTGAATGTTTGGTTTGTCTTTTTCTTAGATTTTACTCGACACTCCTGGTCTCACAACTGCATCGAAAGTCAAAAGGTGCCTTCCTTTGTCATGTTTTTCTCAGAAGTGTGTTGTCATACTTGCAGCTTTAATTAAACAGCGTAACGTATAACTGGACCCTCTGATTCCTCAGACACCAGTTAGAGAACTCTCTGCTCGTAGATCCCTGGACAACAGTCAAAGAAGCCGATCTGGGTATGATACCGAGATTTTTATCAGTCCTGCATGCTTTTGTTTGTGTTTGAGTTTTGAGTGTAAACTGTGTCCCACTGTCTCTCAGTGGTCGTCATGGTGGACGTGGCCGACAGATGGATGTGCCTCAAGCTGGACTTCGAGGTGCTCAGATGTCTTGCTCAGCACCCTGACATCCCTGCGATCCTGGTCCTCAATAAGGTAACTTTACAACATGGTTACTATGTCAGAAGGAATCATTTGAACAATAAAACGTGTCTTTTTAGCTCCAAATTTAAAGCTAATTAACGCTTTAACACATTTATGGTAAAGGAGTTTTTGTACAGTAGCTTATATAGAATATAATGGAAAAGCCGGTAATTTAGCATTTGTTTGGCACTTTCCTGTCCAGCAGAAAGCATACCAACTTCCAGTCTGAAAGCCGCTGTTGAAATATGAAGCCGATGCTGAAGTGCACAAAATCCTGCAGTTGCTCGAGTGTCCACTAGAGGCTGGCTGCAGAAGCACAGGAAGTCACATACACACCCATTCAAAAAAGCCTGTTTTTACAGCAGAGATGAACATGTTTACAGCCTGGTTAAAAAAAACAAATAGGTCTGATTAGCTCATGTCTCGATCGACACACACTGTACGGGGGGGTGAATGTTTTGATGACTCATCAGTTTTGATTTGATGAAGGATAAGAGTTATTCACAATAAGGCGTGTAGCTGACCTGATTGACAGGTGGGCGTGGTGTAACGGTTTGTCAGGAGGCTTAAAACCCGCCTCAGCTCCAGCTCTCAGCCTGTCGTTAGGTTGACTGAAAGTTAGACTGAGAGCATTTCCAACATGGAGTCTGCCCTTGATGGGACTCCAGCTCCCCCTGCAGGAACAGACGGGTGACGTCACTCAGGCTTCAAACATTATTATTTACAGTCTATACTCTAAACACACATGAGACTGCAATGACCCGAAGCTCAGCATAAACCAAGACTTCCCCCAGAAGTCAAAGTCAGTATTACACAGGTCACAGTGTTGGGTTTTTACGGAGAGGAAATATAACGAGCAATTTTTGCTCCAACAAATATACGTTCACCTGAGCTGAGGAGTCTTATAGATGGGTTCACTGCTGCTCCTCTTGTTGTGTTAGGTGGACCTGCTTAAGACCAAGGACCGGCTACTGGATATCACAGCAGAGCTGACGTGTGGAATCGTTAACGGACGTAAATTGCACGTCAGGCCGGTGATAAAGCCTCCGTGGGCTGAGAAGAGGCTGCAGAGAGACTCTGAGTCCTCGCTGGAAGAGGAAAAGTCAGGGCCCGAGGGCGGCGGCATGCTGAGCAAAGAGCAGCTGAAGGTGCTGAGGGGTCAGCGGGGCTGGCCTCACTTCAAAGACGTCTTCATGACGTCGTCGGTGGACAGAGAGGACGTGGACACGCTGAAGGTGAATTTAATGCTCGTAGTAAAGCATGCTCAAAACTTCTTCAACCCTAGCTTTATTATAACATGTCTCTCCATCCTAGAGTTACTTCCTGGTTGCAGCGAAGCCGGGCTCGTGGCCGTACCACAGCGAGGTCCTGACTGACCAGAGCCCCGAGGAGCTCTGCACCAACATCATCCGAGAGAAGCTTCTGGAGTATCTGCCGCAGGAGGTGCCCTACTCAATGACTCAGGTGACTAAGGGCGTTGAGGCTGCTCTCAATCACACGTGATGATAAGCTGGCAGCCTAGCTGAGTGCACCCATCACGTCTCTCCGCTCTGACTGACACTGCGGCTTATTTCAAGTCTTTCATTCTCTCTGTCACTCCACACACATGATGAAGCACCGTCCCCCTTCCCCAAGGTTCACCCTCATTTTAGAACAACCTTTATCCGCTTGGTGTTTCACCTCACTGTGATTATATTTTCTCATCATCTTCATATTGCTGGTTTGAATTGCGTCCAATCACTGAACTGTATCCACTCCTAAACTTACCTGCTGCGCTGTGGAGGAAACACACCAGTTTTGTGTTGTGTGTAAGACAAACTAAGAACACGTTCTTGATCCCGACCCACCAGATGAAGACCCCTGCTCTACACAATGCATGAATTGAATTATGGCCCTTAGTATTCAAGCCCTCCTCATCATGAAGACACGCAATAGACATTCAAAGAATTCTGGGATATGTAGTCATGACGGCTCCTCGTCCACATTGTTAACTTTGAATGTCTCTGCTTTCTTTCAGTCCATTGAACTCTGGCAGGATAGAGAAGATGGCGACCTGGATATTTCTGTGAAACTGAACGTCAGGAAGGAAACACACATGGTAAGAAGTGCTCTCTGGTTTTTTCTGGCTCTGGAGACGTGAGTCTTCTAATGGGACTCACTGTGTATGAAATATGAGCATTTGGGATTTTTAGGCAGTTTGTATTTTGTTTTTTTCACACCTACCATCAATGTTTTTGTCTTTCTGTGACTTTGCTGATGTAATTCTTCCATTTCACTGTGAGGGGAAATAAATCCTCTGTCCAATGAAAGAATGATTAAAGGTCTTAGTGTATGTAACTAAGAGGGTGATGTGTTGAAAGACATCTTAAGAAGTGAAACATGAAAAAGGAAATCAGATTTTATTCACTTTTGGTTTCCAAGTTTTGAACACCAAGACTCCCTAAATTTAGTTCTGGGGTAATTGATCTACCCCTAACAAAGACCCTGATTGTGGTTAGTACTTTCAAAAGGTCTAGGGACCTTGGGGGGAAGCAGGTCCTGCAGCACGTCTCTAGCCCTGTTCAGACCGCCGTTTCAAGCCGCAATAGTTGCGCCCTGAGATGTTCCGCCTTCGATCTGAATGTTGCAGAGGGGGGATGAAGTGATCCCCCTCTGTACCGTCTTCAGAGGCATTCGAGGAGAGACTGGATCAGCTGAGCCAGACAGGGAGCGCATGGTGTGTGTGTGTGTGTACATGTCTGATTGTGTGTGTATGTGGAGCTCCCACAATGCCAAAAAGTTGCTGTCATGTTCTCTGTGTTCTTCTCCGACGTGCGAGTGTGAGTCCGCCTGTCTTGTAAACTAAGCACGCTTCATAATGACATAAAGCCATGCATGTGTTGTATTACGACGTTTTGTACAGGAGGTAACCGTGCTCAGGCCCGGTTAGTCCTGGAGCAGTGTGAGTGCAGGTCAACAGGGAAACGTGGAGGGGGGGTAATCGTGCATCAGCAGCCGAGCCGAGTGTGAGTGCACCTTTAGAAGTGCTGCTGCTGGACTGAAACCAGAATGAGGGATTGTAACTGCTGGTCTGAGTGAAGTCTCTCCCTCTCTTTAAGACACCTGTAGCCCCTCCCACGCCTTCTCACATGTACTTACCGCTCCCTCGTACCTCCAGATCCCTCTTTCCTTGTCTTCATCACCTTGTTAATATTTCAGCAGCTTTTCTGAACCATGCATATTTGATGGCAGAGAATATTTGAAGCTCCATCTGTGGAGCTGAAGCACTTCAGGCCGACAACCTGTGAGCAGACCGACATCCTCCTCCTGAAGCTTTTACCTTCAGCTCAGGACGAAACCACAGAAACAAGCAAAAAAATCCAATCTCTAATTTATGAGGAGCTCTGTCTGTCATGTTCAGATTCTTATCGGTCAATCTTAGATATCATTGTTGAGTCATGTTTTCAGTTTGAGAGCTCGTTGCAGAGAGCCTCGCACTAATCCTCAAAGAGCGGGAAACACAATCCCCTGAAGATTTGGGATGATGATATGCAAACATTCAAACCCCACATTTAAGTGACAAATGCACAGACGACATATCAAATGTTCAAACTGAGACGTGTCTTTGCTTTTGGATTTTTGAATGTTTGTTTTGAATGTGATGTCAGCGATACGTTTTACAAAAAAAAAAAAAATTGGGACAGAAATCCTCCGCTCTCACGTCTGCTTTGTTTTGTGACCTTTAAAGTCTGCATGTTGGTGTCTGATTCTTACACTCAATTTAACCGTCTGACCCTGCACGCTCTGTGCTTCCTGACGCCCGCTCTGTTTTGTGTTTTCTGTAGAAGATGGTGATCGGCGCAGGGGGTCAGGTGGTGGCTCAGATGGCCCGAGAGGCGGGCGAGGACCTGAGCCGCGTCTTCCTCAGGGAAGTGAAGCTGAAGCTCTCGGTGAAGCTGAGGAAGTGAAAAAGATGGAAGAAGGACTTTGAAATGCATAAACCTCTGAAGGGATGAAGACGTGGAAAGATGGAGGACGGACATGAAGAGTCGAAGCAGGAGCAGTGACCTCCACAGACGAGATGTTTCCTGGAAACGCCTCCTTCTTTTTTACTTTATCTGCAGCCTCCTTTCATGCACACTCACACCTCGTTATAAAGACTCCTTAAGTGAGGAGGCAACAGAGGACATGTTGGTGTCATGGTGGAGAGAGATTTAACTCGTCTTTATCAGTCAAATCGAGAAATGACAGCAATAAAAAACCCGGTTTAGGAATGAAATGAATAATTGGAGTTTATTTGAGCAGTGATGTATTTTAGGCATCAAAATGACACAGACCGTCATCAAACGCATGTTTTGACAAGTTTGACAGTGTGTTCATGGCTGGGGAGGTTTGGCGAGCTGTGAAAAGGCCGATGGTTTATCTTTGGCTCTCAGAGCTCTTTACTTGGCGGGCGTTTGGCGCCTGATGGAACCTGCACAGTCATGTTCACTCAAATGTCCCTGATGCCCCCCCCCACCCCCCGCCCCTGTTCCCTCCACTCCCACATCACTTTAGCCTTCGCCGCTGCCTTTGAAGTGTGGCCATCTATCCTTTGCTACTATCACTTTTTGTTCCACTGCTTTCTTCTCCCCCTCCCCCTCTCCGCCTCCTCCTTCTGCTTTTTTGGCTCTTACAAAGCGGCGCTCTGCCCCCGAGGGCTGAGTCGTCTCCGTAATGGACGGCAGAATGGAGCACTAACCTGATGCTAAAATGGGTCAGATAATGGTGATTGGATTCCTTCCTGCTGCCTGTGAGTTAACTCTGTGGTTACTCTATCCAGGGCATCTTGATGAATAACCAGCTCGTGGCCTAAAGCGAGCTTGACAGAGGGAGGGAGGGAGGGAGGGGGGAGTGAAGGGGGGGCAACTCGACTCACAGAAGCTGCGTCAGCCCCTCCAGCTCTCTGCGCCGGCTGCTTCTCAGTGATTAGACGAGCCGGTTACGCAGCAGAGATCACCACTTAGACAAGCCAACTGCTGCTTGCAAATATTCTAGACGATGCACGTTAAAGTCATCCGTCAGACCCGGACACACACTTCACACGTTCACTCAATAAATGACACACTCGTTTGTTTGGGCGCCATCAGCTTTATTCAACATTCATCCACATGTACATTGTTAAAACCGTGTCCTCCAGAAGCTCCTGAATATCCCATGAAGTGACCTTTGTCATCCTCGTGGTCACGATGAGTTTGAGCGAGGGCCATATAACCCTTACCATTACTGGAACTCAGTAATGGTAACGGTTTGACGGCCCCCCTCTGCAGCGTGTGCGGCGGTGTTGGTGTCAGCGCGTCTCTGTTGCTGAGGACGAATGACCCCCTGGATAGTACATCATCTATACTGTAGTGTCTCTTTAATGAACTTACAGTATAAGATGATATCCTGTCCAGGGCTCAAGATGCGTCACGGCGCCCACACAGCGAGCTCCGGCCGTGCTTTTAACCTGTGAGGAAACACGAGGTCGACTCGTTAGCAACTTGAGACAAATGAGAGCGTTGATCAAAAAGTGAAGGTGCTGCTTTGAAAAGATTATTAAAAAAAAAAAACCTTTAGTTTAGAGTGGACCAACCACGGAACACTCACCGTTACACGCCACGTCGCTCAGATCGTCTTGCCTCTCGCTCACATGTTCCGTCTCATGTTCACGTTTCACCGCTGCTTGTTCACAGACGACTATCTGCTCTGCACGCCGGGCTCTGGCACTTAAAGGCCCCCTGGCTCATTAGCATACCGTGATGACATCTGGGTTGACCAGACAGCGTTTAAAAGGAAGGGGGGGTGGTGGGGGGGGGTCTTATCTGGTCCTGACCTGGACCCCCACACCCTTATCACGCCGGGCTGGACTTTGAAGAGAAATGAAAGTTTTTGTTGATACTCATTTAGAAGCAGGCGATGCAAGCAGAGGAGACTTTTTAATCAGTTTCTTTTATTCATTATTTGAACATCAAGTTCCATCATCAGGTCGTTTCAGCGTTGACAGGTTTCTGTTTCAGGAGGTCATTCAGCGTTAGAATGAAATGAACAATTATCAGGGACCCCTTAAAGAATCTTTTCCCTCAAATGTTGAGATTAAAGTCGTAAATTTACGAGCTGATATTTGTAAATCGGTCCATGGTTGAAATGATTATTCTTAAAGGTTGTATCAGAAGAGAAGCTGTCCACCTGCGTGTAAATGATGAAAGAGAGTCCTGATACTTGTGACAATGTGAGGCTGATGTGTCAAACGTATGTGTAGTTTGATATCTACAGACATAAAGCCCCGATATGTAGAGACCTTGAGATATTTATTTTTGGGCTTTTTCTGCCTTTATTGGACAGCGGATAGAGCTAATTTAGGGAGAGAGAGAGAGTGGGGAATGACATGCGGGAAAGGAGCCACAGGTCGGATTCAAACCTGGGCCGCCCGCTTGGAGGACTACAGCCTCCAACCACTGTGCCACCAGCGCCCCATATTTAGAGATTAAAGCAGTCCTTATTAGTTATAAAATGTACTAAAGTATAACTTCCCAAGATGCTCCACGTCCATCATTATTGTCGTACAGATAGTTTCTGCTCTCCTGATTTAACTATAGACTTAAATACCGTCTTTATTCTCGTAAATTTTCGACCTTCTCAAAATCTCTCTCCGATTGTTTTCCCCGGTAATTTCTTCCAGATCCACTTTTTAAGATTTTGGAATTGTCTTTAGGTCCTGATAGACAGTAATAACTCATGTGCTCTGAAAAAGGAACAAAGAAAATCTGTCATCTGTATCAGTTGTAAGCCTGTAAAATCTTCAACCAATGTCTGCCACGAGGTACCAATCTGATGAACCAATCACACGCCTCCCTGTCTCCCTGCTCGCTCTCTACCCCATGCGTGCACGAGCCCACACTCAAAGCGCGTCACCAATGACGGAGTTTATACTGTGAGTTTGTCGCTGGCCGTTGTGAGTAATCAAATAGTCTATTTTTTTTTAACGTGTATTATTAAGTTTAGTGTTTACTTAGGGCACTCGTGCATGTGAGTGAGGGGTGTGGCTTTTAAGGGAGCACAGAGGGGAGGGGGTGTAGATGGAGCACTGAGGGAATGCTACTTTAAAAATCATGCTCGTTTTTCTCAAATTACCAACACTGCTTTTAATGTGGCCCTAATACTCCTTCGTATAAACTGGATAAATCACAAACATGAAATGAGGTAACGCCTTAAATTTAGGTCACAATCTTTACTACTAACTAGCTGCTTATTAGCATGCTAGTTAGCAGCACACAGGCTGCTAACTAGTACCTTTATTCTACATGACCATGACTGTAGCTAATAGCGAGTCTATAGCATTATCTCAGCGCTTTCCCTCCTGATTACTGCTCATTGATAGTCAGTCAGGAAGTTGTTGAACATGAGTTATGATCTTGGCTGTTTGTTTTGATGATGATATACCACATTGTGATTCAGATGGAGAATATAAACGGTTGATGGTAAATGGTCTTGAGCTTGTGTTGTTCTTTTCTAGTTGATGTTAAAAAATGAAGTCGATGCTGAAGTGTAAAATCCTGCCGTTCCTCGAGTGTCCACTAGAGGCTGGCTGCAGACTAACAGGGTGTCACATACACACCCATTCAAAAAAAGCCTGGCCGTATCCGAATTGCCAAGTACATACTCAATCTTTCAGTAGGCAGTATGCAGTACGTACTATCCGTGCTGTATACTGTTTAGTATCTACTATTCAGTATGCACACACAGTAGGCAGATATTTGTTCCTACTTCATCTGATTCATTCAGTATGGAAGTGACGTCATTTACGTTTCCCAAACCGGCCACATTCACCTGTTTTTTGTTTTGTTTTTTTGTTTAGCTTTATTCAAGAAGAGTAATGCTCATATACAGTCAGGTAAACAAAAAACAATATCACAATGTAAATCAAGTAAAAGGCAGATTAAATAACTAAATAACATACAGTACATAAAGAAAAGTACAAATGAAAGACAGTAATATACAGAATATAAAATAAACCAATAAAGACGCATTTAAATAGTGAAATCATTATTTAAATAGAGGGGGAAAGGTTTTATAATAATGCAAATATTTGTTATATTTTCTGTTGTTAATTAAAAGTAGTGATTTCAGTCAGGACTTTAAATTAAGATTAAAAATTGATTAAATTAATCCACGCTCGTTTGTTTTGATTTGGAGGCGGACGTGAAGTGACGATTTATGTTTAATTTCGCACAGCATTGTGGGTGGTAAAACACAATTCATTTCCTGAAAGCACGCATCCGTAGTGCATAAAACCCGGAAGTTAGTATCCATACTGAAATGTTCAGTATACTGCGCGGACCCAAAAAATGTATACTGAATGACCACGAAAGTTCAGTGTACTGAAACTCCATACTGAATAGTACGTACTGCATACTGAACTGTGACAAGTCGGAAAGGGCCCCTGTCTCCTGATGAAACTGCATTTCCAGCATGGAGACCACCATCGATGGGACTCCAACGTCCCCTGCAGGAACAGACGGGTGACATTACTCGGGCTTCGTCCAGTAATATTTGAAGTTTTAATATTTGATGGTCTACTACCAACGCAGGCCTTATATTTATTTATTTATTTTAAGATTTATTTTGGGCTTTTCGTGCCTTTAATGCAGAGAGAGGACAGTGGATAGAGTCGGAAACCAGGGAGAGAGAGAGGGGAATGACATGTGGAAAGGGGCCACAGGTGGAGGTGAACCTGGGCCTACCGCTCGAGACGAGAGTCTCAATACATTGGATGTGCGCCCTAACCATTGCGCCACCAGTGCGCCCCATGCAGGTCTTATTTTAAGCTTAAATTTGAGTATTTTGCAGCTTGTTTTGGGGAATCTTCAAACTGTGAAATGTATTTTCTGTGTGCATTTCTTAATCCCAGAGTTTATTTAGACGTTTTACAAAACTAACAATTCGTGTCAAACATGAAAACTACTCTCGTTCTGCTCTGTGAAACATTTAGTAAAAATGAATCCCCCATACATTAACGTCAGGTCGGCTAAAATACATTCTTAATAGATCTCTAGAACAAATTATGGCACCCTACTGTGCAGGCATCGAATATGATCAGTATGAAAGGGTTAAAAAAAGAGAGACAGCAATAAGCTGCTGTGTCTCTGAACGTCTTCATCTGTCTAAAAGCGTTCATCTTAATCTCACAGTTTGTAAAACACCTAACGCTCTTCATCTCTGAATCTCCCTGCTTGTGGATTTATGAGCGATTGGTTCCGTGGGGTGTGAATTTAATGCTCCGATACGTCAGCTGATGTCACGAGATCTGACTTATTAAACTCTTTTTCAAACGCTCAGCTCGACTCCAGGAAACGCAGAGCTGAGATGTGTTTTTTATTGGCAGTGTCACACGCACGTCAGATTCACAGCCTCAAATTAAAACTCGGACTGTGATGGAGCGGCTCGCAGTTTGCAGTCGTTTGTCTCCGATACCTGACAGTTTGACTACAACCTGCAGAAAATAAGTCTCCATGGGGGGCTCTTCTCCCCTGTTACATTCAGCTGTAAACTGAACATGCAGCTGCCAAAGATGGTTGATTATTAACTAAACAAGGTCTGAGTCATGTAGTGCAGAATAAGCACAAAAAAATCCACTTATTACATGCATTCTGCAGCTTTTTATGGTGGGCGTTTATGACATGAGACGTGATCTTTACGAGGTGGGATATGAGGGTCAGGCCTCTCCCTGGTTTGGGTGTGGGGGTCAGTCTTGGGTGTGAGACGTCCTCCTGTACACTCAGATAAAGATGGAGGTGGGACCAGCAGGGTGGTTTGAGTTTATCTGCTGCACAGATGTTCCATACGCGCTCTCAGATAAGTTCCTCATGGCGGCTTGGAAGTGCAAAACCAAACCTACAAAGTGTGGAAGACTTTCTACAAAGCTTGAGACACATTTACAAGAAGCCCAAACAAATGAACAAATGTCAGAATCTTGCATGAAAGGGAATGAACCAAATCCTGGAAGTTTAGAGGACAAAGGTGAGATGGAGGGTCTGGAAGGTGCACTTAATCCTTCAGTCTTGTCCGTGTCCTTCAGAAACTCCAGAGACCCTGGACACTCAGGTGGGTTAGTCAAAGTGGTGAAAACATCATTCAGTTACCATAAACTCTGTAATACACCACAGGCCCTGGACACAACTTTCATTGGGCCCTTACCTACACACGCAAACATTACTCTCTCACTGTGTGTGTCCTCCCCAAGCATGCAGAATGTGTCTGCACAAAAACACATAACAGGGCAACCCACGATCACACAGCACATATTCTTTTTGAAATTCGATGCCATGATTCGCCTATTACTCATTTCTCAGTGTGAAACGTGTTTACAGCATTTGGTACATTCCCTCTCCGGACAGATTCTGGACATTTGTCTCATTAAGTTTTGCTCGTTAAAGTGTTAAGCATGTTGTCAACTTCACATTTACATTTCTAAAATGTAAATGTGTTTGGTCATCAATAGATGTATTTCACTTTTGTCATTATGTTTTCTAAAATGTAAAACGATTCTCCAAAATTTGTGTCAAGCTTTGTGAAAGGGCTTCGCACTCAGTGGGTTTGGTTTGCACTTCCCAGCCATCGTAGTTCTTCACCTCTTGAGGGAACATGAAGGGTCATTTAACAAGCCGACTTTTCCCCAAGTGATCAGAGGGAAGTTCTTATGATTTAATTAAACTTCATGTAGAAGAGGAAATAATCTTCCTCCTCTCTTTCTTTCTCATGCCTGGCCCTGATCCTCTTCTGTAATGACATGGCCTCACACACTATGCTCACACAGGAGGTCACAGGAGATTGTCCTCGTTACAGGAAGGTCAAAGGTCGTAATCCAGACTCAGCAGACTCGTAGTAAAACGACGGTGTAGAGAGCAGGCCTGAGATCTTTCAGACTGAGCTGTGTTTGTTTCCTGATTATTGTCTTGACTCTGCAGGCTGTGACGCTGAATTGTCCTTCTGGGATTATTCAAGTCGTCTGAATCTGAATCTTGTGAGATCTTCAAATGGAACCAGTTTAAATATGACTTGACCCTCTTTAACAGAAGGCCCTTCATCCCCTGATCCATTAGAGTGAAACCTTTAACCAGCTGCAGTGTTCTTGTTACTCAGGGAGAGTCAGAGACAACAGATCCGTCTCTACATTTTTATGTGACATATTTTTTCCTTTTTCATGAAGCATTTCTGCAGATTACAACACGACCATAAACAGCGGGTTGGAGCAGCAAAGCCCCCCCCCCTCCCTCTGAACACATAAATTACAAAGAACATAAATAAACCAACTGCAGGCCGACACAGCAATACGAGAACGTCCTCAGTAATCGATTCATCATTTTAAAACCTAATGAATGAACACGTTTCATCAGATGTCCTCGACATCCTGGCTTTAAGGATTCTTTAAATATAAAGTGAGATTAAGATTATTTGGATTCTCTGTAGAGATTGTTCCCTAAACTTGATGAAACCAGCAGAGGGTTTACACACAGTGCCATTAGTGAGAGACTTTTATTCAAGTTGTCTAAAGACAGCAGAGTTAAATTCATGTTTGTATTCTGTTTTAGCTTCATGCTTCGGTCTGGGCTGTGAGTTTATCACTGACAGAAGTCTGAGTTTGAAAAGGGGACTGTGACTGCCCTCTTCTGGCTGACAAGGAATGGTTCATGCTCCAAAGTGAGGCCCGAGGTCATTACGGGGGAGAGGGGGCGGCAAGGCAGAATAAAAACACTGCACACCGTTTGGCACTGCCAGCAAAGCATTTGAAAGTCAGTGCGTGGGGTCGCATGGAATTCAAATAGGGTCGAGGCTCCTGTGTGTATGATATCCAATGCCAAAACAAGAAACCTGCAGAGTGTCTGTCTGTCTGTGTAGAAATCTCCTCTCAGCCTCTCTTCCTCTGCTCAAAATGATCAACATGAAAAAGCCTGTATTGTGTCCAAGATGAATGTTTCCCGGCACCACAGCAGAAAAACATGATTTAAAACAAATTCACAAAGCTGTTTGTGTTTTGGATTTCTGGGGTCATCAGAGTTTGGTAAAGTCAAAGTGGGGTCACAGGCCAGAAAAGGTAGGGAACCACTGATTTAGAAACATCCTGCCTATGAGAGATGGTTTTCTGTGGATGTCTCAAATCAACTAAGTTTAGATTCTGGTCTTGAATGCTCTGGATTTGTTTGGACCAGAGAAGGTAGGGCGTTTTAAGACACCCCCACACGGCCGTTTTGGATGCCCCTCAGTTTGCCAGATATGAGACCAGTTATCAGGTCAAACCAACAGGTGTTGGAAGCAGCAAGAGAAGTGGTTCAGATAGAAGTGATTGTACCCGACCTAAAAAGCCTCTGCATGTTTCTAGTAAGCTCCACGAGCAGAAACGTGCTCAAACTAGGATCAATATTGGAGATGATTTTGAAAAATGGAGAGAGGTTAGAACACAGAAAGGTTTACAGACTGATGCAGAGCTGGATAAACACTGAAGCTTCAGTGTCCACCACATGGCAACCTGTGTGAGCATCGACTCTAGAGAGGAGGGGGGCCGGGGGAGACAGCTCTCTACAATGTTTAGAATTTGGACTGCAGTACCCAAACACTAGTTGTCAGAGTTACATACTGCTCCTTTAAGTGGAGGTGTGTATGTGAGGAAGCCCCAGGGTAGTTTAAAGTCTCTGTATGTAAATGTGCTGCAGCTTTAGAAACAGGAAACGGTTAAAAAACAAATATGCATATTAATAAATATTCTTTATTTAGTAAATTGTTGCACATTGCATTCTTGACATCACATCATCCAAATCCTTGTTACAAATGGATTTTTGATTCTCTGTAAAATCTCTATATTTAGAATTCCTGTACACATATAACGGTACGACCTTTACCACTACATTGACGTGTCACCAAAATAGAAAACAAGAAAACATAAAAATAAGACTCCTAAAATGTATCCCTAACATCACAGCTTGCAAAGCTCGTTTACTGATTCCACTGTGCTCCGACCCAATGACCCTACAGAAGACCAACGACACCAAGCTAGGTTTGGTCAGGGAGAACAACCGCAGGCAAGAACGCAGCCAAGAGATGAGAAAGTGTGTTTGTGTGCGATTGCAACAGAAAGTCAGAATCACGACACTTTAAAAAACGGAGAAATGACTGAACCAGACACCAAACGGACTTCACAGTTATCTCAGTGAAGACGCTGCAGCAGTGGTCACGAGTGTTGCTCCCCGGGTGGCGGTGGCAGCGGTTTGTGCAGTTAGTTGACACTGGTGGTGGTGGCAAACCACTTCCCACACACGGGTTTACTCTGCTCATTGGAGCGGCAGTAGTTGGTGAATTTCTCTTTCAGGAGCTGGCGGTACTGGTGGCGGTTGTTGTAGAAGGACTGGTTTCTTTCTAGAAATGCCTGAATCTCATCCTGCGTCAGGAAGTTCTCCTCGTCGGAGGCCACTTCGGAATCGTCCTGTCGTAACAAGAACAAAAGAAAAGGACAGGAGGTTACATAAAAGATGAAGATGTAATCATAGTTTTCCTTTAGAGCTACTCGGTGAAACAGAGCGTACACCATGTATCAGGGGTCGAACGATTATCGGCAGGGCAGAGCTTGTATATTTCTTTTTTTGTCTTCTGACGACTCAAAGCACTCTAGAAAAATAGCTCACAAAATAGCTTATCATGTATCACTACAAGAAAAGTCTATTATCACCTTCAGGTGTTTTGCATACACACACCTGCACCGCAGGTCACAGCTACACATTCACACCCTGATAGTAGAGGAAGTTACAAATCCATTCACACACTCCAGATCGGAGCTGGGGATCGAACCCCCGACCTTCCTGTTGAGAGACGACCGACTCTACCACTGAGCCACAGCTGCACTAACAGCATATATTGCTCCCAAACCTGAATATATAGTTCAGTATTCCTTCACTAATGTGCAGGTGACCCATGCACTGTGCACTAATGCTCCTCCGCACCATCACAGATTCTGGCGTTTTGAACAGAGCGCTGATAACAAGCCCGGTGGTCCCTCTCCTCTTTAGCTCGGAGGACGAAGGACCTGCCCCTCACAGCTGCCCACATTAGAAAACTGGATGATCTGATTCATTTTACTGATGAAATTCATTAATTTTAAAGTGTGCTACTTTGGCTCCTAGCAGGTGTGTTTTTCCCTCTGGGTCTGTCTCACCCAATGTCCCGCCCACAACACTTTCTGATTGGCTAGACGTCACACAAGTAACAGCCAATCAACACTGAAGCCTGGGAGCCGCTGATGTGCACAACTGAGGAAGTCATTTTCCCGATGTGTCCAACATGACATGAATGCAGAGACGGATATTCTCTAACGCCCCGTGTCCACCTGCCATTTTGCCAGGCAGAAAAGCGCTGGCTGTACGCTCGAGTGTTTACATGAAGCGTCCGTCCATGTCTGTATGACAGAAACCGCTCCGTTACTTTTTACTGCATGTTTTTTATTTGAGATATTTTATTTCCTGATCAGACACGGAGCGAGGAGGACGAGGGTACAAGACACGATCTGTAGGAAGCTAAACTACGGGGAATATCAGACATTTGGAAAAGAGGGACGGTGATGTCAACGGAAAGATTTTCAACTTAAGCGCTCGGAGCAGCTGCACAGAAACGGCAGCGTGCTTTTTTCTCCAGGCGGCCGCTTTCTGCTGCTAACGCTCTCTACTCATTGAAGACAACTGAAAAAAAGACGCTAACCCACTCAGAAGACAACGCCAGGTGGACACGGGGCCTAAGTTCTGTTTCATGGGGACTCTAACAGAACCAGCATCTGACCATAACAAGTCAAACCGTCTCACTAACCAGCAGTTCCACCAGACTGATGCTCGCCTCTGCAGCGCTCCCGTTAAGGCTGAGGTTCTTCTGATGAGCCGTCCACGGTAACCTTAGTGCAAGGTTGGCGAGTGCGTCTTCACAAAGGGACGAGAAGATTTCTTTGGTTCGGCATGAACGCGAAGGTAGACTGTGGCGTGCCGTGTTCCCGTCTGACGTGCAACCTTCAGCCTTCTTTCCCTGCAGGAATGAGAAACAGAACCATTTAAAACACGCTTATTAAATATGAAGCATGCAGCGTGACACGTCTACCGGCGCTCGCTCACCTGACTGTTGCATAAAGCCTTCCCCTTCCGTTTCTTCTTTTTACTCTTGCACTGACTGTTCTCTTCGGAGTGCGTCCAGCAGTCCACACAGCTGTCTAGGGCGTCCTCCTCTTTGTCTTCAGCACAGTGATGGGTGTTGGTCTCTTCTCCTGCAGAGGGTGAAAAACAAAATAAACAAAAAAAACTCAAAAAAGCTCCAAGATATGGAAACATTTTGTCACAAGAAAATAAAATCTGTTCTTCTGAATTAACGATCAGCAGCTTCATTTAGACCTCTGAACATTCCCAGACTGATTAGATTTATTTGGGTTTGACACATGAGGAGATACTCGTGTCCTTAGGTAACATCGATGACAACGTTCTTAGTTTGTCGACTCTGCACAGGCTGCTCAGATCTTTGCTCGTTCAGACACACACCTCGCTGCAGCTGAAAATACAATCAGTTAGCTACGTGCTGACACAGGAGACAATCAGGTTACTGCTGAAAATACTGGATCCCACGGCACAACCACAAGCCGCTCGTAACTTGTAATTCTGAGATAATTGTCTCGTCAATTCAGAAAACCTGAGCAGATTTTTATTCTCTCGTGTGAAAGCAAAGCGCTCCTGTACAAAGAAACCTCGGAGTATATACGAATCATATTGTGTTTTTAGTCTAAAAAACAGAACGCCGGCTCAGAGCAGACCTGCTTCGTCGTGGTTGCATATTCCCTCGGAGCAGGCGATGTCAGAACCTTCCCGTGAGCCGATCTCGCTGCCCTCCATACTTGAGGAGTATCCACAGTCACTGCCGTTGCTCTGAGGGGACAAATCTGCAGAAACACAACCAACAAAAAACAAAACACACCATCTTAAAGGCCTATTGTTTATGCTAACGGTCTTTCCTCTCTTTAATGTGGCGTCCTCCACAGACAAACGGTTCATTTCTGGGGCTGGCCTTGACTTTGAATACTGTTTATGAAAGATGTGTTAAGTGTGTGACAGGATTAGTCCTGGACTTGGTCTTTACTCTGTTTGGTGCTCTCCGGGCAGTTACAAGAAGAGCTCTGGTTGGTGGCGGTCTCATCACATCCCGCCTCCTCCTCCTCCTCCTCCTCCTCCTCCTCTTGGCTGCCACAGACTTTGCAGGAGTCCTCCACGGACTCAAGAGAACCCTGAAACACACAACCCGGGTCAGAGTTCAATAAAGCGAGCACATAATCCAACCCTCTTATAATCAAACAAGGCCAGACTCTCCCTCGTGGTGGATGATTACCTCGTCTGTTTTTTCCTTGTCGTCCGCCTCCTGTTCTGACACGTCAAAGCCACACTTGTTTTTCCGTCGATTTTTACGCTTCTGCCTCTTTTTCTCCTGCTTCAGCTCTTTCGCTCTCTCCTCCTCGGACAGCTCCTCTACAAACTGCTCCAGGCGACTGATGCCCTGCATCTTCTCCACAGCCATCTGACAGAAATGGTTAACAGAAACATGACTCGCCCGTCTTAACCCTTTCATCACCTCATAGTTTGAAATATGAAGTTTCGTTACCTCAAAACTTTTGCGTAGTGCATCGACCCCCAAATGGAACAAAATCTGCCAGGTCTGCTCCTCTGCTCGTAGCTTCTGCCAGATCCTGTGCAGCCGCTCGTACAGGTGAATACCCAGACAGGTCAGGACTTCTTCCTGTGCGATATCAATGGTCTTGGCGTGTCTCTCTCTGCGTCTTAGAGAAACCCAAACAACATCCTCAACATACTGAAAGGAACAAACCGACTAAGTTAGAAACTATCTGAAGCTCTACTCACTCGTAGCCTCCTGCAAACTCCGGCTCTGCCCGTCCGAGGAGGTGAGCGATAAAGTCTGTCTCACAGCACACGTGGATGTGGCGTTCATGGGGGCAACAGCACAGCCCCTCGTACAAGGCGGCGCAGTAGCCCTTCTCTTTGCTGCAGTCCAGCTCCCCCACCAGGATGTTGTACGCCCTCAGAACTTTGTTCTTGCAGTCGGTGCAGAATCTGTGGACGTTAAGTGATGTGCAGTTATTGCGATTGTTTTTAAACCTCCCACTGTAACGAGAGTGGAAATCAGGTATTTAGTGCGAGGCTGTGGTGGTCGCACACGTTACCTGTGTTTACGCAGGTATGTCTCCAGAGTCTCTAAAAGACAAGCACTGTCGATGAGGACCACCTCGTCCCTGCACTCCTGAGACATGAGCTCCCAAACGTCCATCCAGCTCCCCCTGGAGGCAAATATACAAACATTATGACTCTGACTATCAAACCTTCAATAACTAAGAGAAAACTAACTGATCTAAGGGCCCGTGTCCACATGGCGTTTTTGTTCTGAGGGCCAACTTCTTTTTCTTTTTTTTTGTTAAGATTTATTTTTGTGCCTTTATTAGAGATAGGACGGTGAATAGAGTTGGAAATCAGAGAGAAAGAGAGAGTGGGGAATGACATGCGGGAAAGGAGCCACAGGCCCACTGCGCCACCAGCGCCCCGAGGGCCAACCTCTTTGTTCAATCATTCCCAATGAGGAGAGAGCATTTTCAGCAGCAAAGGCGTGTAGCATCTGTTTTTTCGGCTTTTTATTTTTTGTCACAGGCACTATTTTTTCAAAATATATGACATACCCTGTATTTTTGTCTCTTACAGATCGTGTCTCCTTCTCTGTGTCTGATCGGAGGCTCGATGGCGGGGCCGTCACCATTATTAATCTCATCATCCAGACAAAGCAGAAGGACAAACATCCTCCGTTTGATGCTCACAGTGACGGAAAAAACCTCAAATATAAAACGTGCAGTAAAAAGAAAACGGAGCAGTGTCGGCCATACAGCGGCTGTCTTAAAGAGACTGTTGTCATAGAGACAGGACGGACGGCAGCACTGCGTCTTTTCTCTCAGAGGACAAACGCTTCATTTTGCCCCCCGAAAAAGTGTCAGGTGGACACGGGGCCGGACACTAGCCCCATTACACACTGCGTCACAGTTTCATAGCAACCTTCTAATGATCACAATAAAGATTATAATCAAGACTTCTCACACTAACATCCATCATGCTGTCCAGAGGAGAATACGACTGACACACAAATCAAGAGGTGGAATGACTCACCCCAGAGGTTTGGGCTTGTGCGTGTCTAAGGAGTGCAGCTGGCAGCGTTTGTTCTTCTTACTTTTTGGTATGGCATCAATCATGTCGTTCAACTTTGACCTGAAAACAAAGAAAAAACAAAGCTTTTCTTACAACACTCTGTACAACAGAACAATTGTCTATTGTTAATATATTTGACAATAGATGGTAGTATTTTAACACCACAATAAATGGCTAATTTATCGTTATCGCAATCAAAACATCGCAAACGTCCGAATCTATCGCATTCTATCACCCCACTGTACCGTCTGCAGAGGTGGTAAGAAAGGCGTTACAGAGGAGAGACAGGATCAGCTGAGCATGTGTGTGCATGTCTGACTGTGCCAAAACACAATATGAATTCACGGACTGGGACACCAATATTACACCCTCATGGAATCAATATGACAATACGAAGACGTGATGACGGCAGAGCTTAGATACGGCGCTGTGGTCTGAAAACAGCTTGTGACTCACCCATGGACGTAGAAGAGGTTGTAGAGCTTCTTCACGTCTGACAAACAAGTTTTGGTGACAGAGAGCATGCCTCTGGGTTTCACAGTGAGGGGCTCCAGGGCCGGGTTCCCTGATTCTACCAAGTGTGAGAAGAGGCGCTCCACACTGCGTCTGCAGCCCACGCATGGCACCGGCTGAGACAACGCAGCGTACACCTCCCTGGAAGTCACCATCAGGGCCATGTTCAGGTCCTGCTGCTTCAGCTTGGAGTAATACTAAACACAAAGGTTAGATTTATGTTAAGACTTTGTTGACCAATCAAATGAAGGCACACCTCACACCTGTGAGCGCTGCTGATGTACTTGAAAAACATTGAAACAATGACGTGCATAAAACTGCCCACCTCAGAAAACTGTTTCCAGTGAGACACGTTTATGTCGTTGCTGTCCACGTCCATGACACTGTCAGAAAACTCCATCACCATCTGACAACAGAAGATCGTGAAACATTTTAAATGCACATTCTGGAAATATCCAGAGACTTACATCAGGATTGGATCGTTTTTATAAGCGACAATCTCTCCTCCAAGGAACGTCTGGCGTGAGGAAATTGATAGATCAGATGCAGTAAATTAATGATTTATAAGAAGAAAAATTTTTGGGGGAAAGCATTATGGACAAAGACACTCAGACTTTCCACACCAGTCTTTCCCGTAAGTCCCGGCGGAATAGGGGACAAACAATGGTCAAATAACTATATGAGGATCAAGGAAGTCTGTCAAGTAATGAAGGTTATGTGCAATCACACTGTGCTTTTCCTAATAAAAAGAACATTTCAAAAAAAGAGATTGATAGATCAATGCTGTTGCTGGTCACTGTAGGTGCTGCACCCCGTTTAATCTCAGATAAACCCTAAGTCACTTTGTCCTAAACCCGGGCCTTCTTAGTTTGGCCCTTATGAGCTAGACGTAAGCAAAAGCATATTTAGATCATAGTTCATGTTCAACAACTCCTTAACTTACAATCCACGAGCAGTAATCAGGAGGGCACTGAGGGCAAACTCTTAGTTAAAGGCTTATATGCTTTAGACTATGGTCATGTAGAATAAGGTACTAATAAGCAGCCAGTTAATGGTGAATATTGTGACCTAAATTTAAAGTGTTACCAAACCTTCTATTCTATTTTGGTGATGGTCGACGCTTTTATAACTAATCGGTTCTTTTCTGGTCTGAAGTAAAGAAAGAGTACTGAAAACACAAAGAGGCTTATGAATGAGTGAACCACTTCATGGAAAGAGATACTCACCGTGAGGGTGTCGTCGATATGCAGAGGGATCTGCCTGGAGAGGAAAGGGTAGTCCTCCTCCCCTTCCCTGCAAACTGCTACTAAACGAGCCATGTTTGTTTCTTTTCCTCCGGGTCGGGTTTGTTGATGCAGCTCGCCTGCAGAGGATGACACAGAAGAGACCCGCTGACACCAGCACAAGCCACATCCAGCTAATGCTAACAGTCTGGTGCAGGTCGTGGCGAGCTAACATTGCACAACTTTAATTTTACACCAATATCAAAGTCACGCGAGGGGGCAGTAAAGCAAAGCAGACATCTTCCCTAGCGTTGAAAACTTCTGATTTAACGTCATCGACACTTTCGCAACAACGATTTGTCTTGACCCAGATTGAACAGGCTAACTTCAGTTAGCACAACAACTTAGGAACAGGAACTTGTGTGTGTGTGTGTGTGTGAGGGGGTGTGGGGTATAAGGGTGTATTATTTCAGGTAGTCAACAGAACTTCTACCTGTGCAGATTAACATGACGCATGTCGAGAAGAGTAATATTTATTTGATTGGTAATGAAAAAACAATCAACCGGCTGCTAGCCAGTTAGCTTTAGCATGCTAGCTGATTTCAACAGCAGCGCAAGAAGGACGAAGCCGGCCATTGTGTTTCTCTTTATACTCCTTTATACTGCTGAACTGCTTTACAGTTATTTGTTTTAATCCGTGGATAACAATGCATCGACACACGAGTCGTGTATATAAGTGTTGACAGTTTTTCACACCATGTCGATGCCAGCAAACTTTGCTAACTTACTGTTTAGCATCGCTGCCCTTCCAAGCTAACGATAGAGCTAAAGTTAAACCGGCGCTTGTACAGCTTCTATTTCGTGACGTTTTAAACAATCTGTCACCTTGAAAGGATGTGATGTAGGTGCGAGTTACTGGTTAACTGGTTTACTCACCCGCTTCTGAATTTCTACCCTTTAAAGATAAACAAGTGCGACGGTGAGTGAGGCTGCTACGGCGAAGGAATCTTCATCACTCGTTTCACCTTTGCCCTCTGTGGCTGCGCACGCAGAAGCTGACGTTGTGATGACGTGGCGCCTCTAGGGGGCGCAGTGCGGGCACAAGCTGCTCATTCATAAAGGAAAGGCTGTAACTAATCCACTTTAACCTCACAGTAATGATTGATTAACAGGAAGACGGTTTGACATAAAGTGATCCGTGTTTTATTTTATTTATTTAACATTCATTTCACATTTATTTCACCAGGTTGGTCCCGCTGAGATTAAGAACCTTTTTATTCCAAGGGAGACCTGACCAATACAGCCAGCAGCAAGAGCACAACGTTACACACAGAGACATAAAAGAGACAAAGCACAATTTACAAAACACTAAAATTAGCAATCTGAGTCAAACCTGGGATTTAGTAGCTCAAGCAGTCGTTCTAAAAACACTGACATCCATCTGTAGAATATTTTGAGACGCACCTGTATGAGTCCATGAAAGAAAGGTGATAGCCACTGACAGGTTACATCAGTTGGATGAAGAGCATGTTTTAACATCTTAAAGAGAACATTTCCTGTCGTAGAAATTAGAGTCTAGACAAATCAGCTCTCTTTGGTGTGAGCGGAAAAACAGACTATGGATGACCCTGATGAAGGCCACGCGCTGAAACGCATCGGTCTAAGAAAGTTAATAAAGTTGATCTTCGTTCTACAAGTGCTGCTGGAGCTTTTTGACCTCTTCAACCCTTTCACTCTCCGTGCACCTTAGTAGTTGGTGAAATTGTGCCTGCTAACCCTACTCTGCTTCTACAGACCTTCCTCTTGTCCAATATGTACTAGTATGCCAAAATAATTGTTTAGATTTCAGTTTAACTTAAACATCCTTTACAATTTAAATGCAATCAAATTATACACTAGTGGATGTATTATGTATGGATTAGTCTAAGCACCACAACAAAGAACCTTTTTTAAAGTCACTTTTTGGGGCTTTTTTTTGCCTTTATTAGAGAGGACAGCTGAGGAGAGACAGGAAACGTTGGGAGGAGAGAGAGTGGGTGGATGACACACAGCTAAGGGGCCGAGGTCAGATTCAAACCCCGTTGCGACGAGGACTATAGTCTCTGTACATGGTGCGCACGACATAACAGCTAGGCTATCCAGCGCCCCTACAAAGACCTTTAAAGTTGTCCCAATCAGATGCAGTCCGATAGTAAAGATGGTGCTTTAGGTCAAAGGACGATAATGCAGAGGAATAGTTTGCTTTTAAATGCTAGACTCTCTGCTCACAACACAGAAGGAATAAGAACTTTCATTTGCACATATAAACAAAGCACACACAGTCAATATTCAGCAACTCAGAGGACTCTTTTTTGAATGAAGCTCTACGATCAGTCAGGAAGATTTTGTATTTGCCTTAATGGTCGGGTCCATCTCTCTTTCATCCCTCTCTCGCACTCTCACTGTCATTTTCTGGGGCTGTCATTGGTTAATTAGCAGTCTGGTCAGCTGTGCTCATCTAATCAATCGCATGGCGTTCCTCCCTCGTTGTCAGCCTACCATCGTTCTGCTCCCCTATTCAAACATGACTCCTCCTCTGCCTTTATAGTTCCTTCTTGCCGATGTTTCATACGCCCCTCCACCTCCTGATCACCGCCCGTCTTCACAAAATCATCATCCATCAATTCTTCACCCATCCGGTCTCAACTAGTCAGCAGATCCACCAACACCAGGGTCTGGACTCCATGGGGAGGATTTATTCTGTTAATGCTAAGAATCATAGAGTCCACAGGGTCCAAGCGGCAAAGTCTTTGTCTCAAGTCACATTTCTATGTTATCGTAAAAAATCTTTTTCTTTATTCACATCTCTGCTGATTGAAATAATAGTATGAGTATTTTAACATTTAATTCCAGCCCCATGATACGGATTCATCTCGCAGTTTTACAAACTCAACCTCACCAGAATTTAATTGTGATCCACAAACGTGTAAGAGATAAATCACAAAGCAATTCATGAACATGTACAACACTAAAACACACACTGACAACAAACTGCTGCAGCTCAGGGTGTCCACCACAGAGTTGGTCATTCCTGTCATGACATTAGCGAGCAAGAAAAAGAACAGCTGATTCCTGCTGACAGCTTGAACGAGGCACAGTCCGTCCATGTCGTCCGTCTTTTGGTCAGAGTCCGATTGTTTTTTACACAAACTCCACGACGAGGGGACCAAATGACAGCCTGATGTCTTTTTGGAAAACAGTAACACCATATCAGCGAAACCGATGCAGCACAGAAACAACAGCGACTGGGCAACGCTCCAGATGAAGAAAGATAAATTAGCTAAGCAGCGAGACACCGGCTCTGTGAGGGTCTGACACACCCACAGAGCAGCAAACAGGGCAAGAGACACAAATGAGAGGTTGAAGAGTACTTTAAGCCACTGTCGAACCAGGGATCTCGGCTGCATGACGTAGAGTCCAACCTGAACTCCTGCCAGGTAGAGCGCTACATAGCCCACGACGGAGAAAATGCCCTCCTTGTTAGCATGCAGAAAGTCTTTTTCTCTGTCGTTGTTGTGGAGAATGAACGCCTTCAGCTCCGTTTTCTCCAAAGCAAGCTGATAAAGTCCACTGATCATAACTGCATACACCCACGACCGATTGGCTGGTAGAACGGCCAACAGCAAAGAAGCAACAACTCTGACGATGGCGAGTGTGAAGAAGAAATTCCAGTGGACGCCGTATTCTGTCACATGCTCGTGGTAGCCGGTCATTTTGACGCTAACCAGCCGTCCCATACCTAGAGCGAGCAGGGGCCACACAGAAAGGAGCTGCTTTTTGATGTGATTCATCCTGGATCCTGAGAAGCTCTTTCCCCGAGCCTCCGGACAAACAAGAGCGTTGGCAAAAACATACGCCCCCACACCAAAGTCCATCACACCTGTCCCGTAGGTTTCCGTCTTAGCATAGCGTCTCGGAAACACACTGAAGTCTACAGCAAGAATGCTGATGGCTGTTTTGACATTTACAAGCACTCTGAATATCGTGACAAAGGGAATCTGCTTGTATTGGACATGACTCTGAAGAAAACTGCTGACAGTATTCTGCGGATGCTGGTTTTTAAGATGGACGTAGCAGTAGAAGCAAAGTGTAACCAAGAGCAGGCTCGGGATGACGTGTTGGAGAACGCTGCTCAGGATGGTGCAGGACAGAACGAGGGGAAGGATGAGCACGGAGAAGTCTAGAAACAGGTGAGACAACAGGGGAGTGGCAGTGGAAGGGTCTCTTTGGCCTGGTAGTAGAGGATCAGGATGAGTCCTCTGTTGATGAAGCACACTGGAGAGAGGAGGGAACCCAGTGCCACTTCCTGGAGACTGGTCCCATTGAGATTACTGACAAACGCCTCCTTCAGGTCCTTTTGTGACATGGCCTGCACACAACAAAATGCACGTATTACTACAGGAGATAAACATGGCTGCAGTCAAAGAGAACACCATCAGGGTCACTACCCATAATGAATTCAAAGGGACCTTTTTCTAAAATCCAGTAAGCTACCAAACTGGAACCTGGTGTGTACGGTCATATGGGGAGAGGAGTTTTGAAAGGTCAGTGGGGTCAATTCCATTTAGCACCTTGAACACAGTCAGCAGTATTTTAAAATCAATCCTCAGCTTGACGGATTGTAAGGAGGAAGGAATTGGAGTGATGAGATCTCTTCTTATTGAATGTGTTAAAACTCTGGCTGCCTCATAACATGCACATAACAATTTAATATTAACAATAATATTAATAATAACTGTACGACAGAGTATTTCTCGGTCTTGAAGTGAGAGGTTTGTCAGGAACTCTACATATCACAGTTTCTTTAGGAGCTGAAAACCTCTCCTGGTCTCACTTTCCCACTTCCCCACATATTATTTCACTAGCAAACCACGAATGGGGTCAATTCGGATGCTTTAATTTATACAAATACGTCAATAACGTGACTACAGCAAGTGTGTGTTAAGACACCAGTACTTACGTGTTACTAAAGGGTTTCCTCCGCGGCGGTGAGAATTCAGTTTCACAAAAATACCTGTTCTGCAGCATACCTATTCATATTTGCTTCAAGTTCCGAGTTTATCCTAGCCATCATCATGCTCACATCAACATGAGAGCGGCAATGCGTACTTCCGCATTCAGTAACGTGATGCATTCATAGAAGCTCGGATTTCGCAGAGTTTCTATCTAGTTTTTATTCGTTCTGTATTCACGAATGCAGCATAACTTCATTGTCCTAACCTTGCATCTACCAGAGGGGCCTTACTTTATTACAAAAGAAAAGCACACAGCAAGTAAAGTACTCTCAGGTTAAGACAGTACACAAATGTATTTAAAAGCCTAAAAAATATATATTTTTGAATGCGAAATAATGGAATTTCAAACGTGCAAATATAATGAGATTTATCACGATTAACTATTGAAATATAACGATTAATCAAAATTTTAAAAATGTTAAAATTTGACAGCCCTTTATAATAACTTGAAATAAATGAAAATGCAATTAAAAAAATTGGGGGAATCAATGGAAAACTGAAGTAATTCAGGGAGTCTCAACGCACTTTTTTACTTTCTGGAACCTCAGGTGTTGCGTTAGTGTTTTGGGCTGTCTCAGCACCTGTACCGTAAACCCCAGAATAGACACTCATCATTATTCATGCGCGGGACAGGTGGCTTTACGACAGCGGGAAGAGGGCGGGAATAAGTGAGGCACCGGGAGCTCTCATGCCGTCATGCAGCGGGCTCGGGAAGTTGTCCTTGAGGAATGTCTGACAGGAATGGAAAATACTGAGGTTCAGGACAGCAAAGTAAAATAACCAAAACTTGACTCTGACGCTTCATTTAAGTTAGTTTTTTGAACGGGTTTCCCTCCGTTGACTCGGTTAAACGGTTAAATCAATGACTTCTGCGGACAACCGACGAACCGGGGGAGCAGGACACAGACATGGAGCGGTAAGTTTGGTTTAAACACGGGAAAAGACTACGGCCACAAGTTTTTCACCCGGTGGTTTTAAGATAATTGTGAAGTTTTAGTGTAATGTGTTTAGAAATGTAAAGATAAAAGTGTTTGTTAGTCGCACCGGTTCTCACTTTTTATTGGTTGCTTCATATTCAAACGGGTTTATAACGTATAATTAACGGAAACCTTCGTCCATGTCAGCTAACTTACAATGTGCCGGTTTAAAATAACATTTAATGTAGATTAGCAGTGACGTGTTGCCACCTTGCTTTAGAAAATATAAGCGTAATTTAAATTGTTGTGGGTAACTTTAGGTCGAAGAAACTGAACATGGACATAAGGACACACACACACACACACACACACACACACACACACACACACACACACACACACACACACACACACACACACACACACACACACACACACACACACACACACACACAGCTGTGTTTTAACCTGGTTAGATTAGGGCCTGACTGATATGCAATTTTGGGGGCACATGCCGATATCTAAAATGCTGTTATTAAACAATTCTGAAAATGATTTATACTTGAGACAAGATTTTTTTTTTTTAAGTTGCGCTAAATACTTTTTTAAGCCAGAATAACATCACTGCACTAAAACACGAATTTATACTCAGAAACTAAGAATTAGAAATGAAAAAACATATATTTAATTAACATTGTTATATCGCAGATATCGGGGTTTTTTTTAACCTACATTTTTTATTCAAAATGATAAACATAAATAAACATATTTTCTGTTCATGAGCGAGACAAGTAGCATGTCAGTGTGTTCGGTAATAGTTAAGACATTTCCCTTCATAAAATAGCCCTTTATACTTGAATACTGTAAACCTTGATTTGATATTCTACGTCATGACATTATGTTGCTGGTTAAAGTTAAATGGCAGGTAAGAAAAAAGAGTGACTGATATATTTTTGAATCCAGCCGTCACAGTGACAGGTGGGAGAATTTCCTCCCTGTCAGGGACTGTGGGTGGCTCTTTGTTTTTTGTTTTTGATTGTCCTGTATCTGTTATCTAACTGTAGTTTGAGTGCATAGTGTACTCCGGACATTATTTGTAAAGCATCCGGCATTAAATAAATGGAATTAAGACTATTTATAGGGTTTAAAACGTCCTTACAGAATAATGGGATGAAGGCGACCTGTCACTGGATTAATTGTCTGCACAATTCAGTACGTCACTCTGTTGACAGCAGTCAGGCAGGCTGCAGATCCAGGCCATGTGAGGCGGGATAAAGCAGATTTCTCTTTGTCAGTCTGAAGTAATCAAGACTGAATGAGTTACGGGCACATCTCGAACGTTTAACCTGGCGGTCCAAACAGTCTGCAGGAATACAGTTGTTACCCTTTGTCTGGTTTTACAACTTTAAAATGTTCTTACGCTGGTGAAAATAGATTGTGATGAACTGCATTATGTAATGTTTACAAAGTCTGACAGCTCTCTCTCTCTATGCCTCAAATTAAAAGCGTCATCGTTAATTGGTAACGATGGCAGACTTTTAGATCCTAGTAGATCAGCAAAGTTTGACGGATCAGGATGTTTGAATGTTTGATGCACAAAACTGGATCGTATTCAAAGATGGGACAAATTGGATCTAACATCTGTATCAGGTCCAATACATATCAGACTGACAGCGCCATTCCACATGGATCACTGATCAAGTGACCTTGTGTTGCTCCTTCCTGTTTGTTTGTGAAGCCATTATAACATTTAAATACGTTTCTTTGGAATCACTTTTATTTTTATGCATTATTATTTTTTATGCTCTTGTCAGGTTTACTACAGCTTTGTGTAGCCTTAGGCCCCGTTTCCACCTGGCATTTATTCCAGAGTGCCAGTGTCTGCTTTCAGTTGTTTTCAATGAGGGGAGAGTGTTTTCAGCAGCAGACGGGCGCCATGAGAAAAAGCGCAGCACCCAGTGTCTCTTTTTTCTGAGCCCTCCTCCGTTTTTGTTTGGCCGCTCAGAGTGCTTTAAGTTGAAAATCTTTCGCTGTTGACGTCAGTGGCACTCTTTTCAAATGATAAGATATTCTCTGTAGTTTTGCCGCCTGTGGATCGTGTTTTGTACACTCATCATCGGGAAATAAACGGTCTAAAATATAAAATATGCATTAAAAAGTAACGGAGCAGTGTCGGTCATACAGCGGCTGTTGTTAACAGTCTGTTGTCATAGCGACAGGTCAGCGAGTAGCACTTCATGCAAGCACTTCCGAGCGTACAGCCATGGCTTTTCTGCCCGTAAAAAACACTAGGTGGAGACAAGGCCATAACAACAACAATATAACTGTTAATAATGATATAAAGAAATATCAGTACATGTTTCAAAATCGAATAAGAATGGGGGAAAAAAGGAGATCGTGCATTTCCTGTTTGTTCTGTGTCTGGATCTTTACTGAGGGAGTTTCGTTTCTGTTTTAGTTATGCTCTAGGTTTTGGAAATACATAAAATCTAGGGATGCACCGATGCATCAGTTTAGCTTCGGTATCAGCCGTGTAGACAGACATCAGAAAATCAATCAAGTCATGAAACAAACATCAATTTTGGAATAGACAATCGTCTTAATTGTAATTTAAAACATCGCTAGCCGCCCTGGTTTCCACAATCAGTGCGTCCCCAATAAAAACACACCGTCCTCTCCTGTCTTGCATATTTCCATATTTAATCTTGAAAATTTCATGTGTGTTTTATTTTTGTTTCCATCCACTTTCGGCTTATTATTTTGGTTTCCAAAAGACGTTAATTCATATTCGAAAAGCTCAGTATTTTGTATATCGTTGCCTCACGATTGGTCGTATTTCCACAGGTGAAAGGATTGGTCCAGTCTCATCAACCTTCCCTAAATGAATCACTGAATGGAGAAGTTCAGGCCTTCCTCACTGATGAAGACCAACTCCACACGTACGATGACCTCACCAAAGTCAACCCAGTGACTCCAACAACAGGTAACGAAACGCCCTCGAGTTATTTTATTTCTATTTCTTTGTTAATAATTACATTTGTTAACACAGATAAATCAATGACGAGACTTTTTGTTTATGCTCATAAACTTAATGTCACCTCTGCATAGGTCAGGGCTGGGCCACCTGTGTATAAAAAATAAAGAAATCTGGATCTGCCCCTTTTTATTGAACTAACAGGCTTCCAAGCAGGTCATGTTTGGCCAAATATTTAGAGGAATCGTTTCAGCCCTGCTTGTGCAGACTTTGTCTTTATTTACCAACACACAGCCAGCCAGCGTGCCACTGTGTTTTCTCTCTGAGGTCACCTTGAGACTTTGCTGTGTCTTATTTAATCATGTTAAGAAAACATTGGAAGGGATGATTAAAAGAAATCTTAATCCATGGCGGATTGCTGTGTTACTAAACTGGTGCAGTATCAGTGAGAGCGAACAGTTTTCACTCAGGTGACTGTGCGTGAACCAAGTTTGTTGTTTACTCTGCTGGCAGACACGCTAAACAACAATTATCGACCCTATTTCAATTAAAGTGTAATAATATGGTTGAGCTACTGATGAGTGTGAAGCATGATATCTTTGAGTGCTTTATCAACAGTCATCTCTTCTTTCCATTGTTTGTTGTGTGTTCTTTTGTTCCAAAAGAAATGCACCGTCACTGACATTATGTAATGTCAGAGTCGATCAGGGTTTGTAAATGATGTTCTTTAGTTTATATGTCAATAAGGTGTCAGATATATGCAGGAGGAGCACACAGCTCTATATATATATATCCAGAGTTTCTCCTCCAGCCTCCTCGTATTTATTCTGCAGAAAGTCAGAGTGAGCTGATGTGAGAACGCAGCAGGATATAATCAGGAGAATTCACCTGGAGCGAGTGGGAGGGGGTGGTGACGTTTATTCCCTGTGATCGCTGCACGACCATAGACTGTCTGCACGCCACCTCTACCATCTCTGTGCTCTAATGAACCTGCTGCATTATGTTTCCTGTTCTCCAGTATGTTCTTCTCCACTCTTTAGTTCACATTGAGATTCTGTTTAACTACACGTAGCATCGATAGAAAGACACATATTCTCATTATAATGTTGTATAGAGGACTCTGTTGCTTCGTCTGCTACAGAGCCGAGTCGTTCTCTTTACGTCATGTCTTGCCTCAGGAGACCCCCTACCCCCCTACTGTCCAACAGGGATAGTCACCCACTGTGAGGTGCATCTGTGTGAACATCCAGATCAGGAGGATTTCAGAAGCAGTCCTGAAATTGTTTAGAATTTTCAGGAGTGCAAATGTGAAAAATGTTGTACTGATGAAAGCATATATTATTTAGATCAGTTCTTCTCAACTGGTTTGGCCTCAGGATGACCCACCAACAAGTCTTAATGAGCATCACAACCAGCCAATCAGATTTATCAATGAAAAGTTCTGCAGTTTGGACCTCAGAAAGTTCACAACATGCGGCAAAACATTTCTCCATGTTGGCACACAAACAAGGACCCACTAAAAACCGCTTAAAGACCCACTATTGGGTCTGCGGGAGAAGCCCATGCTGCAGTCTTCTTTTGTGTTCACTTGTTTCTACCTGTAACATTTTGACCTGCCTGTTAATATCTGATTATATTTCCTGTGTTTCTCTCGTAGTGCTGCAATGTCTGCAGGCTCGGTACAGTGTGAAGGTGTTTTACACCCATGCTGGCTGCACCTTGGTGGCTCTTAACCCCTTCCAGCCGATCCCAGATCTGTACACTCTGGATGTGATGAAGGAGTATCACTGTGCTCCTCAGCCTCAGGTACTAACGTCGTCTCAGCTGCGTCTCACTGTAGTTTATAAAACCAGTATTTTTTTTCTACAGTTTTAATCACATCCATGGTGGGTATTAATGTTTGACTTATTCAGAGTTCTGCTTCCTGGACTCACAGGATTAATTAATGCACAAATGTAGATCTTTACTTTTTCTAGGTTTTCTAGGTTGCTTGCTTTTGACAAGAACAGCTGTGAGGTCAAACTCCTGAACCCGAAGACTCGACCCTCAAATAAGTCTGCATGTTTTTGTCAACAGGAATTCAAACCACATATCTTTATTGTGGCTGAGGAAGCCTACAGGAACGTGAAGGGCCAACTGGAGCCAGTGAATCAGTCCCTGGTGGTCAGCGGTGAGAGCGGTGCAGGAAAGGTAAAAAAACCCACCCCGATTTATATGCCAAGTTCCAAATGATTTATCTCCTATCACTTTACTGATCGATGAAGCACAGACATATTTTATTGTTAAACCAGTTAATCTGCTGCTCCATATCCCCCCATAATCTCCTGTCCTGTAAAAACTAATGCTGGGTTTAACATGTTCAGGATCACTAGTGGTTTGATTTTTACTAAACAAAGCTGGTAGCAGATTCTGAAATGTGAGGAAGTTCTTCTTTTCTCTGACATGTTAATTTAAGAATGTATTCCTTGTTGATCAGACCAAACTTAAAGCTTTTTATTACAAATGTTCATTATTTTCCCCACTTCCTTATTCCTTATTTTTAGGTTTGTTAATGGCATAAAAAAAACCGACTGATAGGGAGGGAGTTTACATTAACGTGATTATCAGAATGGCAACAGGCCGCAGAGTCCAAAGTAAAGCATGTGTGTGAAGCAGTTTGATTGACAACTGATCTTTAGGAAAGTATAACTGCAGTGAGCAGCCCTCGCAACGTCAGTTTGGCTGAAACATTAAGGGCACACTCACACTATGCAATCCGTACCGTACCGTGCTGAAGCATGTTTTACCCCCATGTCCAGTTTGTTGGAGTGCTCCGTACACACTTCCTTGGCCACGGCACTATTGAAAGAGGAGTGTTTACGCACGGTACGATTGCTACTGCACAATCATGGGTAGGCAAGGTGGACATGATGTATCATCGATTGCTGCCTTGCATTATCAATAAATCCAGACGTGTAAGCGTGCTGTATTTGACCAAACTGACTCAAAATAAGACACAAAGTCAGTAAAGTTGCAGTCATGCTCTCTGTGTTGTTCTCCGTTGCGCTGACTCTGAGACAGCGCTCCTTGTAAACAAAAGAACGTGTCATTATGCGGTAAAGCCATGTGTGTGTGTGTCGTACTATGTCCTGATGACGTATTTACAAGAGGTGACCAAGCTCAGGCACAGTTGAGCTGGATCAGTGTTAGTGCAGGCCAGCGGGGGAGTGAGGAGAGGGGGGACAATCGTGTTTTAGCACAGTATGGGGCGACTGGACTTGGATTGAGTCCTCTGTGTGAGTGCTTCCTTAGTCGTTGATCCACAGAACATTTATCAGCAACAACTTCGGTAGTTGGTAAATCATCAACACTTCCTGATTCTTGCTTTTATTTTTTTATTTAATTAAGAGGACTTACTGCCTTTGAACTAAAATAATCTGAAGATGTCACGTTGTGCTCAAGGTTTTAAGACCAAACAAACCACAGACGATAAGGGTTAAGGAGAGCAATAGTTAATTCCACTTCTAAACATAAAAAAAGAGTCTGAGAATTGGTATAAATAATATTTAATGATGATATGTTTGTAGACATGGACATCTCGTTGCCTGATGAAATACTACGCCACAGTGGCGGCCTCTTCGGTGACGAAGAGTCAGGACACAGTGGAGAGGATAGAGAGGAGAGTACTGGACTCCAACCCCATCATGGAGGCTTTTGGTGAGACGACTGATCACTGGTGTCCTTTCAATGTCATCATAACCACAGAAGATCCTCTCGGTTAACACTTTCCTTTCGGTTAACACTTTCCTCTCCTGTGTAGGCAACGCGTGTACGCTACGCAACAGCAACAGCAGCCGCTTTGGAAAGTACATCCAGCTGCAGCTAGACCGGTACGGACAGCCGAGCCTGCTGCTCTTTACTCAGCATTATTCAATACAGCATCCTCTCACTTTGTCATGATGACCTTCAGTTAAAGATGTAAGTCAGTTTAATCTCAAATGTTTTGTTTTCTTGCTCAGAGGTCAGCTGTTGGTGGGGGCGTCCGTGCAGACATATTTACTAGAGAAAACCAGAGTGTCCTGCCAACCAGCTAATGAGAGGAACTTCCACATCTTCTACCAGGTGAGGTTATGCCGAGTTAAGACGCCACGCCATTAGCACGATCCAGCAGGTTGTTGGGACCCTTCGGCCCCCGAGAATTGATGGTTTTATCCCGTGTTGAGTGTCATAGTGAACAGCAATCAAGGCCGCACCTGGGATGTCTCACGACCTCCTGACAGAAAATCTAGCATGTTTGATTTTCTTTCTGCCTTCTACGATGTGCTCCATATCGAATGTGACGTTGACCAATGAGAGCACAGCAGAGCACTCTGCACACGCAGAAGTAACAATCATAAACAAACTGGTGAAGCAAAAGAGGAATTATGAAGTTGGTGCTGCGAGATGGAACTATGACATGGAGTAAAAGTTTGTTGAGCTCTGTCAACAACAGTTTCTTTGTTGTCTAGCCCCGCCCCTCTTCCTTCCTACATAATCACGTCGGTTGTGATGATTGGTCGGGTACCATCGTGCTGTCTGTTATGTCTGTTGGTCAAGTCAGGGAACAAATTTAGGATTCTATGATCGCCTAAACTGAAGCTCGGCGTACTCTGTAGGATTGTTACGTGAATCGTTTATGATGCACGAACAGACCTCAAGATGTATGTGCCCACACTGAACAACCTGATTGTCTCTCTGTCTCTCAATCATATACTCCCTGTCAGCTGGAGGTCTGCAGATAGTTCTGCCATAGTTTATTTCATGATAGAAGGGGATAGACAAATAAACAGGGCATGTCTGCTGTTGCCATGGCGATTTCAGATGCTGTCAGTTTGTGCAGAAAAAAATCAGGAGGGGAATATGCTCGTGGCTCTGCTCACACCGTGTGAATGTGTGCAGTCGTACGACCAAACATCAGACATGTCAGAAATTAATCCGACTGATCGAGAGGAGATCGGACGTCGTGCTCCACTGACACCAGGTGATTCAGCCTGACTTAAAGATAAGTTGTACGTCTCAAAAATCTGTTCTAAATCGGGCTAAAAGAGTGTACACTGAGTCTGACACTGAGCATCGTAACAGAGAAACAGATCGTGTGGTCAGACATCAGCATTAACAGGACTGCACCAAACCTCCTGTGCTCATAGTGTTTTAGTTTAATATGAAACGTGTTCAAAATGTTATTTACATGTGTTTAATGTGTTTTTCAGATGATGAAAGGGGCCACAGCAGAGCAGAGAAGGGAGTGGAAGATGTCTCATGGACAACATTTTGTTTGGCTGCCAAATTCAGAACGAACACGTGAAGGTTTGTCTTCATTTTTGTGTTTCTTCAGACATTTCCTTGTCTTTTTTTTCACTCTTGTTGTTCCCACCCGTTATTCATGTTCATGTCATGTCTTATTTATAGAGGATTGTTTTCATGAGACTGTGAAGGCGATGGTTCATCTGGGCATTAACGCAGAGCGTCAGAAACAAATATTCAGGGTAAGTTCTTCATCATAGGCAACACTCTACTTTAACTTTGTCTGTTTAGCTTTTATAACTAGCCATGTGTCTTTTTAATGAAGTGAGAAGACGATTTGTTTCTACGCCAGCTCAGGATTCCTTTAATAATCTAATAGTAGATAAATATTAATCGTCAATATATGTTCTGATAATCCTTTAACTGCCAAGTGGAGAGTTCAAGTGAAGGATTAAAGGATTAAAGTGTTACCTAATCATCAACATACATGCAACGTGTCATCATCTCACCTCATCTGTAACCACATTCTTCATCTTCTCTTTATGTTGCTGAACAGATCTTAGCTGGGATTCTGCAGCTGGGGAATCTAAATTTCTCCTCTTCAATGGATGAATCACAACCCTGTGACCTGGAAGAACAGACCAAAGGTACAGGATACCATTCAATTCAAAATATTTGACATGCTTAAGCATCTTTAAGGAATCACGTCTCATGATTCAGTGCTTAAATCTCGATGATTCAGACGCTGAAGGCTGGAGAAACAGTCCTACGCTGCTCAGGGGAATTTTTCATACTTTTCCTTGATAATATGTTTTAATTTTTTGCACCAGACTTCCTGCAGAGGGCTGCTGAGCTGCTGTGCGTCCCCGCAGAGGAGCTTCAGACATGTTTGATAGTGAGGATGTTAAAGGCCGGGAAACAGAGCGTGCTCAAGCCGTGTTCTCAGGCGGAGTGCAGCATGAGGAGAGACTGTCTGGCCAAGGTCATCTACGCACAGTAAGAGAAATAAATCAAAGATAGAACTACGCCAGGATTAGTCTACTCCTCAAGTTTTATCATCACAGGCCCTCTATCATTCAGAGTCAAAATATCACTTCTTCCCTCCACAGTTTATTCGAATGGCTGGTGACATTAATAAACAACAGCATATGTGCAGACGAGTCCACATGGTGCAACTTCATAGGTAAAACCTTGTTGTCTTATAGAGCATTAAGTGTTCCTGTTCTTTGTTTCCTTCACTCAGTTCTCTCCTCTCTTCTCTCTCCAGGAGTTCTAGATGTGTACGGCTTTGAGTGTTTCTACATCAACAACCTGGAGCAGCTGTGCATCAACTATGCAAATGAGAAGCTGCAGCAGCACTTTGTGGCCCATTATCTCCGAGCTCAGCAGGTAACCCCTGACTGATGCTTCTTCACTGCTTCTCAACTGGTCTGGCCTCAGGACCCACCACCACATCCTTAATTTTCTGATATTGTCCTCCTGAAATTATCTAAATATTTTCAGGAGATTACCACTGTGTCTCTGGTGGTTATCTGCTTCTTATGTTGATGTTGAGGTCTAGATTATTACAGAGTCTCTCATTCAGTCTTTGTGAATTCTCTGTGGATCAAAAAGAGAACAACTCATCTTACTTTTTGTAATTTGAAAAACTAATTTTATTTATCTTTATTTTTGCCTCTTCAGGAGGAATATGTGACAGAGGGGTTGCAGTGGTCTTTCGTCAAATACCAAGACAACCAGAGCTGTTTGGATCTTATCGAGGGAAGCCCCATCAGTGTGTTTTCTCTTCTTAACGAGGTATGATGCTCAGTTTCTTGCCTGGGTTCAAGTCCAGCCTGTGGCTCCTTTCCACATGTCATTCCCCACTCTCTCTCTCCGCCTATTTTCCCTATCCACTGTCCTATCCAATACAGACAAAACCCCCCTCCCAAAAATAAACATACATATCTGTCCTATAGGAGAGTCGTCTAAACCGAACCTCGGACGCTAAGACCTTGAGGTTTCGCCTGGAGAAGGAGCTTCACGTTAACTCCAACATCAGCTGGGACAAGTTCAGCAAGGACCCGCACTTCACTGTGGCTCATTACGCTGGAAAGGTCAACTACCAGATACAGGGCATGGTGGAGAAAAACAAGGTGTGTGAGTAAAGCTTTCAAAGTGTGTTCAGGAAGTTGACTACAGACCCATTTAGTTACCATCTACTGGATCTTGTGTTGTAGGACCCGGTGCCAGCAGAGCTCATCAAACTGCTGCAGAAGTCTGAGGACCCGCTGCTTCACCAGATCTTCTCTGACAAGGAAACTGAGAGTCCAAATTCTAAGGGACTCAGTAAAGTCACGGTGGTCTCCAAGTTCAAGGTGGGAGTCAGTCACTCATGTTTATATAATCTTTTTCTGCGGGGAGTTTTTAGTCATGACACTGGTGACGTTTCTGATCGTAGAACTCTCTGGAGAGCCTGATGAAGATCCTCCACACCACAACGCCTCACTACACCCGCTGCATCAAACCCAACCCAGACTGCAAGCCGCTCACCTTCAAAAAGGAGGAGGTAGATGTTCTACACACACACATAGATAATAACTGTTTCATGTTTTAAACCAAAAGACTCACACTTTATCTTGACAAAAGAGAGAGATTTTTAATGGATTGATTTCCTGTCAGGTTATCATGCAGTTGGAGGCCTGTGGGATTGTGGAGACCATTACCATAAGTGCTGCTGGCTTTCCTATAAGGTACAACTCTTTTCCTGTGAACTCTTTAACGCCTCCCATGAAATGAAAAATACATTTTCTCAGTTTATTCCAGCGTTCTGGTGTTAAAGGGGCAAAATGTAACGGACACCTGGTGTTTAAAATGGGCACTGCAGTCCAAATTCTAAACATTGTAGAGAGCTGTATCCCCCCGACCCCTCCTCTCTAGAGTCGATGCTCACGCAGGTTGCCATGTGGTGAACACTGAAGCTTCAGTGTTTATCCAGCTCTGCATCAGTCTGTAAACCTTTCTGTGTTCTAACCTCTCTCCATTTTTCAAAAGCATCTCCAATATTGATCCTAGTTTGAGCACGTTTCTGCTCGTGGAGCTTATTAGAAACATGCAGAGGCTTTTTAGGTCGGGTACAATCACTTCTATCTGAACCACTTCTCTTGCCCGCTTCCATCACTGCAACACCTGTTGGTTTGACAATGATAATTGCTCTCATATCTGACAAACCGGGGGGCGTCCAAAACGGCCGTGTGGGGGTGTCTTAAAACCGGCTACCTTCTCTGGTACAAATCCAGAGCATTCAGGACCAGAATCTAAGGGCGCAGTCTCAGTGGCCATCTGTACCGTGCCCAAGCACGCTTCAACGCTAAAGTCCAGTTCGTTTGGCAAGTGTGACCGCTCCGTATCGTGCTCAGGCACGGTACACTTCCTTGGCTTTGGCACACTTTGGAGAGGTGTGCTTCAGCACGGTACACTTTATGCACGAGCACAAGCACACGGGTACACAGCGCTGACAGCCTTCATTATGGAGAAATCCAGAGTTTCATGGCTGTATCTGACTAAATGATACAATATAAGACACAAAGTATAGCTGTCATGTTCTCTGTGTTGTTCTCCGATGTGCAGGCATCCGCGCGTCTATTTTATTTTTTATTTATTTATTGCTGTGTCTGATTAAAATGGCTTAAAATAAGCTGCAAAGTAAAGTAGCTGTCATGCTCTCTGTGTTTTTCTCTGATGTGCAGATGCGGACTCGACTGCGCGTCTCTCTCTCTCTCTCTCTCTCTCTCTCTCTCTCTCTCTCGTCCGCCTGTTTGTAAACTGAGCACGCTTCATAATAACATAAAGCATGCATGTGTTGTATTACGACGTTATGTACAAGAGGTAATCGTGCTTAAGCACAGTTAGTCCTGGCCAGTATGACCACGGGCCATGCCGGCCAGCGTGGGAATGGCGCAGCAGAGGCGCAATTGTGCTTGAGTACGGCACGGTACAGATGACCAGTGTGACCGTGCCCTAAAGTTAGAAGGAGGACATACTGGCTGCTGCATTGTTGTCATAGAAGCCAGCACTTCAACGTAGCATGTTTCCTTAATGTCTGATCATATAGTTAGGTCACTTTATCTCACTACACTGCTCACTGACTGGACCTTTAAATGTTTATTTATCTGCCAAATATATCTTAATAAAACATTGTCAGAGTAGTTTGACATCAAAATAATATTTTCTCTTCCTGTAAAACTTTTTGAATGTCTGATGACCCAGCCTGTACGGCCAATTAAAAGCTTTGTCGAGGCTAACGATCAAATCAAATTCATCCCAATGTTTTGTCCCACCTTCTTTCGATTGGCTGTTTCTTGTTTCAGTAGGAAATCTGTCATGACACGGCAGTTAGTGACTCAATGTTCTGTGTCATGGGGACTTTAAGCTTCAAGCTTTGATTAGTCTCTCCTGGATTTTGATTCATCTTTCATTTCTGTCACCAGAATTCTTTACAAAAACTTCCTGCAACGTTACGGACTGATTGAAAAACGTTCAGATTTCAAGCCATGGAGCCGTCGTGTGGGTAAGTGGAGTTTGTTTTGGGAGGCATTAAAGGTCACATTTGTTTTATGTACTGTAAAGAAAAAGGTGATTGTGTGTCTTCTCTTTAGGTCTGCTGATTTATTCTCCCTTTTCCTTTCCTTTCCTCTCGTAGTAAACTCGACCCTCACTTCCCTCACAACCCTTATTTATGATAAAGTAGGTAAATGCACGCCACTCTGATTATCAGAGCACGCTGTGGTGCACAATGTTTTCTCCTCTCATTAGACTTCCATCTTGTGCTTGAAGTAATATTCATGTCATCTCATAATTTAGCTGCTTCTAGTTATGCAGCAGCGTGATACTCGTCAGTCACTTGGATTCCCATAAAAATGAGAACACACATTTCAGTTCTTCTCAGACTTCTTTACTTTGGTTGTGGACCAATCACCTGCTGACCTAATGCCACTCCTTTGACTTCATTGTATTTCGTCCTTGTTGGAAGAATTCAGAATTCTAACAAACCAAACAAAGATGGCGCATGTGCTAAAAGTTACACCTTCTAACCACCTGATGTAAACAGAGTCACTGTGAGCGTGTTAGCGTTTAGCTCAAAGCACTGCTGTTCCTAAAGCCTGTATCCACCAAGTGGTCCAGTTCTGTTCAGTTCAGTAAGGTATGCGTTTGTTGACTTTTCCACTGGCAAAAGTTGGGAATGGTACCAAAATAACAGATCCGTACCGTCCTACTTTTTGCTGCCTTTCTGTCGGGGTGACAAGCGTACCAATACAACCCTAAAGACTGGAGCTAGACAACCTGCAGTCCTTGGAGTGGTTTAAAGAATCTTAACTTTCTGTGTGACAAAGGATGTGACTGTTTAAATATCCTGTGGATATTGTCAAGGCTGTTTTTCCTCGCAGCCTTCTCTCAAATAAAGCTTGTCGTCTTGTGATGTGCAGAGAAGAAAAAACACAGAATGCTGGACGGCCTCCATGGTTACCCTTTGTCTACCTTCTTCTTCTTTGAATGTAATGGCCCGCTACACTGTGTCACGCTGCTATGATGTCACATTATTAAGTAGGTGATGCGCCTATCGCCATCTGGTTCACACCACATCCAACCAGGTAAAGGTACAGTTGGCTGTGGCAACACAAGCAAGATCATGGTTTACCATACCAAACTGTACTGAACCAAAGCGGACTGCTCGGTGGTAACAGGGCTTAAGGATCGCTTCACAGAGATGCATGCATGATTGTAGACTTTAGTTGCACAAATTATTAAAGAAGCTGCTCACTGATCCTCCATGAAATATCATCAGGTGTGAGAAAACTTCATTCACTGTAATCATATCGTGTTTGTGTGTGAAAAATCTGCTTTTATTTTCTCTACACTTACCCCCTGGACACTTCTAACGACTATGTTTCAAACTGTATCCTCTGAAGTACTGTGCTACCCTCACATGAATTATCACTCCAGTGTGTCACTCTAACTGTATCTCCTCTCCGTTTTAGACATGGAGGCCGACGACAGCGTCTTTATTCGCCAGGAAGTGGAGAAGCTCCTTCACAGCGTGTTGCAACACGACGATGTCGACCCCCTCCACAAGCGTGAAAATGAAAAACACAACTCATGGGTGCACTGCGGGAGGACTAAAGTCTTTCTCACCCAGCTGATGGTCAGTCATTCATCCATTTATGTATTTGTGATTAATCCTTCATAGCATGTTTATGTATCGGTTAGTGCACATTGGAGGGAATCTGTGCGAGAGTTTCTTTTTATTGGGGTTCATCGGGTGTTTCAGTAATTTTTCAGGTCTGTAAAGTGAATAACGGAGAATGACCCGGCTCACTCTTTTGTCTCGCAGCTTGATTTGTTGGAGGATCAGAGGAAGAAGATCCTGTCCCGTTGTGCCTTCTCCATTCAGTGCTGCTGGCTGCGGTACCTGCGTGGTAAAAGGCGTGCACGTCAACAATCTGCTATTCTCATCCAAGCAGGTAAACTCTTGGTACAGATGAATGGAAACAGCAGGGATCAATAACACATGAACTCTTCACAGCGTGTGTGTCCGTTTGTTGTGACCCGGCTGTCGGGCCAACAGGAAACAATGTTTGCAGGCGGCTCAGAGGCAGTGCAGGGTTCCTCACATGGAAGCTCATCATCTTATTAGGAGTTAATGACAGATTGCCTTTGTAGCTTCCTCCTGAATGAGGTGCACAGATTAAACTTGCAGTGTGAATAACATCGCTAAGAGTTGAAAGTTGAATGTGTTCAATGTCTCCTGCAGTGGTGCGGTCCTGGTTGGTCAGGGAGCAGGTCAAGAGGTGGAGCAGAGCAGCAGCGGTCATCCAGAAGGCCTGGAAGAAGAGGAGGGTGAGTCTAACTCAGAGGACATCTTGTTTAGTGTGGCTTCTTGCTCTTATCATCTGCTGTTTTTGGATCGAACAGTTCAGGCGACTTTGTGAAGAGGAACTATCCACCAGGGATTTTCAGTGTGCCCCGCATTTTGGATTTATTTATTATGGGATGTTCCTACAACCGTGCGTACTTGAGAATGTATAGGCTGTGCACGGGGTACCCTGTTGGCCATTTCAAATAATGTTCTGCTTTGACTGTTATTTCCTAACATTTACAGTCTGATGTTATGATAAAATAAATCTGAGGATGTGGAGATAGAAGAAGACCTCTATGTTAGCATGCTCGTTAGCTCTGCTTGAGGTTACATTAGCTTCTACTAGCAACCAGACCTGCCTCAATTGGCAGCAGTTGAGTTGCATCATGGGTAATGTAGACTCTGTTAAATCAGTGTCCACCGTTTAAAAAAAGTTGCACTTTTACAGGAGACTAAAGCCACATCTGTTCAGGGCTGGTGATGGAAAACTAGCCGCTCTCCTGACTCCTGTTACTTACTGATACTCACTTAGTAGTTATGGATATTTTAATGACATTTTCATTCTTGTGGCAGGCACAGTTGAAGTCCTTGGCTGACGCAGAGCTAGATAATGCAGAGGACCTCGTGGAGGAGGAGCAAGTTTTGAACCCTGTTGTCATGGAACCAGGTTCTGTGCAGCTCTCCAAAAGCACCAAGCCTGTCACAGTGCGAGGGTGGCCCCTGGGTCTGGCTCTGGCCTCGGCACCGTCCGTCACCGTGTCCCTGACAGCCAGAGGCTTCCAGAAGATCATGTATGTGATGGCCTGCCTCAACCTGAACTCCAGGCGAGGGGAGTACAAGGTGGAGACCAACCAGTACACACAGGAGCTGGCCTCCATACGGGCCCAGCCAAGGGTGAGGCACAGTCCACATTAATCCTACTACGTCTCCTCAAACATGTTTGTATCAACTGTGTCATGGATTTAATCCCTTTGTTCCTTTTTCTCCTCAGGGATCTATAAAGCTGCACTGTAAGAGATCTCCACTCCTTTATGCTGACAGGCAGCCAGACACCAAGAGTTTTGTGACGGGGTTTAACGAGATCCTGCTAGACAAAACCCTGTGAGCGGATCTTCCCTGCAGAACACTAAAGGCTGATTTCATGGACACCATGAGGGACACTCACCCCCAATTCACACATACCCCGTGCGCGCCGCGGTCTGTCAGCACCGCGCACTACGTTGTACTTAGCTGCTACTCTAGTCTATCATTGTGCTCACACAGGGCGCGCTGCGGTCCGTCTCCGGCACGTGTCATCGACGGCACTACGCTCTGCTCCATTTCAAATACGCAGCGAGTCTATTTTCACCGGAGTACGCTGCAAGTTCGCGTCAAGCTGGACAGAATATGACAGTCCGGACAGGAAGTCAGACAAGAAAACGCACAGAGCATCCGGTCAATTTCAAAATAAAACACAATATACGGACTCGCGATCGTATTTTTCATCACTTTATCAACATTACGTCAAAACCAAAGGCACCAAATTAACAACAATGCATCCTCAGAAAGACAAAGCAACATGTTGTTTGCATGTTTTTCTCTTTATTCCCGCGGGATCTTGTAGTTCTCCTGTGATGTGTCATGGGTGCACTGACGTCCCAGAAACGGATGCAGTGTGAATGGGCGCGAGCCGTCCAACGGAGCAAAACCGTGGCGCTGACTGACTGCGGCGCGCACGGAGTATGTGTGAATTGGGGGTCAGGCTCTGAAGTGCTTTTACACTCGAGCAGCTGCTGTCGTCTTTTACCCAACACAGAGGGAACAAACCTGGAGTTTAAGCGAGGTCTATTTTTGTTAAGTGATCATTTACAACTCTAACTTTTTTTATCAAACCAGAAATGTTTTTGACTTTTGATATGCAATGGTGCAAAGCGTTGTACCTGTGTCTAATAATGCTTTAACCTAACAGATGGTCAGGTGAGATAATGCAGTTTTCTTCTACCAAAAACAACAACGTGGCCTACATGCCAAAGATACTCAGGAAAATCCTCTCTAATTAAAAATCAGTCTGTAGCCCGTCCAGAAACGCTGACCGGCTTCTTCTGAGATTAGGCAGATTAGAATTTGTCGATGTCTTGTTGGATATGTGCCATGTCAACCAATTCTAGACAACGATGAACCCGACAGAAGTTGTATTAATAATGGTGGTGCTGCAGGACAAGGAAAACAGAATAATTATTTAAAATACATCAGTCTGTGTCGGTGGAACTTAAAGGTGGAGTCAGTAGAAATGTTTGTAAACACAACATTCAGACTGTCCGCTCCTCCTGGGCTCATCGCCCCCCAGAAACTCCCCCTCACTGCAGGACGTAGTGTGTACGTTTACTGCTTGTACCTACACTGCAAGCTAACGCACACTAGCACAAGCTCACCTGCTGCGCTGTCATTGGCTGGAGGAAACACACCAGCTCCAACCAGAAATGTCCTGAGTCAACCAGAACAAAGCAGAACAGTAAAATCCAGTGAGAGGACAGAGTCTCTGCAGACACAGTCACCACCACACATGTATGGAGGCCCAGAAGGGACGATGGAGCAGCTTCACTTTAGGAGAAGTCTGCTGACTCTAACTTTAAAAGACATGGCACAATCTTTGCTTTTGAGGTTTTCTCGTATCGATATTTGAAAGTTCTGATTACTGATCCAAGCCTTTAACGCCGTGCCTTAAAATCTACCCTGGATCACTAATAGACTGATAGAAACATGTATTTATTTCACGGTGAATATTTAGGTGGGATTTTATATACTGGTTATTTTCTGTGTAAAACATGTTGATGGTTCAGACGCACATTATAAGGTCACACCAGCATTTTTCTTTCTTTTTTTAGAGTGAGTGTTTTGTTCTGTGGAAAAAAAGTAATTAAGCAAATATTGCACATGTAATGCACAAATTGCACATTAACTCCTCACACAGAGACAGACGACGAGCCTTTCTCAAACCGGACCCTCGGCACTCATCAGTCAGTCACAGCGTGGACTCTGTTTGAAGTCACACTCACAGCTGAGCGTGGAAACCTTCAATAATGTGTATAAATTAAATAATTGTCTGCAGGAAAAGGAACTTTATGTAGCCTTAGATTCATGTGTGACGCATCACTTCCATTTCTTCTCAATCCATACAAGGCGACGTTGGTGAGGCAGACAATATTTGCGAGAAAAAATTAAGGTGATGCAAAGTGCAAAATCCTGCAGTTCCTTGAGTGTCCATTAGAGGCTGGCTGCAGCAGCACAGGAAGCCACAATAAGGCGTGTAGCTGACCTGATTGACAGGTGGGCGTGGTAACGGTTTGTCAGGAGTCTTAAAACCCGCCTCAGCTCCAGCTCTCAGCCTGTCGTTAGGTTGACTGAAAGTTAGACTGAATCAGCATTTCCAGCATGGAGACCGCCATGATGGGACTCCAGCGCCCGCTGCAGGAACAGACGGGTGACGTCACTCAGGCTTCATAAATATTTACAATCTATGTGACACACCAGCTAAAATGCCACAGAGGAAGTCCTGGAAAATGAACGGTAGAAAGGAGTGGGAACCTTGAGTGTAAGGAGCTAGTTTGAGAAAGGCCTGAAAACAAGCAGACACATCAGGGGCATGAAAGTTTTGTTTAAACTGCTGCTCATTGTTTCTTTGTAAAGTGTTTGACTAAACCACTGTGTGGTTGCCAAAGCATCAATGCAAGTACAAACCAAAGTCTGAGATTGTCATGTGTGAGAACGAGTTCATCTTTATATAAAAAAAAAATCATAGTGTCTGAGACTGATTCTACATGAGACTAAATCACTTTAACCTTCACAGGGACCGCTCTGATGATTCATTATGTGCATCACATGTCACCATGATGAGTTCACAGTCTTGAATATCTACGTGTTTGTTTTTGTCTGCGGTACCGAGGGATCAAAGTAAATTATATTGATATTTAAAAGTGACTGTTTTATTCAAATAAATGTCTTTTTACTTCAGACATTTTGTCTTTATTTCAAACTTTGTTCACTTGTGATCAGCTAGTTCACAAGTGACTTTATTCAGGCATTGCTACCGGCTCTCTCGACATAATGGACGACTCCCTTATCAGACGCTTTTATCCAAAGAGACAAACATCAGAGAGTAAGAACAACAAAAGCGAGGATCTAGAGAGGAGAAAACAACGTCAGGAAGCGCAAACAAACAGCTTTGAGTCTGATCAGACACACAGGTGCTGACAGGAAGTGACCAGAGGCAGAGGACAACATCGACGGCTGTTCTTGAGTTCCCATCATCATCCTCATTAAGGTCGTAGGTGTTCATAAAGAGCTGGGTCTTTAGCTTTTTCTTAAGGTGCAGTGGGACTCTGCAGATCGAATGGAGTTTGGAAGTTAATTCCACCACCGGGGGGCGACAGAGGAGAAGAGTCTAGTCAGAGACTTAGGACCCTGTTGTGAAGGTTGGATCAGATGCCTTTCATTGTCAGAGCGTAGAGGGCAGGAGGGAGTGTAGACCTGGATGAGAGAGTTTAGGTAAGGAGGAGCAGAGTTTTAAATTTGATGTGAGCAGTGACTGGGAGTCAGAGGAGGGAGATGAACAGCAGAGTGATGTGCTGGTTTGGGGAGGTTGAAGATGAGTTGTGCTGCTGCGTTTTGGATTCTCTGCGTGGGTTATGTGGTTAATGAGGGATGAACCGATGTCAGAAGCAGATGTTTATTTGTTGTACCAAACCAATTTAATGCTGACATCTAGTTCACCTAACTTCTGATTCCGTGAAGGGCAGATGAAAACAGCTGTTGGACAAACTGATCCATATTCTTGGCTAAACTTTAGAGAAAATGTCAGCACTGTGGAAGTCTGACACTAAAAGAAGTCATGACAGCCTGGTGTCAGCAATCAGCTAAATTGTTGTTTTAAACATCGGTATCATCGATGAAGCAGTGGTTAGCGCTGTTGCCTCACAGCGAGGAGGTTCCTGGTTTGAATCCCCGTCTGACAGGATCCTCTGTGTTGAGTCTGCATGTTCTCCCCGTGCATGTGTGGGTTCTCCGGCTTCCTCCCACAGTCCAAAGACATGCTCGTTAGGTTAACTGGAGACTCTAAACTGCCTGTAGGTGTGAATGTGAGTGTGGCTGGTTGTCTGTCTCTACATGTCAGCCCTGTGATTGAAGACCACAGGTCCAGGGTGTAACCCCGCCTCTCGCCCAATGACAGCTCTAGGATTGGCTCCAGCCCCCACGACGCTGAACAGGAAAAGCGGTAAAGATAATGGACGGATGAATGGGCTAAATTGTTATTTTAAGCATCTGTATTGGTAACAGCCCTGACTCAGTGCATCTCTACGTATAACTTAAAACTATGACTCAGACATTTACATGGTTAAAAACATTAAGCATTTATTAAAATGCCGTAGCACAAGAAGGCAAAGGACAGGAAACTGTACAAAAAGTCACAAATGGCGTACTTAGAAACGTTCTCTTAAAGTATAAAGATGTGTAACTAAAGGTTCTATGAATCAGCAGCTTTACTGAAGGGTGAGCGCTCCGCTTTGTCGTCCACGATTCTCAAACACTGATCAGAGAATTCAACAAACAGCGGCTCCTGCATGGCGGCCTTCATGGCGTCTGATTTGTTGTCTGCAGCATCAACGGAGCGTAACAAGCGTCTCAGATGAGGGTTACAAAGAAGATCCCTGAGCTCCTTCGACTGACCTGCACCAGGAAATGTAGAAGAAGAGAACTGAATGTTACACACAAGCTTCATTAAGGCAACAACATGCAGGACGTCAGATTCGCTTCAGCGCCGATTGAAGGTCTCCGAGTTCAACTGCAGTGTCGTATAACACAGTGCTGCTTCAGCGCCATCTCCTGGACAACGTGCACATCTTAACAAACAGGGCAAACCACGAGAACTGACGAGGGTCACTTATATTGTTGATCAAATCTGACTCTGCTAGCGACTACAGCCTGTTGTTAGTTAACTGTTAGCATGTGGAGTATGTGTCTGTTACCATGACGACGATAGGCTGTGGCTTACGCTGCATTCATGTGGTGTCGGAGACATTGGAAAAACAAGTTTCCGGGTGGTAAAATACACATGAACGCCTGCTCAAATCGGAACAACAACTCTGAAACAGTTCGGAAAAATCAATCAGTACAGAGACGGGCTAACTGGCTGCTTTGTGGCTGAAGGCTGCTGAGTGAACTAGCGCCGTGAAGACGTACTCACTACTCACCAGATGACCTCGACCCCTGCTAAAGTTACATAGTGCTGAAAACAGGCGACTGTGGCACTCTGTGGACAAGAGAGAGACGCCATTCTCCCTGTTGAAGTCGTTTTAAAGCGATTGTTTAAAGGTGGAAAAGTTACAGACTGTTGCTCTAATAGAGGGGTTAGCTGCCAAATAATCTATGGAATAGAAGAAGGAGGAGGTAACGTTGGATTCATACCGAGCAGCTGGAGTCTCTGCAGAGGAACTTTGTCAACGATGTCCCCTTCATGCAGAAGATCCTCGACGGTCCACTGCTCTGCAAAGACAGAAGAAGAAGAAAAAGAGCTTTCAACAACGGGGGATCCAAATGTTTACTGTGACTTCATCTAGTTCACGGACAGGTTCAGCTAACCCTAACCAACTTCCCACTGTCATCAAGTTCACCACATCACCAACTCTCTACCTCCGGTTACTGCAGACTGTGGAGAACATGACAATCTTATTTTGTTGGTTGATGAAGGTTAACATTTTAAAAAAAGGTCCAATCAGTGAGATGTGTAGTGAGTAAAATGATAAGTGACCTTACTGTATGATCAGACATTAAGGAAACATGCTATGTTGAAGTGCTGGCTTCTCTGACAACAATGAAGCAGCCAGTATGTCCTCCTTCTAACTTTAGATTCTGGTCCTGGATCAAACATACCGGTGTTTGAGGTCCTCTCAGCTTCATGATGAGGAGGTGCAGGCTGCTCTACAGGTGCACAGGTGTCTGTGAACAAGACGAGGAATATGAAGCAGCAGATTGTTGTATGATGAGAAGGGAAATATTTCCACAGCTCGTACAAAGATCACATAACTACATCAGTAAATCACTCATTTACCTGTATGCCTCTTGTAACAGCCAAGAGAACAACTGTATGAGAAAATGCACATTAAAAACAGTTATTATAATACATTCGTTGCGTACTTTAATTGTACATTTCATACAGGAGGCCATCCTTCACAATTCTGTTTAACTCGTTTTACTGAAGTAAAGTTTAACAAACATAGTACGACAGAGAATAGTATCTACAATGATTTTCTTCTGTTTTCCGGTCTGAAATTACAGATAACGACATTTTAGTGAATTTAAAACCCTGTGAAATGTACAGTCTATGATTTAAACATACCTTATTGAAACATTCAGACCGGAAGTTGAGCTCAAGATAGAAAACAAATGGTTACTTACTATCTGATGCGACAGGATGGACATTTGTATTTCGGGGTCTGTTCGCTGCAAACGCTGCAGATCTGCATCTCAGGGGTACAAAAAGAAACTAACAGGAAAAATCTGCTCCGTTTTGCTCACAGCTCACACGTGCTGGGACTAACAGGAAAACACGGGATGTCACTTCCGGTGGCGCGATCTTTACTTCAAAATAAAAGCAGGTACGATCAGTGGTTAAATGAATTCCGGTGTTACCTCCTTCACAGTGGCGGTTCTAGAGTCTGTTGGGGCCCCTAGGCAAAAGATTGATTTGGGGGCCCACCCACCAGCGTTCAGCAGGGCAATGATAGTGAATGCTGTCAGATGGGGCCCCGTTAGGGAGGTTAACTACTGTCATTGAAAAATGTGCACATTTTGGGTTGTTGCTTTGGTTCAAAGTTTGTCAGCCCTCTGGAGGACCCCTACTGGTCTGGGGCCCCAAGCAGTTGCCTGCCTTGCCTGTTGACAACCAGCGCCTCTGGACTCCTGCAAGGAGAATGGATTTCTCATCTAACACCTGCTGGCTGTACTCTGGGAAGTTTAATGCTGCTCTCCACAGGTTATAATCTGTAGTAGCCTATCTTATATTTTTACCAACGGGAGAGTTGAAGGAAGCGATATTATGACCGCTCAACCAACAGAAAAATGGTTGAAAACAACAGGAGGATGTCAGGAGTTCTCCTCCTCCTCTCTCTCTCTCTGAGCAAAATTCAAAAGCACCTTCATAACCAAACACACAGCCTTGTTGATTATGTTTCTTCCTGTGTTACGTTATTATATATGTATACTTGTGGACCAACTGTGCAAAGCTGTGACAATAAAGTATTGAATTGTATATTTTAATGAAGGGAAAGAACATTTATTTTATTTTATTTGAAAAGCAAATTATATTTTCTACTTCACAAACGTGATTGGTTTTAAAGTCATTTTTCATGACAGGCTGTTAATAAAAGTGCCTGTGCAACATTTTGAATGTGGATTTGAATAAGAGCTGCCTTTGTTTATGTTATTTCTTGGCATTAAAAATATCCATAAAGATATCGTGTCTCTCCCTTCAGTTAAAACAATATCCAGACATGAAGTTTTGTCCGTATCGCCCTGGTTTCATATATCCTCTTTGAACACTTCATTATAATTATTTCAGATCTGTGGTGGGCTCGAGGGTCTCTGCACTCACATCTCTGTCTCAGAAAAGGAGAACTTAAAATAGCTCACACCACTTTAAAAAAGTCCTAATCATAATATCTGTCAGGCCGTGTACTTGACCAGTTTTTTAAGGGCACTGCTGCTCAGCCTCGGCATGTGAATGTGGAGCCACTTCCCCCCCGGGGTTAAAGAATGTACACAACAGGCGGCGTGCAGAGAGGAGAGAGACGCTCATCGGCTGATCACTAAAGCAGTGACATCCCTCTAATGCAGCTGTTACAACAGAACCAGATGTTTTCTATAATCAGTCATATAAATAACCCAGAGTGGTTTAGTCAACATCATTTTTTATTAATCTGAAATAAAACACAATATATTGCACCGACAGACATAACGTTATTCATCGATATGTTTCTCACGCTCACACTACTGACCTACAAAGCTCAACACTAACTATCTCTGCACACAGCTGTAATTTCAGAGTCGATGTTACAGGGTGGAGGAATGAAGAGCCGTCTCGTGACAGGTGAATCGACGTGATCCCCATGGGGTCACAGCACCCGATTCACTGGGTCAGGGAAGGTGGGGGGGGGGAACCCGTGGCCGCGGTCAGCGTCAATAAAAACAAACCTTTGTCCAGATCTGTGGAGACATCGGAGGAAAATGTTAATGCATCAGTTTAAACGCACAGTCTGTAAATCCCACCACCACCCCCAGGGGGCTCTCAATCAATACAATAACAGAAAGATGACGTCAGGCTGGCAGGGAATCAGGGAGTTCTCTCAGCTACCCCCCCAAAAGATAAATAGAGGGGTTTATAGACATGATCAAATACAGGATCAGAGTGGATTTAGAACAAGAAACTTCACACACATGTTTTGAGAAGTTCTGACACTTATTTACACTGGTTGAAGAGGAGGAGGATATGTCACCTTTAATATTTTGTCTTGACTGAAGGCAGCTGCTGTGACTGTGTAATTACCTGCAAATGATTAATAAAGTCTCTCTCTCTCTCTCTCTCTCTGTCAAACGTGCTAGTTTTACATATCCCTCTGTAACTGGGTGACCTCATAGGTTTAGTAAAACACACTAAATATGTCATGCATAGATTACAGAGATCCTAACAACAGCAGCATTGTTCTGTTCACCTCACGCACGCGCGCGCGCGCGCGCACACACACACACACACACACACACACACACACACACACACCTCTGTGTGTTTGCTGCAGGGATCGACTTATGCAAACATCAAGCAGGAGGTTTATTTTTCCACCCAGAGGCGGTTTGTTGGACACACAAAGGAATGAGGCTGATAAAGCCCCCCCACTCAGACCTTCAAAGCATACCTTTACCTGTACACACCGAGAGCAAATCCATCAAGACGACAAGCTCTTGGTTCTCCTGCGTTTCATTTGGCTGTTGTGAAGTTTTTCTGCTATCTTCCTCTCGTGTCCGGAGGGGCAATGACGGTTGTGTTGAGCTCGATCTCTCTCTTGCTTCTGCCTTTCCCGCAGGCGTGACACGAGTACTCACGCAGGTTGTAATAGTCGTACTGATCGTAATGAGCCTCCTCAAAGGACACGAATCTTTCCATGTCTGTCGCCATTGTTTGGACGCGGACTGCTGCAGACACTTTCCTACCAGAGGAGTCGAGGAGCGAAGTAAACAGATGACGTCACCCCGTGTTTATATACACGGAGTCACGTGACGCGGCCGGGTCGTTCTGATTGATGGAGATATGCAGATGTTGTGCTTTTTCATACATAAATGGAACCTGTTACTGGGAATCATTTCTATCTATGGCTGATTTTATCTTTGTGTGATTATCGTCTTTGCGTGCTCACACCTCCAGTCAGAATCATTTGATTTTCTTGTTTGATAAATGTGTTGTCAGTCTAAATGACAAAACTGTGTTCATATTTAATAAATTACGGTAATGACACAATATCAAGGGAGGTATGGTTGGATTTCGCTGCACATCGTTGGTTACTCTTGATTACTCGTGTCAGGCTGAAAATTGGTCTGGTAGGCAAGGTCTCCCCCTGCAGCCCCCCCTCACTCTGACATCTCTCCATCAGTGCATGTCCACAGGATCCTGTGTGTGCTTGCGTGTGTGTTTCAGTCTCTGTGTGTGTAGCATGTCCAACATCAGACTGTAAAATTGATTTCCCCTCGTGGGATTCATAAGGTAGATCTTCTTCTATATTACATAACATGTGTCTGACCCTCTGTCCCCCACACAGCAGCAGTTTGGCTGAGATGGGCTGTCTTACAAAGAAATATACTATAATTGATTTGTAATTACATTTATTTATCGATATATTCATTTTGGACACGGTACAGTTTGAATAGCAGCTGGATACCTCCACACTTTCACTTTTATCCCTTTTATCTGGATGCGGGAACATCTCTGCGGGGGCTTTCATGTTTTATGTTTTATGTATAATGAACCTAATGATGGTTGGATTGTTTATTAGTGTTGTTAATGTATTGTATGTCTCCGGCAGCATTTGACCTTTGATGTTCAAAACTAGAATATACATAAATATATATTACAGATATTTCTTTGACTTATGTCAATACTGTCCATTTACAACTCTGTTTTTGCACATTTACATTCAATCTTCCATATTTAATCTTCCTATTTAAGAATGTAATGCTTAGTTAAATCCTGGTTGTATATATTCACATTCTTAGTTTTGATATTTTTAGTACTTATTTACTTTGTATTTAATATTATATTATGTTTAGATTTGCGAACATTGTGTTTTTTGCTCATATTGTGTGTTTGGATAACCTGCTGCTGTAACGCCACAATTTCCCAGTTTGGGATCAATAAAGTAAGTAAGTAATTGTATTTATAATGGAAAAATTAAGAGACCAATGGTGGAATTATAAAACGAATTCAAACATAAAGATAAGACAATGTTGATCGAGACACTGAAATTATTCCATAAAAAAAATAAAGAAACAGAAAAAGTGTTTAGATATTTTCGAATAAAGTTTATTTTTGCCGGACAGTTTCAGTTCCTGGGGGGACCCGTGTCCACCCTATGAGTACACCCGATGGGTACACCGCGTTCCGCCCTTCCGCCCTCCCTGAAGCTCTGTGACGTCATGACGCTATTCCACGTCGCAGTCGTGTGTCTCACAGGCGAGCTCGCTGCGTTTGAATGCGTGTCTCCAGCTAGGCCAGAGAGTGATGGCGGCGCCCGTCCTGAGAGTGTCCACCCCTCGGTGGGAGAGAATAGCCCGGCTCGTCGTCTGTGTGCTGGGCATCCTGTTGTCTCTGTATGCCTTCCACGTGGAGAGGGAAAAGGCCCGGGACCCGAGCTATAAGGCCGTGTGCGACGTCAGCAGCTCCATCAGCTGTTCGAAAGTGTTCAGCTCAAGGTAATTTGAATTCAGCGAGGAGCTGCCTCCCATTGTGGCACTTTGAGAATGGAGGTTTATAACTGCACCAACAGCTCACATTATCCGGCTGCCCTGTACCTCTAAAGCTACCTGCTGACTATAAGTAGTGCCCTGCTGTGAGCTAGGTGTTGGTTAACTCACCTGTGTAAAATAACTTAACTTTTAGCTTGTTAGCAAAACATTAGCCGTTTAGCTCCGGGATGCTAGCGCCGCCAACCGTTAGCCTTACTCTTAGCCGGTTAGCTTTCAACAGAGAGAAAACATGATAAGAAGATATTTGTCTCTTCTTCTGATCCTGCAGGAGACTCTGTGTGTGTTCAGGTGCTGCACATCTGCTGTACAGCTAATAGCTTGTTAGCATAACGTTACTGTAGGCGCTAGGTGAAGCCATTCATTCAAACTAAGGCTTTCTCTCTCAGTAAACTGGATTATTGGTTTGGATTTTTTGGGATATCGTTACTTCTTCACTTGCTGTCATGCTGCTGTCATGTCACCGGGCAGCTGTGGGTCAGTCCAAAGGACTAAACCCGGGCTACCTACAGAGACAGTGGACACAGCTGCTCCAGAGGTCAGTGTGGAGGACTGTAACATAGTAGGCCACCTTAAGGAGTCAGCACCCTCACATACTGTACAGTGAAGGTGCCAGTGTTTATTTATTTATTTGTTCTAATCATCATTGGCCGTACCCTAGAGCAGTAGTTCTCAACTGGTCTAGCCTTAGGACCAGGGGCGTGTCCAGGCTTTTTTTCTTTTGGCTTGGTGGCCCACCTGGGGCGCTTACTAATGCAGGGGTGGAATGAAGTTTCCGGGCAACCACCAAGCGGCAACCTCTGGTGTTAAAAAAAGAAAAGAAAAAAAGAAGCTGATGCGAAAGTGCAAAATGAAAGATAAACTAGTTTCCATAGTTAGGCTGACCTGATTGACAGGAGGCTGCGGTTTGTCAAGAGTCTTAAAACCCGCCTCAGCTCCAGCTCTCAGCCTGTCGTTAAATTGTCTGAAAGTTAGGCTGAGACAGCATTTCCAGCATGGAGACCACCATCGGCCATCCAGCGCCCCCAGCAGGAACAGACGGGTGAAGTCACTCAGGCTTCATTCATTAATATTTACAGTCTATGGTTAGGATCCCCATTTGCTGTTCCCTAGAGCAGTGGTCCTTAACCGGTTTATCTTCAGTACTAGGGGCGTGTCCAGGCTTCTTTTTGTTTTGTTGTCTGAGGTGGCCCACCTGGGGCTCTTCCTTATGCAGGGGGGGAATGAAGTTTCAGGGCAACCTCCAATGTTAAAAAAATGGCAAAAGTGCAAAATGAAAGCTAAACTAGTTTTCCATTGTTAGGTGCTAGGCTGACCTGATTGACAGGTAGGTGCGGTGTAGCGGTTTGTTAGGAGCCTTAAAACCCGCCTCAAACTCTCTGTTGTTAAGTTGACTGAAAGTTAGGCTGAGACAGCATTTCCATTATGGAGACCGCCATCGATGGGACTCCGGAGTCCCCTGCAGGAACAGATAGGTGACAACTAATCTTGCTTCATGGCGGTAAGGAGCAGCCAAGCCCAGTGTGAGTGCGTCGGCCCCTTAGACTGCTTTGAAGCCGTCATCATGTCTTTGTACATTCATACTGATTCAGCGACGGCGCAATATACTGTATGTGTCCCAGTCTATGAATATGCACTGTGTTTCAGCACAGCAGGAGCTCCACATACACACACTGTCCGACATGCACACACACACAGCACTGCGCTCCCCTGCTGGCTCCGCTGAAACCGCCCCTCCTCTGTAGCGCCTTTGTTACTACCTCTGAAGACGGTGCAGAGGAAGCAGTGCTTGTTTGCATTTAATCATTTTTCGTATTTATTGTGATATTGCAGACATTTGCGATGTAAATTATTAAATTGTGATTTATTGTGCACACTGACTTCCTTTTAGTTCTGCATGCATCTGAAAAAGGTGCTGCCCCAGCTTTACTTTAGAAATGTGTGTACTAAGAAGTTAACCCTGCCTGTGACATCTCACTGAATAAGAGTCTTTGTAGGTCCTGAACAAACATCTGCTGCTTATCTGGAATGCAATCTGTGTGAGAACACGGTTAGTAAATGTTTCTAAGATGAGAGAATGAATTCTCTGAGTCACACCTCTGTCATCTCTAAAAGATTTAAACCACCACGTGTGACTTTGAGCTTTAGATACTGAACATTGTCAGTAGGGTCGTAATGATGCTATAAGTTTTTGTTTTGAAACCACGGCAACAAGAAGATTTATGAACCAAATATTTCGTGATGGCCAAGCAAGAATTTGTGTTTGCAGGAATTTTCTTGCATTTTTTGATGCATTAATTCCTTTCCTTTGCAAAAATGACTTTCTTTGTCTTTGTCTGAAATTGGTTTCTAACTCTCTAATCTAAATGTGTGTAAAGCAATTTTTTGATGAAGCAGATTGATGATTTTTACTGACCTAAGTTTGTGCACGTCTAAAGATAAAGCCTTAAAAACTACTGCTGTGGAAACATGAAACATTCATCTGCCTGCAGTGTTGAGATCCGCACTTTCTTATAAAATCAGAGGAAGTGTTTAATGAAGTGAGATGTCTGAATATCAGACACAACATTAATTTATATTAGAATAGGAACATGTGGCGCAGTTGTTAGTGCGCGCACCCGATGTATAGAGGCTGTAGTCTCAAGCGGGAGGCCTGGGTTCACATCCCACCTGTGGCTTCTTTCCCGCATGTCATTCCCCTCTCTCTCTCTCCCTGATTTCCGACTCTATCCACTGTCCTGTCTCTCCATTAAAGACATAAAAAGCCCAAAAATAAATCCAAAAGAATAGGAACATTCTTGTATCATTCCCAGTTCTTCAAATCAGTTCTCTCAGATATTTTATATCTCGGCTTTTCTGGGTGGACTGTGGTCCCTTTGGTTCTCGTAACAGTTCCTCCGGGGCTGATTGGTCATGTGGTTGTGGTGACGGAGAATAAATGAAAGACTTTTTGAACAAGCCTCTTATTGCCATTCTGCTGCAATGTCCCCTCCAATGAGCTGTAAAATGGTCCATAAAAAATACAGAAATAAATACTAAATTAATTTCCCATTGAAATAAGATTAATGAGAGACTCTGCATCAGTTATGATACGGTTAGATGTTAACATTGAGGCAGTAAAAATGAGGAGCGTCTTCCCAAAAAAGGCTCCTCTTCTGAAGACCCACCTTGAGCAAACAACTTTAAAGTTTGTCCAAAATCTGTTTAGAAATAAGTTAGGCACAAAGCTGAGGAGGTAATCTGTACTGTAGTTACACTGAACAGCGACAGCCCAGTAGGAGCTGAACACTACTCAGAGTGTTGCTCAGTTTGCAGATAGTGGTGAGAAACAGAAGGGTCATAACAGCTGAGGACGAGACAATATTTGACCAGCAGATGTGCCCCCTACTCTCCTGCTCTTCACACAGCACTTAAAGGTTGAGACTAGGGGCGCAAACTCGTTCATTAAATAATAATCGGTTACAAAACAAACGTAATCGATAATCGTTGTGTAGTCCACATTTTTGTAAATGTTTCTTGTTGCATTGTGGGTTCTTGGATAGGCCTAATTCAAAACAGAAAAAAGGAGCACGAGCGCAAAAAGAAAATAGATGACAAACAAAGCGCTGATAAAGGCTCTGTGCTGAAACGCGTCCGTTGTTGATCCGTACACTGCTGCCCTAACAAAAATATCCCTTTAATTAACCCCCCTATGAATTCACAATGAACAAAAAGTCCCAAACAAACGAAATATGCAATATGATCTACGAAAGTTCAGTTAAAATTGTCTTTTTAGTCCACAGAAAGAGAAGTCTAAAAATCTGGGGAACGACATTTTTTTAGACACCACTTAGGCCCTGTGTCTACTTGGAGGAGAGAGCGTTTGCAGCAGCAGACAGCCGCCCAGAGAAAAGGTGCAGCGCTCTTTTTCCGAGCACTCTGCCTTTTTTTTTTGCGGCTGCTCTGAGCACTTCTATTTAAAACTCTTTCAACTTTTCAGAATGGCGCTGTAATCATCACCAGCGCTCTTTTCAACAAGTCAATCATATAATAGATCGGCCAGGAGTCCCAGTATATTTGCATCCTACAGATTGTATTGTGTACCCACATCCTCCTGCTGGAATTATTATTATCAAGCGTATTATCCAGAGGTAGTAGGAGGTCAAACATCCTACTAGTGATGCTCATAGTGAAGGAAAAATAACATCAAATGTAAAAATTCAATGGAGCAGTGTTAGTCACGCAGCGTCCGTTGTGAACAGAACAGACCGTTGTTGTACTGACAAGACGCGTGTGTAGCTCTTTCATACACAGACACAAGATCGCTTGGGAACTTGTGTGATCATGCGTACATTTAGAAGGAAAACAAATATGGAGGAGGCTGGCTGTCCTGTTTCAGTTTTGCAACGAAAAACAAATGGATCAGCGCGAGCCGAGGGTGAGTTAAAGTTTGCAGCCTCCAGTTGGTGAAGCTTCCAAGTCTGCTTGCTCTCTTTGAGTGCCGGTATTCCGTCGGAGGCAGCCTGACGTGGAATCCTGATTTCAATTCGGGGAGGCTCTGGCTCGATGGGGAGCAGTAGAATAATCGTCATGACACCACACTGAAGGATTATTTGGATCCTCAAGTGTGTTTAATCGTTGAAGTGGTGAAATCGGGCCTAAAATCGTCTGATGCCAGCCTTAGTAAACTAAACAATAAAAATGTTCCTTTCCTAAAGAAGCAAACTTCATCTACCTTGAACTTCAGTATCTGACAGACATACTCAGGAGAAGAAGAGCTGGTTAAATGCTTTACAGACGTTAGAAGGCCTCATTCGTTATTTTTTTGGCGTCCCCCGCTGTGATTGGGTCTGATTAACTTCTGTACTAATGAACTCAAGTGGTCGCCTCCTTCATGCTGATGTTTCTGTGCTTTCAGGTGGGGTCGAGGATTTGGACTCCTGGGCTCAATTTTTGGAAATGACAGCGCACTGAATCAACCCAACAGTGTCTACGGGATCGTCTTTTATGCCTTTCAGCTTCTTCTGGGTAAGCCGTCCGTTTTTTATCCAGACTTATTATTTCTTAGTTCAGCTGACAAACCTCCCTAGACTAGTGCTGACTCAGCACTCTGACATAACTTCAGCTTAGTCACATGACACAGATATCATACTAGAGTCCATGCTTAAATAGAATCACCTTCTTCAGTGTTGTATTTGAGGGAGAGGGCTGTTTTTAAAGCTCGCACTACAGAAGTCAAATCAATATTTGAGTTTATTGGATCTAATTCTGGTGATTTTCCTGCTGAGCCTGAAGAGATAAACATGTTACACCAGAACGGATCAGAAAGTGCTGTGTGTCACGGCAGGAATATAGAGGAGGACAAAGTGTTTCCCTCAGTGTGACTTGTTTTAACTTGAAGCTCTTTTTCCCCTCTGGTTACTCGTCCACATTCTTCTCCCTGCAGTACGTTGATGCTGCTGCTGACTCAGTCATGCTGGTTTGACATGTTTTCCTGCATAGTGGCATGAAGGCTTGCTTGGCCACCTGGCACTGGCACAGAACAAGAGGTCCTTTTAGGCAGTAACCACTCATTTGACTAACACAATAGCAGCCCAGTTAAGCCAAACTGCTACAGCGGCTCAAGATTTCCATATTAAAAGCAAAGCCACTCTGCTTCAGGACTTGTATTGTGCTCGCCGCATTTGGCTGTCTAATATTTGTGAGTGGGCAAAAGTCCATGTCGCGGCTTTCATCTCTAAATAGTGCCAGCATACAGCTAAGGACGTCTGTCATAAAGTCAAAGATGTCAATTCAGAAAAGTGTAACTGCTGCATCAGTAGAGCCTGTGCCCCCCAACGCCGGGCTGACAGCGCTCACTAGAGCCGTTTTCACATCTGCACTCCTGAACATATCTAGATCATTTCAGGAGGTCTGCTCCTGAGTGTGCAGACAGTCTATGGTCGTGCAGCGATCACAGGGAATAAACGTCACCACCCCTCCCACTCGCTCCAGGTGAATTCTCCTGATTATATCCTGCTGCGTTCTCACATCAGCTCACTCTGACTTCAGAATAAATATGAGGAGGCTGTGTGCAATCTAACATGCAGCTCAACTTGCAGATATCAGGAGTTAATCAAGAGTTTTTCAGGAGTTTTGTGCAGGTGTGAAATCTCTTCTATCAACTCAGGTAGATTCCAGCATCAGGCTGCCTGAAAGGTTAAAGGCTTTATATGCGATTTTTATCATCCAGCAGGTTTCGCTCTTGAGCACCAGCATGAAACCAAAACAACTCACGGTGCATTGTTGTGTTAGCATGCTAATGCTAGTGATCTTTATTATGCTCATATCTTCACACTGCATGTAAATTTACCTGAAATGAGCGTGATCTAGAAACACAGTTAAGCAGTGAGTACAGTATGTTATTCTTCTTTTCTCTAGTCCCTCAATTAAACAACTTTTATATGCGAGGGGATGAGCTGGCCGGCCGTCCTGGCGATGTAAACAAAGTGAAGATAGGACTCTGAAAGCATCACAGACAGTGGGACTCGGGTGTTACACCCATTGTAGACAGTCATGACTCACAGAGTTATTTTCAGAGGATATACTTGATTTCTGTTACATTTAAGTGTGAAAAATCGCATAGAAAACCTTTAAGGAGTGCAAACGTGAAAACAGGTTTTGTGACTCAAACATGAGCAGAAGGAGCTGAGACTGGTGGGTATTTTGTCTTTTTGAACAGCATAACTTTAAGAAAAAGACTCTCAGGCTTCATAGGATCATATGAGATTTATGTCACAGAGTGAGGGAAGATGTAACTGTCAGACGATAGTTAACGGGCTCTGATTGCACGAGCTGATAAAAACAAAAAGTCAGGGGGCAGACAGCAGAATGACCTCCAGCTTCATAGTTTGAACATTCCCAGCATTGTCTGCAGAACATGTAGCAGAACCAGACGGACAGGTTCACAATTTCAACGTTTGACAACGTTTTTAAAGACAACAGAAAACGTTTATTTTCATCCCGGTTCTGCAGCTTTTTGTGTAAATATTTCAAATGTTGCTGTGAGCATGGCGTCTGCGTTGGCCTTAAAAATCAGTGGACAAAGTCTTAAGTTTATTGGGTCACTGCTTTATACCTGAACTACCAATTTCCACATACTCCCTGCAGTCTGCTGCTCTTTGCCATTTTAGTCAATGATCCTGTTTCCACAGTGATTGCCGCGGTTCGACTCCTGAGTGGGCCAGCAGCTCCACTACGCTATGCTCGGTTTTAAATATGCTGCAAGTCTGTTTTCGATCACGCTGGAGGCACGCGTCAAGCTAGACAGAATAGATCGAACTCGGACAGCGTGAAGAACAAATCATCCTCAGAGAGACAAAGCAACATGTTGTTTGCCATGTTTTCTCTTCATTCCTGAGTCATTTTGTAACGCTCCAATCCAGAAACTGACCCACTGGTGCAGTGCTCTCAAAGTCAGACGGAGCAAAACCGTGGCGCTGACGCAGAGTTTGTGGAAATTGGGAGATATAAGCTCAGGATGCAGAATCAGCCTTATACGTATGACTGCAGCTCATGTGACAGCAAAATAATATGACCAATCTATTCAGAGTGGACGGTGACATCATGAGCAGCAGAAAGCAGAAGTGTATGTGCAGACTCATCAGGTCTTCAGAGTGTTTTCAGGTTGTCTGTCTTATTTCTGCTCTAAGCTTTAGTTTGTGTTTCTCGCCATAGGAATGACTGTCAGTGCAATGGCCGCCCTCATTCTCATGACGACTTCCATCTTGTCGGTGGTGGGTTCGCTCTACCTGGGCTACATCCTCTACTTTGTCCTCAAGGACTTGTGCATCATCTGCATCACCACGTATGCGCTGAACTTCATTCTCTTTATTCTCAACTACAAGCGACTGGTTTACTTGAACGAGGCCTGGAAGCAGCAGCTGCAGGCCAAGCAGGACTAAGCTGTGGAGAGCGGCAAGAAAAATACAATAAACAAACAAACGACAACAAAAAAGAAATGTGACCTCTGAACATTTGACTTGCCACCAGGAGACCTTGCTTCCAAAACAATGTTTATTCTGCTGTGTGTTCAAAAAAAAGAAGAAATGTAACTTAAATGTTGGGCCTGACATCTTAATGTTGCGAAACACGGAAGGATTTGTAAGTGAAAGATTTTCTTTTAATTTCTTTTTCCTTGTTTAACATTGTACTCACTCAAGGAAGGGGCTGGCTGTGCGTGTGCTCGTTCCTGTGTGTGTGTGTGTGTGTGTGTGTGTGTGTGTGCGAGAGTGAGAGTGTGAGCGCGTCTGTGTTGGGAAAACCATCCAAACGAACAGCGGAGGCAGAATCTACAACACAGAGCAACGGAGGACGGCTCTGTTCTGAACAAAAAGGAACGCAGAACGGACGAGGAACAAGACTTTGAAAGGGTTTACTTGAAATGTTAGAGAGGTCCTATAACTGCACAGCGGATCTGCACTAAAAATAGCGCCCAATAAGGGGGGAAAAAACACTCATTAGGTCATCATACACTTTGCAGATAAAGTTTGGTTGACGGGGGGGGGGGGGGGGTCGGGGCGAGGGACAACAAGGATGAACATGTCTGCAGGATAGTTTCTTTCATGTTTACACTCTGTAGGATGTTTCGTTTTGAAGAGGACCACTACAAAAGTAAACACGGGACAATATGACATGTTGTGCGTAGATCAGTCCGACTGTTTGTTTTTTGCAATTCTGTAAATAGCTGCTGAGCAATACTCCAGGCTAGATCGTGACTTAGTGTTGACTCAAAGGAAAAAAACCAACAAAAAAACTAAACACCCGATAGAAGAGGAGGAAAACACGAGTTGAACCCGGAACGATGAGAAAAGTGATCGAGGTCAGCTGGTTGTGGACGAGGCCGCGTCCTGTAAACCGGGTCCGGCGTGCGGTTCAGAGCTGTGTGGATTTCTTTGTTGTGAGTGGCTCCCGTTTCATCTGAAGCCACCGACACGAGTCAGAACGATACGTTCTTCCCACCGAGTTTGCATAAAGGCACCCTCACTCTTTTTTTGTTTTCTTATGTATTTGTGTAAAGCATTCCTGACCACCGCTCGAGTGGGATCCATACAGACTTATGTGCCTAATGGAGTGTTAAGGTGAATTACCTTTATTTTATTTTTTTTTACGGTCGGGACGACGGGTCGGAGGGGGTATTGTCCTCTTTTTGCTCGTTGTTTTACGGTCACAGGTCCGAGGCTTTATTTTCTGATCACAGTTTTTGTAAATCCAGAAGCCAGTGAAGTGTTTTCTCCCTCCCTAATGAGAGTCTGGAGGTAGCAAAGGCTGCTACACTGTGATCATCTGCTCGAGGGCGGGGTGGCCTGGCGGCAGAAGCGTCTCTTACCCGGCGGTTTGGTCTGCTCATCATGTTTTCTGTTCACTCTCCAGCCTGGTTACATTTGATGTCAACTGAACAGCGGCGGTGATCTTGCAAAGCTGAGTTGCTGTTCATTTGTGGGCTTTTGTGAATGGAACTGTCTCCCTTTGAGGAAACTTAAAACGGTCTGCCACGCCACACGTGGAGGCGGAGTGAGGCGACCGTCTTACGATGGCGAGCTGCGGACACTGAAGTTTTTCTTTTGAGCAGTTGATCTAGCATAGCATGGTTTGTAAACAGATCGGTCACGGTATCTGTTCCACTTCAGTGACAGAGTAGATCCGTGTTTTTTTTTTCCCTCCATCCTCCAACAGAATCCATGGGTTAAGGCGTCTCGCTGGATGCACGGTACACCGCTTTCTCCCGGCTTTAAACGTGCGTCGGCCATCGGACAATCGTACACCTCCAAGTTGTAGAGCAGTCGTAGTAATAACTGTAATAATGTAATTTAATCTGTGGTGTCCAGCCAGCTTGTTAATAGTCTCCATGCCCCTTCTTATTTCACAGCAGTCATCTCCTCACAGACCTTTTCTCTTTATTTGTTAAAGTATTGATGTTGGCAAATATTAGGAGACGTTTCACTTGAGTACTTCCTGTTCCTCCACATGAGGTCATCTGTCCTGAATGAAAACAGGAGTTTAAGGTTATGCTGTTTATTTCCCCCGCAGGATGTTGTCCCAGAGGTTACTGTTAATGCATGTTTTTTTTTTTTTTTAAATCGTTGCCTGCTACATCGATGTTATCCATTTTCCAAAGCACAGCGAAATCTGCACTTTTTCACTCTTGAACGTTAGCACTTAATTCAGCAGTGGGAGGAGCCTACTCACTGATCTCTACGTGCAATTCTTTTCTGTTTAGGTTTGAGTGACGACAGTAAAACTGATACATGCCGCACCAATCAGCAAATCCAATTATATCATGATCAGGGCGGTCAGCGTTAACGAGTTAATCAGGATTAATCTGGTGTTATTTTGTCCCTTCAGGCTCACCGTAGATAGTGGTCCTCAGTGTCTCCCTGTAGTCTCAGTGATGTAAAAGAAGAACACTGCTGCATCTTTGAATGTCTCATTTCACTTTAACAAACTCTCAGACAGCTCAGCTGACGAGTCCAAAGTCATATCCACCTTATGACATCACATATTGACCTTTGTTACCATTCCTTTGAGCTGTTTGACCTCAGTTTGGGATCCGTAACCACTTCCTGTTTCTGTGCTTAACTTCCTGTCCTAACCTTCACTCTACAGGAAAGGCCTTACTTTATTTCAAAATAAAAGCACACAGGAATTAAAGTACACAAATTAAAAATAAAAGCCTAACTATTTGTATTTTTGAATGCAAATGAATGGAATTTCAAACATGCGAATAAAAATGTGATTAATCGTGATTAACTCTTAAACTTTATCGACTACGTTTTAAGTCGTTTGACACCCTGATTCTGATGAAAAACCAAACCTGACAGAGAGGACCCTACTGCATTGCACTTTTATAAACTGTGTCCAAAATCTAGAAATTAAAAACTGTGGCAATACCTGTCAACTACATTACTCACAATGCAACTCAACTGGACTGTTCAGGCAGAGATACGTCTATAATCTGGACCCGGCTCCACACTCAGAATTTTAAATTTGAGAAAAACTTGTAGTTTCAGACTTCTCAACAGTGACTCAAGTGACATCACTCGAGGACATATTTGCGGTAAAGTCAGCCCAGACAAACATAGTAGAACATTCAAACTCTGTTTTGCTTTGGAAAATGGTTGGCAGTTTATGTTTGGTTGTAAAGTGGTAAAACATGCCAGCAGAACCATTTTTACAGATTTTAAAGCCCTGTTTTCCACCAAGCGGTATGGTTTGGTTCAGTACGGTAAACCCTGATCTCTTGCAGTTCCACAGACGACCTTGCGCTAAGCTAGACGTCTAGCTCTGCTGTTATGGTTCAGATCGGTACGCTTGGCTCAGGTTACTTAAACATGTTGCATTTTTTTGTTTGTCCTTTATTGCCGCTGTCACACAGGAAATGACGATTCTTTCGACCAATCAACAGACTGCAGTGTGTTTAACTCCGCCCTTTAGGGTCGGATCCTTACGCTTGGCACCCCAACAGAGGGGTAGCAAAAAACAGGATGGTACAGGTCGGTTACTTTGGTACCATTCCCAACTTTTGACTGTGGAAACGCCAATAAATGTACCCGTACTGAACTGGGCCGCTCTGTGGAAACAAGGCTCATGTTGCTTCCATCTGGTGATTTAAATGTTTTCATCATTTTCTGACCTTTTCTCTGTAATATTTTCACCATTCTTACAGACCATATAGCGCCCTTTTCCACCAAGCGGTTCAGTACGGTAAACCCTGATCTTGCAAGCCGACCATACGCTTACTGGTAAAGTGGAATGTAAGCCGGATGCGGTGTGTGTCCCAACGCCAGCCTTTAGGGTCAGATCGGTACGCTTGGCACCCAAACAGAAGGGTTGCTAAAAAGTAGGGCGATATGAATCGGTTATTTTGACTGTGGAAAAGCCGATAAATGTACCGTACTGAACCGGGCCGCTCGGTGGAAACGTGGTTCATGGTGCTGCATCTGATTATTTAAATGTTTTCAACGTTCCCTGAGCGATTATCGGTCATATTTCCGTCTTACAGTTTTGCCTCGTTGGGCTAACATCAGGTTGTTCTTCATCTCAATGCTCTTTCTGTAAAAGCCTTCTGTGTTCACATTCAACACGAGACTCCTGCGGACGGATTCACTTCTTGCATAGGTCAAAAAACATTTTCATCACCTAGGGAGGTCAAACTGACACAACCTGCCGGTTACTGTGGCAACGCCTGCGAGTGCTGTGAAACTGACCGAGTGCTCATTGCATCCATGTTTCCACTCCTGTGCACGCGTGTTACACTAAAGTATGTGCAGTTACTTTCAAAAAAAAGGGTCAAAAGTTTGAAATGTTTGGCTGTTTAAAAAAAAAAAAAAAAAAAAGGATCAAAATGTGAAATGTGAAAAAAAGATCAATCCTGCATTCTCATGAATCTTCACATAGGCCCGGAGGTTTAACTGCCATGTTAGCCGCATCACCAATGCCAACAAAAGTGCCTTCTGTTTGATCACGAGGCCTCGAGCCAAAGACGAGCAACAGTATTAAGCCTTGCAAAACCACCAATGGAAAGTGTAACGACCTGAACATGTAATCGGATCAATTGGTCATTGTCCAAAGAATTGATTTCCAGTATCAGCGCAACGATCCATTCACAAATCGCCCTGTCAGATCAACGGCCGTTCCCCTTCCCCGTTTGTGATTCCACTTTATAATTCTCCTCTTTGGTTTGTTAGCTAGGACACGTCTGTTAGCTAAGAACACACTCTGTCTAAACTACATGATTGTAATGTTCTCTCTCTCGTCGTTAATTATGCCCTTTATCTGTATAGACTGTTAACATTCTGGGTTACTGTTTTTTTTTTTTTTTAGGTTATAAAAAGTTGAGGGGTTGGAGGGCTCGGGAATCCATGTGTCAGCATTCAATGTTTATTCAATTTCTTTGTGGAGGAAAACTTACCAGGTTTGCTTCTGTATTGCCAAATATGTTTTAAAAATGCTGTATTTTCTTACATGGAAAAAGTGTTACATGAATGGTAGGAGGGTGCTGTGAAGAAAAGAGAATCTGTTTGAATCCAGCTTACTTTAAGGGAAAACTGTGGAAACGGTTGACATGAGAGCGTTTTTAATTGTGTCATTGTCATGTGGAAATGATCTACCATTAAAACATTCCCTCTGAAACGAGCTGCCATGTCCACTTCTTCCACTCAAATGTTATTCTCAAACTGAGCTGCCAAACGGAGATCTTCTGTTACAACTCCCTCCTGGCAGGTCTTCTTGCTGCATGCTCTATCAAACCGCTGCAGCACGACTCTTCTTCAACCCCCCCCCCCCCAAACCAGCACGTCACTCCGCTGTTCGTCTCCCTCCAATGGATCCCAGTCACTGCTCACATCAAATTTAAAACTCTGCTCCTCCTTACCTAATCTCATCCAGGTCTACACTCCCTCACGCCCTCTACGCTCCGCTATTGAAGGGCGTCTGATCCAACCTACATTGCAGGGTCCTAAGAGCGCGATCACACTGGCAATCCGTACCTTGCTTAAGCACACGTCACCCCTAAAGTCCAGTTCCTTTGACAAGTGTGACCGCACTGATCTGTGCTCAAGCTCGGTACACTTCCTTGGCCCTGGCACGCTTTGAAGAGGTGCTCTTCGGTACAGTTCATGTACAAGCACGGGTACACAGCATGGAGTGTTGTGTCTGTATCTGACTAACATGACTCAGAATAAGTCCTGGAGCAGTGAGAGTGCAGACCGAGCAGAATCTAAAGTTAGAAGGAGGACATACTGGCTGCTGCATTGTTGTCAGAGAAGCCAGCACTTCAACAGAGCATGTTTCCTTAATGTCTGATCATATAGTAAGGTCACTTTATCATTTCACTCACTACACATCTCACTGATTGATCCTTTGTGTTAGTAGAGTCACTGTTCCTGAGTTCCAGCACGAAGTCTTCTGTGTCCCAGAAGAGTGAAACAAATCAACAAGTAAAGTTTGGACTGAAGAAACACTCAGTGTGCACATTGAGTTCTTTGTTCAGTCTTTAATATCTTGATTCATGTAAAGAGAGTTTTGTTCGTAGATTTACACAAATATAAAAATAAAAACATTCTTTGATTATTTTCAGCATCGTTGTTCACATTCTGATGAAAGCTGTTACGTTCTTTAATCCTTGAGAGACGCTCAAACACAGAACAACAAACGCACAGAAGTGACAGAAGCGTTCACCTCGGTCGTGATATCAAACTGCAAAAATAATCTTTAAAACATTTATTTTGAAGTTGAAGAGATGGTGAGGTGGAGCTCTCATAATACCTCACAAATATGTCGACGTTCATCCTGTGACGCTAAATCACTTTATAAACCTTCACTCAGGCGTCTCTTTAGGAACAGATATCAAAAATATATTTATTGTCCATCAAACGTGAATTGCAACAAGAAAGAAAGCAGCAGAGGCGACTTTTCACGTGCTAAAAATCTCTCAGACTAACAGCGTGTCCTGACAGCACGCGGATTTTCGCACGCTCGCTATCCACATAAAATATTTCATTGTCTGCTCTGGGAATTTCAGTTCCCCCTTGCAAACAGTCTGACATCTGGTGCTTTTATTTTGAAGGTGGGCAAACTGAAGTGTGGTGCTTTGTATTGACGATTTGCTGACTCAAATTTCAACACTTGGAGAGGCTCGTCAATAAACTACACAGTGGGCTGAATAAAGATTTCTCCGATGTTGTCAAAGGTCAACATTTTAATCATGATGTGGATATTATTAATGCACCGTTATCTCCACTTTGTACAAATAACTAATAAGCTAGCGAGCTCAGCTGAGGGAGGAAAGAGAGTGTAGGTGCCTCCTCCTTCTTTGCCCATCTACGTGAGCGACGGAGAGGAAAAGAGGAGCGCAGCGTCGCTCACGGGCTGTTAGAACACTCCCACTAGTAAATAACAGACTCTCGCTGATGCTCGCTGGTGTGGCGTGCTGTTAGGACAGGCTGTTATTAAAATCCCAGATCATTGTACTGTTTTAGTTCATGCTGCAGAACAGCGTTTCTTTAAGTGTTGTGTCTATGTGCGCTTTAGTAAAACTGTCTTTCTCATCAGGTGTACAGTTTCAGTCCTGACTCCTGATCCAGGGTGCTCACACTGTGGGGGGTCAGAGTGAGCAGGGGTACTTGGTCCAAACGGGTAGTTTTCCCGTTTCGTTGGCCAGTCTCCAGTATCTCTCCTTCAGGATGAACGCCGCTGACTTAGGCTGCCTCTGACGGCTGAAGATACCCTTCTTGTTCCCCACCACACGAGTGATCCCTGCAGACACAAGAGGGCTCGTCAAGTCCTCTGAAATGTTCAGCCTCTTATCATGTCACAAGTTTAAACATTTCAGAATGTAAAGGACATCTACAATGCTGATCCATATTTAAATATAATTTATCATGTTACGATGTTTGAGGTCCACACTAAACCTCGGCAACATTTTTTTTTAAAACGCAAAATACTCAGTTGTTGGCATACAGGGCGTTTGGAGATTTTCCCTTCATGACATCACAAAGGGCAGTAGCCCCTCCCTTAGGTGGGTGTCACTCCCACAGCCAGGTGTTTGTTCTGCCCTCTGAGTCTGCCTTCTCACCGTAAACAATAGGACATGGAGCGAGAAAGCCTGAGCCACCCGAGCCCTTCCAGAGAGGGGGCGTGGTCAGACACATCTCATTTACATTTAAAGGTACAGACACAGAAACAGCCTGTTCTGATCAGGGCTGAAATAGAGGGGTTTATAGACATGATCAAATACAGGATCAGAGTGGATTTAGAACAAGAAACTTCACAGACATGTTTTGGGGAGCTCTGAGACTTATTTACATTGGAGGAGAATATGTGATCTTCATTTAAAAAAAAAAAAGTTATTCTGGTCTCTTTGGAATGGGGCCGTGTCCAGACTTTTTGGACTGGGGTGGCCCAATTGGGGCACTGACTTGCAGACCCTATCTAACCTCACCAATCATATCTACTTAATATCAAAAGATAATGGCAATATTAGCTTGATGACACAAACAGAAGATGCATGTTCAAAGTCACGATTTAAAGTATTTTAACGCAGAGTAACTTACAATGTTCTGGTCCCGACACATCACCAGTTAGTAAGAGAGTGCATAACTTCCCCATGAACCTGCCTTATGAAACAGACTTTTGTTGAACCTACCGACAGCTACACGACTCATCTTGATGGCACGCTGCAGCGTCTGCAGCGTCTTCCTAACCTTCATAAACTGTTGTCACACCGGGACGGGTGTGGTGTATAAAAGCTGCGGTTACCTTGTGCGGTCATGAAGTCTGCAAAGTTCCAGATGAGCTCCCCGATGACGTACTGTTTCCTCTTCTGGTCGAAGACGCGGTGGTAGCTCTGCAGGACGGCCTTCTGGTACTCTTCTGTAAACATCATGGGCGGGTCCTGCAGGGGGAGGAGACAGATTTATAGGGTGGTTTCACACTAGGGACCCAGGGCCGGATCCAAGTATACATGACCCCAAAGTCCGGTTCGTTTGGTGCCATACCCGAGTCCGCTTGAAGAGGTGGTCTCAAGCACGATTCATGCGTACTGAAATGGTCTGCGGGAGATGTGAACGCATCCGTGCTCAAACAAGGAAGTGGACCGCTATATGACGTCATTCTAAACGGCTCATGTCTAACTACCCAGGACGGCCTGTTTCATAACAAAAACATCCACAGTTAGCAGGATGGACTCAGCCTGCGAGTGGTTGCCATGGTTATTTTTTCTTCTTCTTTGTGCTTCTTGGCGGATTTGCAAACCAACTATGTGCATACTGCCCCCTGCTGTATCAGACTGTGAACATACACAGGTGTACTCAGGTACCAAACGATGTTACTAATGTGAACGCAGAGCAGTGGGGAGGGGGGAGCGGGGAACAATCATGCCTGATGGGAAGACGTGTGTGTTGCTGTGGATGGTTTTATGATCAGAGACGCATGACGTCACAGTGTAGTTTATTAGCGTTAAATAGTTTGACGCATTACATTTTCTTTTATTATTGAAACTGAAGGCTTTTTTTTAACCTCGTTATAACTGTTTGCTTTCTGGTGTGTGTGTGATTCCTCACATTGTGGAGCCCGGGCACGGCGTCGGCTCCGTACTCGCTCTGGATGATGGGTTTCTGGTACTTTCCATACCAGCTCTCGAACTGGGTGCTGAGCTGGATGGGGATGACCTCCAAGTGTCCTGGGTCATGGTACCAGGAGAAGTAACTGTTCACACAGATCACATCCACAAAGGGTGCCTGAGGGACGAGAAGAGAAAAATAATGTTGTTTAATGAAGTTCAATTAAGTGTTCAAAATCAGTCCTGTCCACTTTCTGAAGGTCTCGGTCTCGTCTCTGAATCGAAAGGCTTTTTACACTGTCTTGTCTCAGTCTCAGACTGGGCGGACTCTGGATTTTAAATCAAGACCGTTCAGGACCACCACTGATCAGCTATTACTAAAAGAACAAATAACTTTTTTACATTTTTATTCCTCAGTTACGTCCGCAACCGTCCCGGTGTTACGTTCTACATGATCCATGGAAGATGTTATTGAACAGCAGAGGAATGTGAACTGTTCTGCAGCTTGTCAACAACTGTGTGACATTGGGTCAACAACCAAAGCTTCAGAAATCCAACAGATACCGAACGTCTCACTTTAACAGTCTAAGCTTTACTCCTTTAGTCCTCATGGGGGACGTTAGGACTGTAAGTGAATCTTATAGAGTTAACTTACAAGAACTATGAGGCATGTGTCACTGCGTCTTTTCTGCAAACATTCCTCCATATTTAAGATCTCTACATACCAGGGGCCTCAAACTTTTATTTGCTAGTGGGCCGGATTCATCAAATGAAACCTCATCGGGGGCCGGACTAAAGACTTAACATGGGGTTATACAGGCGCCTAGTGGATATATTATCTGAAATCAGGGGTGTCAGACTTGGTTACAGAGGTGGTCAATATTCAAATCTGGGGTCGACATTTAATGAAATAAATTTAAAGGTACAGTGTGTAAATTCCACCAGCAGGGGGCTCTCAATCAAAACAATAACAAAAGATGACATCGAGGCTGGCGGGGAATTATGGGAGTGATTCTGCTTCTGCTTCTGTGTGCAAATGAAGCTAAGAGCTAAGAGCGCTAATGTTAGCATGCTAACAACAATGCAGGACACAGGAAATTGCAGCTCGAGGCAAGGACAATTTGTTCCGCCTCTTGTGCTTAATTATGGTGCCTGTGAGCATTGGAGGTGTGTCTCTGTAGGAGAGCGGAGGCTTCAGTATGGAGGAGGCGTGGCCAAACAGCAGTTTGTTTTGGTTTCATGCTGGAGCTCAAGGGTGAAATCTACTGGATCAAAAAGTCACACATTCTTCCTTTAAATATGGGGCAAACCTATGAAACCAAACAAACAAAGTGCTGTGTGGGTTTAAACTTTGCTTTAAAGTGATTGAAGCCTGTGCTGTCAGAACTCACCCCCTTGTCCCTGGCGTAGTTACTGTCGGTGATATAAGTGACCGGCCTTGTGGGGTCCAGAGCTTTGGTATGTTTTATTAACGTCCTGTGACAACAAAAAAAAAAAAAGTACACACATCAAGTACAATCACAACGATGTCACTGAAAGCTTCAGCAGCACTTATATGATTCGGTCTGTGACAGTTTGAGTGTGAAGCCCGTGTGCACTATGAGAGCACGCCGTCCTGCACACACACACACCCCCATCATCACGCTGCTTTAGTCTTAAAGAAGTTCAGGAGGTTTAGTATTTGTCGACCCTGTTTCTGTTTTCAGGGCAGCTTGACGACTTCTCATACTCCAGTCCTCAGATCTCAGTGAAGAGGCGCTGAGGAGACGGAACAAAGCTTTTTTACGACTCTTTTAAAGAACTATTGGCGTTGAAGATGAACCCCGGGAGTCCAGTTCTTTACGGTTTCCATCAAGTCATTAAAAAAAAAAAAAAAAGTAGCCTACCTAAAAATGAGAGACACTTTAAAAATCAGAACCTGAAGGCATGATCAGTGACAAACAAGAGTCAGACATATGAAGATATGTTGCATAAGATGGCTTCCATGAAGCACCAAGAAGAAAAGCGCTGCACGACGTCCGCTCTTTTTCAGTCTGTTGACAACGGCAGCTGTATGACCGACACTGCTCCGTTACTTTTTACTGCAGGTTTATATTTGAGATTGTTTATTTCCCGATCAGACAGCGAGGAGGATGTGGGGACAAGACACGATCTGTAGGCAGCAAAAATACGAGGAATAGCATATATTTGGAAAAGAGCGCCGGAGATGTTAACAGCGCCTTTCTGAAAGAAATCTTTCTGAAAGAAATCTTTCTGAAGATTTTCAACTTGAGCGCTCGGAGCAGCCGCACAAAAAAAGGCGGAGCGCTTGGGAAAAGACGCCAGGCGCTGAAAACTCTCTCTAAGCTAGGTTCAGGTGTTATCGGACACATCTGAATAAAGTGAGTTTTTAAATCGACTGCTCAAGTTGGAATAACAACTCTTAAAATGCTGCCTTCATGTGCTCCTCGGAAAAATCGTACGTCCCAGTTGTACAGTCGTAATTACGACTTTGAGTGCTCTGGTTGGAAAAAATGTAACAAACATGGACGCCAGAAGTAATGAGAGTAATTTGGTCACATTTGACAAAATACTGGAAACATTTGCAGATCCATGTGCAAAGTTCAGCACCGTTAATATCTCCATACACATGGATGTGTTCTTGGCGAGTTAAAAAATGACCAGCACTTACTTAAAGTAGTATTCAGCAGGAGGCATCTCAGCTGCCGGCTCATTGGCCACTGACCACATGACCACAGAGGGATGGTTCTTGTCCCGCCGTACCAGCTCGTCCATGACGAACAGGTGATGGGTGAGGGAGGCGTTTCCAAAACTGCGTCTGTGTTGGTGAGAGGGGAAAGACATTATGAAACGACAGCTTACTGACGTCATCCATTAAAACATCTGTCAAATCTGTAAGAAGAACAAAGACGACTCAGCAGAGGGTGATTTTACAAACCGCTTCATTTACTGATTGCAAGAATCACGATATGCAATATCTTTAAAAACAAAAACAATGGCTGTTAAGAGATCTCTTCAGAACACGCACCAACGAGACGCGCTGCAAACACAACCCGCAATCCTTCTGTGCAAAGATGCGTCATGAAGTTGAATTCAACCTGCAGCTTCAGTCTGAGTCAGTATCTGAGCAATGCAAGAACTGTGAAGACCACTTTAAGAGTCTCCATGACATGCAGACGCTAACCCACTCAAAACGGGGAGCATGAGCAGGTCTGCTCATCTGAACCTCAAACACACCTGAAGGTCACAGAGGATGAAAGGATGAAAGGAACGACCTCACTCACATGTCTTTGATGCCCACCCCCGGGCACTCGTCGATCACTACGATGCCGTGACGGTCGCACATCTGCAGGATCTCCTCGGCGTACGGGTAGTGGCTCGTGCGGAACGAGTTGGCCCCCAACCACTTCAATAGATTGAAGTCTTTGACGACCAGCGGCCAGTCGAAGCCTTTCCCTCGGATCTACAACACAAAGTGAACACAGGAGGGAAGGATTGGATTATTCAACTGTGTCTCCCCCCCAATATCCTGTCTGAAGAGCTCCAGCATGTACAGTCCATAAATGTATACAAAAAGTTTTTTGGAACTCACTTTGTAAACTTAATACTCTACAGTTATTATAATTAAAGGTGCAATAAGAAACTCTGACCCCTAGTGGTTAAAATGGGTACTGCAGTCCAAATTCAAAACATTGGAGAGCGCTGTCTCATCATCTTGAAATAATATAATGTATCCTAAAGATCCAAAAGCTGTTTTTGGCGCTTGTCTTTTACGAATGTTTGATTTTCTCTTTGGAATTTTTATTTGTTATATTTACTCTGAAATATTATTTTTAATGTCTCTTTTTCTCTCTGTCGTGATGCTTCTAATGTCTTTGTGTGAATCTCTTTGAATTGACTTCTGGCTCTGTAGGATAAATGCTGCCCTCTAGTGATACTCACATCTGCGTCCTCGTGCTTATTGACCCCGTGGAAGTAGAAGGGCTTGTTGTTGATGAGGAACTGGCTGCTGGTGACGCTGACCGTGCGTATGCCGACTGGAAGAGCATAAACGTCTTCTGATGTTGATCCCTTATTGGAAGCTAGAACTCGAACCTCGATATCAGAGCGGAAAATGTCAGAAACATTTTGTGTTGCATCACTTTCTGCAGAAATTATAATCACAGGAAGTTGACGCCTACAGTGTGTTCTCATCACAGCGGTGCAGAAAAACATTTATGCAATGACAGATAAGACTGATTAACTCTTCTTCCATGTGTCTTTACTTTGCAAACTACAGTGTAGACACAAGCAGAGACTCAATGTACCATGATGCATCACACATCAGATTTTAGTTTCAGTCCTTAATTCTCCACAAAAAGATGGAAAAGCTCCAACATTAATTTAGATGTGAAGGTAAACATGTCCTCTCACCTCCAGAGAATACAGGTAAGCCGGATTCTCGTGCATCAAGTACGGCCACCACAGCTTGACATCGACAACTGTGAGCACGCCAGATGGCTCGCTGGAGGAGGCCACACAGTGACCATCTTTGTCCGTCAACGTGACCTTCAGAGAGGCCGAGGCGGCGCCTTTCACCGACACTTTGTATTTCACCAAACCTGTAAGGAACCAAGGAAAAATCAATAGACATATTTATCTGATTTCTGCTTCAGTGCAGGTGATGCTATGAAGGTGAGTTATCTGTGTGATTATATTCACCGGTGTTATCGGAGAAGTCCGTCACCACGGTGATGTCGTCCACGTATGCCTTAGGCGTGGTGTACAGCAGGACAGCACGGTGGATCCCAGCATAGTTGAAGAAATCAAAGTAGATGTTTTGGATAAAGAATCCTTCAGGATACCTGTCGAATGATCAATACTCGTTATTTGAACACTTAAACCCTTTTCACACATACGGAAATCTACTGAAAAACTCCGGAGATTTGGCTACCCGGAGGTTCTTTAGGCTATGTGTGAACGCAAACAGACACATTTTTTGTGCAGTCTACCTGGAGTTTCTCCGGCCAGACCCCTAGTATTTTTTCCGCAGAAAATCCAGTGAGCTGATGTCTGAATGCGGCAGCATATACTCCAGAGATTTCAATTCAAGCCAATGGAAAGAGAATGAGGTTTATATACAGTGACCGGCTAAAGTGTCTGCACGCGACCACTACGATCTCCGTGCACGTAATTAAACGGCTGCATTATGTTTTGTTCTGTTCGTCAGTATGTTGTTCTCTTCTCTTTTGTGGATGTTGTCATTCCATTGGATTACACACAGCATTGATAGAAAGCGCTGTGTAATGGACTCTGTCGCTACTTCCGCGTTGTTTATTTATGTCGTCTTACGTCGGGAAAACCCCCGCGGCCCCCTCCCCTCTGACAGGGAAGTCCCCCGCTGTGAGGAGCATATGTGAACGGCTAGGTCGGAGAATCTCCAGAGCAGTCCTCCTGTAAAGATCTAGATATTATCCGGAGTGCATATGTGAAAACGGCTTCAGTGACAGGTTGCTGCAGAGGGGAGACGCTGGGTGTGTATATGTGGACTTGAGTTTCCCAGTTTTGATCGGGTTTTTAAGTGGACTGTTTTGTGTTTGTGCATCCTGATTTCAGAAACCAAGATAAGGCCTTATCCTGATTTGGCTAACTCTTTTTTTGGGGTGTTTTGTGCATTTATTGTAGAGATAGGACAGTGGATAGATCCAGGGAGAGAGAGAGAGCAGAATGACATGCGGGAAAGGAGCCACAGGTTGGATTTGAACCTGGGCCGCCCGCTTCGAGGACTACAGCCTCCATACATGGGGTGTGTGCACTAATCAATGCACCACCAGCGCCCCACTTGGTGCTCTTAAAGCTCTTAAAGAGAGCAGGATACTGCAGCATTAAGACGCCTTACCGCGGTTTCTGACAGCTGCTGACTACCTGCAAAGACGCCGCCTAAGCCCAGTGACCAAACAGCAAATCAAACATGTCTAACCCCCAATCTGCACATACTCCGCAGTCCGTCTCTTCAATGGAGGCCCAATGGAGTTAAAGGGTTAAAAGTGTCACTTTAGATTTGAGAAGAGAAAGGAGAAGTTACAATACTAAGATGTAATGTCACTTTTAAGAGTCACTGCTGATCGTTATCTGTTGAAGCAGCAGGAGTGTAACCATGAACACAGCTGACAGCGATGGGAGACGTGCACCGACATTTTACTTTTAGAATCTCTGTCAAAGGCTGTCAGGGCGAGGGAATTCCCACTGCGGTGATCCAGGGTGTCTTAAAAGTGATTTTGCGGTACCATGCACCCCCCCCCCTTTTTTATTTATGTGGCTAATTTGTTTTTGAGTCAGGGGTCGACAACTGGCCCACAACACTATTTCCATTGTGACTTTTATTTTCTTAACAACAACGCCATGATGATCAGTGAGCGACACAAACGTTCTCGCCATGCAACAGAGCGGCGCTGCAGACAGCGTCTGGTGCTGAAGTGAAGCATCGTCACAGCAGCAACATGTATCACCACAATCACCTCTTAATCATTTTCCCACAAAGAAAACGCACGACAGTTTGTTTTCTAAAAACCTGTACAGTTCAAATTGGCTACAAAAGGAGGAAGACATCAGTCTAGTGTTGTAGTCAAGACCAGACTAACAGAGACCAGAGACATACCCGAGTCCAGCTCCGAGATCAAGACAAGACCAAGACCGTAAATATCTCTGAAAATCATCATCTTGTGTTCAGGGGGCGTGTCACTCACAGGTGACGTGGAAAAACAGTCTTTCAGTGGAGATCATGACTGGTCTTGATTTAAAATCCAGAGTCCACCCAGTCTGAGACCGAGACAAGACCAAGTAAAAATGCTTGCGATTCAGAGATGAGACCTTCAAAAAGACTGAAGGATGTCTAAGACATCATGTCTTCTTTAACTGGAATACTGAGTCCAAACAAGTTCTCAGCTGGTCTTTCCTCAGGGTCGACCTCCATCATCATAACGATAAATCACGTCCCGGATATGCTCATAAACGCGTCATAATCGAGTGTTGTTACTGGTCTACCTTGAACAAGCCGCCATTGTTCCCAGTGAGTCAAAGTTTGGGGGGTAAAGGAGTAATGCAAGCTAAAGTCAGGGTTTTATTCTGAAATGAAAAAGGGCGAGGGTTACTTGGTGTGGTCGTCCATGTGCTGGATGGTTCCTGGAGGAAGTGTGTCCAGAGTCAGAGTGTTGTTGACGGCGATGGTGATCCTGCACGGCGTCAACGGGTCAGCGCGGAGCAAACTGCCGATCTCAGCCTCGAAGGGAAGATGGCCACCTTTGTGCTCCGTCACTTTCACCCCGTTCACCCACTGAAAAAAGGCCAAGACGATGACGAGGTTTTTTTTTAAAGGGGTGAGCACCATCTCTTAAATCTACGAGAAACATGCAACACTCACCGTGACTGAGTAATAGTGAGCACTTCCCACTCGGAGGACGATTCTCGTTCCTTTGTCGGCGATCCAGCGAGCCGGCACCACCACTTCGCGTTCATACCACACCCAGCCAATGAAGTCTCTGAGAGCCGGGTCCTGAGTGATGTCGTTGTAGCTGGCAGGAACTGGCATGTCAATCACTGGGCCGGACTGAAGTGGGGGGGGAGGGAGAGATCATGATAATAAAAAAGGATTTTAAGATGACTTTGTTACTTTTACTTATATTTGCTCCTAAAACCAAAGCTGGATTCACACCTGGAGGTCAGGACCCTCAAGAAGAACAACAATTAATGATGGTCAACTTTATTATCTGGAGGGGCAATTTGCCGTTCAGCCTGCAGTGAGTAAAACAAGAAAAAACTGAAAAACACACATTAAGGGTGGAGGGTTCACGTGATGTTGTAGAGGAGACTCAAAAGGGACCCTTTAAGCCCCGTTTCCGAGTACAGTCACAGAGGGTCGTCTGTGCTTTTTGTTTTTGTAGCTCTGGCTCCGTATGAGAAGGCGAGTTCATCCAAACTAGTGCCGCCTATTTTACTGCACAGTCTCTAGATTTGTTCCAACCTCTCTACTTTTCAGAGTAGAGAGAAGAAAACCTTTACCTAACACGGTCGACATTAAAACTCTTCAGTTTTCCATACATACATATGCTGATGTGCCTTTTACACATATGGCGTCGGTGTTGGCTTCAAATGTGAGTGTGTTGTCAATTATTGTCCCCGAGTATCTGAACTGGTTCACCACCTCAACAGCCTGTCCAGTTATTAAGATGGAGGTAATGTTCATTTTAATTAATTTCCTCTGTATTCTTTTTCCTGAGCGAGTTCCTTAATACTTTTCTGCCACCACAAAAACAAACGACCCGACTAAAGTCCACTGTGAGGCAAAGCAATGAAAGATAACTAAGTAAACTTAGCTTTTAAAAAATGGGTCAAACTTGATAAGTAAGAGTTTGGAAACACTGGCACTGTAGTGTTTTTATCATTCTGTAGAATCACCTGAGTGTGTGCCAATCAAACCGATAATAAAAAGGTACATATTGGTTCATTCTTTGCTGCAAGTTTCTGCATATTTGTGGTTTTGAACCCCTCCTGTGGCACGCTAAGTGGATGTACTCTGAGGGGATTTTGACGTAAAATTACATATAATAACGTTGGCTGCTTAAAAGTTCAAAGTTGATTGCATAATGTGAACTTTGTGCTGGCAGTAAAAATGTGCAGAGCCCCTGAAGCCCCAAAAAGTGAAAGAAAATATCCGGTGCGCACAAAATATTATGTTTTGCGCAGAAATTAAAATCTTAATATTTACTTAATAAATCAAAATATAATTGTGTGTGCGCAAAAGTTAGATGATGTCTTGATGATGTCTGTACATGTGCATCAGAAGGTTCTCATGTTTCCTCAAGATATCACCTAACTTATGTGCACAAGATAATTACATTGTGCGTAATGTAATTGATAACTGACTATGCAGAAGCTTTTGTTTTTACTTTTTGGGGCTTCAGGTGCTCCATGAAAGTGAACTTTCTGAACACGTCTGAATGACAGAAACGAAGTGAGGTGTTGTTATCAGGGCTGCAGTTAGCTTGTCTCCTGCTCACCTCTGCCAGTGGTCGTTTGTACCATGCCTCGTCAAAGCCCTGCTTCCTGTCCGGTGACTTGTCCGCCCTGAAGCCCCACAGCCCGCTCAGCTCCTTCACCTCCCTGGAGGAGGACTCCCGGGGGAACAGCATGCCGGAGTCCAGAGAGGACACCGCCCCAAACACCGCTAACAGCCACAAAACCCGGAGCAGCCCGGGACTCCCAGGTACGGCCATCCTGGACTCAAAACGCTCAAAACTGGGAAGTTCCCTCAGCGGTTATGACGCAGCTTCAGTCACGTGACTAATTTCTGTCGTCACGTGATCGCTAAGTTCCAGAAGTAAAAACCCCATTCATGTTCTCCATAACGGATTTAATATTAGCCATGATGTCGTAACCATCAAAGGTAGAGTAACCATGAGTTACCTGAGTGTGAAACAATGGTATATGCTCCTGTAGAAAACACAAGTTCGTGTGAAATCAACCTCATTATAAGTAAAAACCCGCTAGATTCGCGCTCTTGGATAAAGAACTACACTAACCAATTTCGTTGTACCACAGCGTCGTCTCTGATTGGTGGAGCCCACTGTTACCATGGAGATGTTTACTACCCCGCCAACTTCGGCTGCCGGACGGGGAAGTTAGACACACTAACTAACACAAACTATAATATATTACAACAGAATTATTAACAACATAAATTCTACAATAATGATAAATGCAGATAAAAAGTCCGCGTTCGTTTTGAAAGAAGCGGGTTAAACTATCGTTTGTTTGGTTCTCATTGGAATCGCAATGGATTGTGGGATACGAAGTTCCTTCACCGATTTGTACCTTTGCGTTCTTCTCCGTTTTCATCTCGCTTTTTGTTCTGAATCAAATGTTCTTCTTTCAGTTATTTTCGGATTATACGATTAAGAAGCGAATTAATTATGTGACGCTAATAAAAAAGACCAAATCAACTGTGAAACGAACATTTCAGATGTATTTATTTTATTATTCAATATAGGTCTATTTGTTATGTTAAATGACTTTTGACTCAAATTAACACAAGGAAAACAATACCATATTTTATTCTACATTATATTTTAAACCTTAAACCCGCTTAGTGGTGTAATACTCAAAAACGTCACAAGGTGGAGCCAGACTCTTGTTTATGAAAGTCGTTGAAATATAATAAAAAACAACAAAAAATTAAAATGAGAATGAAAAATTGTGTGTTTTCTTTTTTTTTTTGAAAAAAATCATAATCTTTATTTGCCAGGTTTGCTTGGTTAATTGAGCTCTCTATGTAAAAAAAGTAAAATGTTAAATATCAATAAAAAAAACAAAATAATCAAAGACTAATAAGTACAAAAATAAGACAACAGTGCAGGGACGAGGAATGAAAACATGCTGAGATAAACATGATAATAAAACATGTAATTATGTAACAGATGGGTTATATACATGAGGCAGATAGTTTACAGTATTTACATTAAGAGTGTGCAAAGATCAATATAAGAGTAGTATAATAATATAAACTATTTACATGATCAAAGTTATTAACCCTAAAATCTGAAAATATATGTCGATATTTGAGGTGGAGTATAAATAAAAATCCTATAATGCGCACAGGGGTTTTTAATATTGCACTTCTTGTTTATTTTTAAAGCTTGTGCACATCTCCAGATTACTTTAGAACATGAGCGATTTACCTGCGGGGGGTTGGAAATGAGCTGGGGACCTTTTGACCCCCTGTGTTGAAACAAAACTTAATTCAACTGTACTCTATGCATTAAGATAATTTGAGAATAATAAATGTACCTACTCGAAGCCCTTATAACTACAGCTTATTATGTTCTTTATTGATCTATTGATGACAGCAGTATTTAAAAACACAGTTTACGGGGCGCTGGTGGTGCAGTGGTTGGTGCTAGCACCCCATATATGGAGGCTGTAGTCCTCCTGGCGGACGGCCCGGGTTCAGGTCCGGCTTGTGGCTCCTAGGGTTGTCGTTCCCCACTCTCTCTCTCTCCTCTATCCACTGTCCTGTCAAAAGAGAGTAAAAGAAGAGCTCTGTGTCACTGGGCCGAAACTGGAGAGGTCAAACATGGGAGCGGTGTGCCATCAGTGTGTGATGTAGGTGAGACCTGCGGTGTGATATACTGTAAAGCTCAAGTTCATTTTCCATGGGGGAGCCTGGGGCCTAGTGGTTTGTGCACGTGCCCCATGAACGGAGGCTGGAGTCCTCCAGGCGGGCAGTTGGGTTCGAGTCCAACCTGTGGCTCCTTTCCCGCACTCTCTCGGTCTCCTGATTCCTGACTCTATCCACTGTCCTGTCTGTAGGTAATGTAGGTAGTAATGCTGTCTCAGGTGAGCTGAGGAGTTAGTTTGGGATATCCGGGGTAGATATGAATAAAACCCGGCTCACTTACAGAACGTCATTCATGTGTGTCGACGTCTACAGATTCATGAAGCAGCGGTTGATGTTTTGTGTCGAGCTCAACTGCACTGTTGTTAGACTGTAAAATAACTGCGGGTCAAATTGCCTCGGCCGTGCCCGCTTGTAGACCTTTTGTAGCTCGCCCTTCCCTTCCCCATCTGTCCCCTCATTTCCTGTCATATATCTGCTTTCCCATCACCAATATAATGACAGAAGAAGGGCAACACACCATCAGAAATACAACATTTAGCAGATACAAATGTTGAGGGAAGGAGACGCTTACAGACGTCGTGCTGTGAGAGATTTAAGTGTATTTGAAGAGAGTGATGTAGCATGTGAGGAGTGAGGGTTCAATTAACACATGAAGATGACAGACACAGGACGAGTACAAATCTCCGTGACATCATGTTTTGAAAACTTAGATTTTTTGTTTTTTTAAAGTTTTTTTGGGGGGGGCTTTTTCTGCCCTTAATGTAGAGATAGGACAATGGATAGAGTTGGAAATCGGGGAGAGAGAGAGAGTAGGGAATGACATGCGGGAAAGGAGCCACAGGTGGGATTTGAACCTGGGCTGCCCGCTTATAGGGCCAAAGCCTCCACACATGAGACACGCACTAACCACTGTGCCACCAGCGCCCGAGAACTTCTATATAACTGAATTGTACGTAACAGCTAAGGCTGTCAGCATTCAAGAGTTAATCATGATTAATCTGGTGTTATTTTGTCCCTTCAGGCTCTCCGTAGATAGTGGTCCTCAGTGTCTCCCTGCAGTCTCAGTGATGTAAAAGAAGGACACTGCTGCATCTTTGAATGTCTCATTTCACTTTAACAAACTCTCTGACAGCTCAGCTGACGAGTCCAAAGTAATATCCACCTTATGACATCACACATTGACCTTATGACATCACACATTGACCTTTGTTACCGTTCCTTTGAGCTGTTACTGAGCCTTACTTTGTTTAGAAATAAAAGCACACAGGAAGTAAAGTACTCTCAGCTTTGGACAGTACAAAATTTCAAAATAAAATCCTAACTATTTGTATTTTAAATTCTAAATAATGGAATCTAAAACATGCAAATAATCACGATTAAAAATCAATTTTGATCATTTGACAGCCCTGGTTTAAAGTGTTTGATACAATAAGCCTTTCTCAGGATATTTCAACAATGTCATAAAAAGCTCCGTATGTTTTCTTTGACTCTCTAGAGTTACTTATTGGACAGATTCATGTGTCAGGTCTCATTTGTAGAAAGGCCCGATTGATATGGGATAGTGGGGGGATAATAACGATGTCGCTATTGGGGAGAGAAAAAATCTGATATGATATATTGGCCGATATCTTTCTCAGATCTATGTTCGATCTTTAGATAGATATAGAAATACACATTTATTGTGTTGATCCCTCAGTTATCAAACACTTATGGAAAATATTTATAAAGAAGACAAGATGGTCACTCAACTGGAAAGTAACTGAGCATGAACGTGCGTCACTGCTCGACACTCTGGAGAGTGATGATGCTTGTTATAATCCATATAGCGCCCTCTGCTGGTGACAGAGAACTGCTAGTGTAATACAATGAAACTCAAATGAAATTCTGTTTGAGCGGTGAATAAATCGATTAATATCGGCGCATATCTGAGATAAAATTAACCGATACTGATAGTCACTGGAGATGATAATATCTATCGGTCGGGCTCTGGTTTGTAGAACACAGGACGTCGTTTTATTCTCTGCCCAGTTATGTTTCCCACTCTGATGGCATTCTTAATCCCAGAAGCAAAGACTCCACGGACTGAAAGGAACTTTCATCTGTGCACATTTTTCTTTTTAACTTCACTTCCTTCACTTGCTGTGACCTTTTGACCACATGGTTCCCTTTAAAAGGTTTCTTCTGGTTTATTTTCTGAACTACGTCTTCTCATGAGCAATCACAGTGAATTATTAACGTACCAATCGAGTGAGCCGAGTGATATTCATGATTATTTTTATAAAAGTCATGTCAGTTTGCTGTGTATGTGCAGGATGAACGGGTCAGGTTCGTACTAATGAGCCTCACAGAGTGATAGACTCATCCAAACAAGCTGCCAGCGGCCTGAAATTAATGTAAGGTTAATGGTGAGTTCAGTGTTAATTTCCTGTGTGGAAGCCCGTCTCCGGTCATTTTCCCACAAATGCTCTCGGGATGTTTTTGTTTTCTGAAGTACTTTAATCTATTTTGGAGCTTTTCCTTTGGTTCCCATCTCTCTGTCATTGATGTCTCGTTCGACATACCTACTGAATCATTGGAAAACAGACTCCTGTGGTAAAAATAAAAAATCGTCTGCCCTGATTGTTGTCCACCATGACAGCAAAGGACACGTTTTGTCAAAGTCCTTCAGGTCCATTCATGTCAACACGATTGTTTCATTAGATGCCAGTGCATTATTGCCCCCCTCTCCCCCGCTGGTCTGCGTTCACATCAGGAACATCGTTCTGAACCTGAGGACACGAGTATGGTAGGCTTGTGTTCACACTGATCAAATGAACCAGACTTTGGGGTCAAGTGTACTCGGATCCGGGTCCCTAATGTGAAAACCACCTTAAAGGCAGCGTTGGTAATTTTCTCCAGATCCACTTTTGAAGATTTGGTTGAAATTGTTTTTAGGTCCTGACAGAAATCAATAACTCATGTTCTCTGGAAAAGGAACAAAGAAAATCCGTCATCTGTAGCAGTTTGTAAGTCTGTAAAAACTTCGACCAATGTCTGCCACGAGGTACCAATCTGATGAACCAATCAAGCCTTTCCTGTCTCCCTGCTCACGCTCAACCCCGTGCATGCACGAGCCCACACTCAAAGCACGTCACAGATAACAGAGTTTAT